TTTGCTTGAATGAAAATACACCTGAGAATCACCTTATTTTCTGTGAAAATTTGTTAGCTTGAACGACACTTACTTTCGTTTAAGCGGAAATACACCTGAAACAAACATTTTCTATTAGGAGTTTTTTTCCCTTAAACGAGATATTTTTGCTTGAGTGAAAATACACCCAAGAGGAGTCATTTCCTTTTTTTCACATTTCGCTTGAGCCACCATTTTTTGTTTGAGTGAAATATACAGATAATAAACATGCTAAACTCGTGTTAAATCACACTATAAATATCAAACACTATCATATGAGACTCTATTACTCAATTTTCTTTTAAAATATGTCATACCTAGTCTAATTATAACTATCATACCCTAACCGTTTATACCATGGCTATCAAAATCGGACGAACCGACCGGTTCAATCGGTTGGGTCAGGAACCAGTATAGAGCTCCCTAAAAATCGGATGAACAATGAACTGGTAAAAAATTCGGATAAACCAATTAAACTGGACAGATAAAGGTGTCACCCATTTTTTTAAAAGGGATAAACGACATCGTTTTGTCCTTTTTTTTTTCTTTTTTTAGTTTAACATAGAGACACATCAATATGAAGAAATAAAAAATTCTGTACTAATAGTGGTATTCTTTTTTTACTGTAATCTTCGTTTTTGCTACCGTTACTACCATCCATTATCATTGATTGTCTTCTTCTAGCGTCACCCTTACTAACGTCATGATCTATTATTATCTTCGCTACAATCATTTATGGAAATACAATAACATGTAAGAATCACAATATCTTCATTTCAAAAATTAATTTGATAAAATAATTTTGGAAATGTCACATTGTAAAGGAATAATATTTTTGGAATGATTTTCAGTGCGTATTCATGAAAACTAAATTTGAGATTTTCTAAAATTAGAGTTTTCTAAAATTGGAGTTTTCTAAAATTGTGATAGTTTTTAAAATTGGATACTAGAAATAAAATTGATATTGATGAGTGAGTAGTTGACTAAATGTAGTAAGTTATCCTTGAGTTTCATAATCATACGTTGAAATAAAATAAAATATATGAAATTTAAAGTTAGATGCAAGGAAAAATATGTTGCAATTTTTTTCATTAATTATTTTCAAGTTAGGTGCAATTTTTTTCCTTAATTATTTTCAAGTTAGTTGCAATTTTTTCCTCTAATTATTTTTTAGTTTGGTGCAAGATTTTTTTTTAGTGTTTAATGATATGTTTAGTCATGTTACTCTTCATTTATGTATTTTACAAATGATTCTTATTATTATATTATACTTTTTCAAATAGCATTTATATTGGATTGAAATTGGTATTATATTGCGATAATCTTATTTTAAATTTAATATATTATGTTATTAAAATAAATTATTTTATTAAATTCAGTTTAACTCCGATTAAATTATCAGTTGTTTAAGTTTAATATATTATTATATTATTAAAAAATATTATTTTATTAAACTCGGTTCAACTCCGATTTAATTATCGGTTGAACTTTTGAACGCTAAATCCATATATTTACTAGTTTGATGACCGATTTGATTGTAAGAACAATGGTTTATACACATCATTTCATTGACTTAACTCATTCAATCACAATTTAAGATACAACACAACAAATCAAATTTTTATTAATCAAACAATATGACTAAATCATCTTTTCACTTATAACTTAGAGTATTATGAAAAAAAAAATAGTTAGTTTCCCTTGCCTTCTAATTTCAGTACTCTTAAGCTTAAAAACTAAAAATTCTCAATTTCTTAGTGAATCAGATCTGCTCACGTGAAAATCTTAATTAATAAATTGGACATATTATAGTATTTTTAAACTAATCAAAATTCATCTTTATCCCACCAAAGTTACATGCAAGATTCGAAGATCTACATATAAAATCTTAGTCTAAAATTTATAAAAATACTCAAAAATTGAGGAAAAAAAACTTACTATATTTAAAATTATGATTAGATGAGAATCTTCTCATCGCAATTAGGAACACAATAATGTATTTTAGATATAGAAAAATATAAAAATTGGATAAAAAAGTAAAAAAGTAAAAAAAAAAGAGGATTTAAAATTTAGGGAGTTGATAATTCTATTCAAATAAAGTTTGAAACCTAAATATTTTTTATTTAAACTATATTTATGTAAAAGGTAAAAATTTCAAATTTAAGTTTATTTAACTATTATATTTTCTTTAAACTATTATAGTCTCCATTCTTACTAACACTGTAATAATAATAATAATAATAATAATAATAATAATAATAATAATAATAATAATAATAATAATAATAATAATAATAATAATAATAATAATAATAATAATAATAATAATAATAATAATAATAATTAAAAAAGAAAAAAATTTAAAATCTATTTGCTCTGAAAGATGTAACCCTAATTTAGTGGCTGCCATTGCCACTTACTTGATGGTGGTGGTACTCTGAGGAGGGGATGGTGACTGATAGAGCCCACATTCCCACGAAGTTTTGAAAATAACGCAAAACAAAACCCTTCTCAATGTCTCTTTGTGATCGACCATGCCCATCATTTTCAACACAAAATCCATTCTCTCATCATCAAACCAAACTTTCTTCAACTTGGATACTTCAAACTTGTTCCACAAAATCTTTTCACTATCCTCATCAATCACTCAATAATGGCTTTTAAAACAAGGCAAAAGTGTTTACTCCAAGACACCATTTGGTAAAACAAAAGTGTTTACTTTCTCATCAATTCGGATCTAGCAATATTTTTTTTATATTTTTTGAATAATTTCCAGTCAAACTTTTCACAAAAATATTTGTACGAGGAGTACGAAAATTCATCTGTAAAAGAGTTATTGAGAAAATATCATATCTTTTTATATGAAAAAACATTAAAGAATTTAATAAAAATTATATATTACATTGTTTATTTTTTAAAATTTATGTAAATATTTGCAACAACATTTCTACCAACCAAACCAACTTTATTCAATGGTAGAAATCATAATTTTCAGGATTTATATTCTCAATAATCATTATTCACGTTACTAAAAAAAATAATTTTACTTTAAAATATTTTAAAATAAAAAAAATAAAATGAATGGCTTCAACTTCATAGTGCTTAATATTCAAAGCCTTGAGTCAAAAGTGACAGCCAAACGGATCCTTACAATTTGCTAATATATTAAGAGAAAAAGTTTGTGCTTTTATTAAGGTGACCCACAACTTCAAGGGCCACGTCCCCAACTTGTAGGTAACGTTTGGAATGGATAAGAAGGTTGAGAGGAAAAGACAAAAAAAGAAAAGAAAAGAAAAGAAAAAGATGTTTGTAATATTTATAAAATAAATTTAGTTTTAATTCTTATAAAAAAACATTTTTTTCTCTATTCAAATTACTATTTTCAAATTTTATAAAACGGATAAATTTTTGTTTGATTTTTGACTAAATTTTTCTTTTACTTTTTCATTCATTTAAAATATATAAAAATCATTTTAGCCCAGAATGTTAGTTTTAATATAGTTATTGTTTATTTTTTTTAGAGATATCATGTGGTGACCAATTATCACACACAAGTAAATATCATTACTTTCATTTAGTATATAATTGCATAATATTAAAGATAAAAAATAATTATGTATAATTATTTAGAGATGAAAAATAAAAAATATTTATTTAGAATATTTTTGACATTATAATTGCATAAATATTTTACAATTTATATACTATAAAATAATTTTTAAAGTCATTTTACCTTTTTTATTTATTTGTTTATTTTCAATTCAGTTATTTATTTTGTTTCTCTTTGCTAAACCAAAACACAAAAACTAAAACTAGAACATATAAAATAAATGTCTAAAATTATAAACAAGCCCGTCTAGCTCAGTTGGTAGAGCGCAAGGCTCTTAACCTTGTGGTCGTGGGTTCGAGCCCCACGGTGGGCGTTTTATTTTGTATTTTTTGGGTTTTTTAAATTATTTGTTTAACAAATTATCATTTCCAACTTCAATCATATTAATAAAACTTTATTTTAATTCACAATTCAGACTCATAATATAATAGTTAGTTTAAAATTTTGAATCCTTAACTCAACTTTCATATTAAAAAAAAAAATTCATCAAAATTATAAAAAGACACATAAAATATGGTAATGAAAAATTTCTTTATAAATAGAAATAATTAAGTAATGAAAAAAAGAAACCCGTAAACAAAGTATTTCAATTGGAAAATATCTTAATACCTCCAAAATTAGTAATTTAATCTTGAAAAATATCTGAATCATTTAATAAAAGATAACAACTAAATCAGTTCAAATAAATCTTATTCTAAACTATAAGAACTTTTTTATCAAAATTAAATAATTAAATGAATATAAATTTATTTTGACTAAGATTTAAAAAAATCGAATGAATTGATCTAATTAAATAAATTTAAATTTTAATCATATAACTATCAAATCTTTAGTTGAAATAAAACTTATTCTAAAATATAATAAATTTTATTTTAATGTCAATTTTATCAAACATAAATAATTAAATGAATATATATTTATTTTGATTTAGATTTAAATTAAATCTAAAAAAATCGAATGAATTGATCCAATTAAATAAATTTAAATTTTAATCATATAACTACCAAATCAATTTTAGCAGGTTTATTATATTATTTTATTTTACTCGGTTATATGAGTGTCGCTGTGTAGCCGTTGCACTTCTTTAAAGCTCCCTCTCACTTTTCTCTGTATAACACTATTTCTCTCTATCCTCATCCCACTGAGAAAAAAACAATCCACACTCTTTAATTCAAGCTTTTCCAGAACGACCCATTTGTTTATTCTCAATTTTCCGGTTGAATTTGAACTGCAATTGGTAGATTATGATTTCCCCCACCAGAAACCCTAGCCATTTCTAGATGACCCACTTGTAAATTTGCAATTTTGTTGCTGAGTTTCAGCTGTCTTTGATAGTTTCGTTGCATATTCGCCGCCAATTTTAGGGAAAAAAATGACAGAACTCGATCTGTCCAAGAAAGTAGCCGATAGGTATCTCAAGCGTGAGGTCCTTGGTGAAGGTACATACGGTGTCGTTTACAAAGCCATCGATACGCAGGTAAGTTTTCTAATGTTTAACTTTGTTCTGTTCGTTCAAGTAAAAAAGAAAGTAAAGAACAGTTATGAAAAAAATTACGAGGATTTTTGTAGTGATTATTTATTATTTATTTTTTCTGGATTGTGAGAATTGGGTCTGAATAAAGTTTGGAACTTGGAAAAGAAGTTGAATTCTCTTATATTGAAGACGGGGTTGAGAAAATCTTTGAATAAGAGGAGAATAAGCCTTGAAGTAATGCGGAAAGGAAATGTATGCATTTTTAAGTTGTTTAACAATGGATTTGGTAAAACTATACATTTTTTGTGGTAACTTGGAATTGGGTATTCTAGTTTCTTTTTATTTTTATTTTTCTTTTCGGTTGGGTTGGTGGTGGCTATTATTTGATTTTATTGCAATTGGACTATTTGATTGTATTGTGGAGATATGGTTTCACACTTCTTCTTGAACTGGCCTTTTATTTAATAATGACTATGATATTACAATGGTATTATTATTATTATTATTATTATTATTATTATCTTGTGGTCCTTGCAATCATAAAGATGTACTCTTTGCATGGACAGACAGGGCAGACTGTTGCAATTAAGAAGATCAGGCTTGGCAAACAGAAAGAAGGGGTTAATTTTACGGCTCTCAGAGAAATTAAACTGCTTAAGGAGCTCAAAGATCCAAACATTATTGAGTTGATTGATGCCTTTCCACATAAAGGGAATTTACATCTTGTGTTTGCCTTCATGGAGACAGACCTTGAAGCTGTTATACGGGACCGGAATATATTTCTTTCACCTGGTGATATAAAATCTTACCTTCAGATGACACTTAAAGGCCTTGCTGTCTGCCACAAGAAATGGGTGTTACATAGGTAGATTATGTTGCTTATATGGTCATTCCAATTCATTACTTGGTTTTAGTTCTACGCTCAGAAGTTTTGTTTATGTGTTTTCAGGGATATGAAGCCAAATAACTTGTTGATAGGATCTAACGGACAGCTGAAACTTGCGGATTTTGGTTTAGCTCGGGTATTTGGAAGCCCAGATCGCAGGTTCACTCATCAGGTTTGCTTCTTTATGCTTAATATCCTTTGAATCCGTAGAATGCAGGATTAATCCTTACAACTGGAGGAAAAACTTTGTAAATGAACTGGTTTCTTTTAATTAATCTCAGCATTGTGAGTACATTGTGAATTTAAATAAAACTCAGATCATCTGTTAATTGTTTTACTTTGTTTAGATTCTTCTGTAATAAAACTAGCACACTTCCTAAAATCTGGATGGTTAGAATTTGCATGACTGAAAGGAGTGTGCCCTAGATATTTTATAACCAGATTTGGTTTTGTATAGTGCTTTAGTTCAAATTTATTTGTAAACACAGTGTAAGTCCGCAAAGTTTACTATGAAAGCTCTATTGTTGATGCCTGGCTTTTATCCCAAACAAGGGAAAATTTCTGGGTAAAAATGCTTTACCTTTTTTAGATGAGAAAGTATTCTAGATTTTTGGTGAGTATGTTCTAGGATTGTGGTTCTCTAAAATGTATTTAATTTCCTGAAGAGTGGAGCACAATTTTTTGAATCTCATGCCTATCATTGCCTCCTCTAGATGTCATCTTCTGTGTACAGTTGAACTTAACATCTTTCATCCTTATGATTGTACATTGTCTTAATTGATATGTACTTTTGACACTTAATACATGAATAGGTGTTTGCTCGGTGGTATAGAGCACCTGAGCTATTGTTTGGTACCAAGCAGTATGGTCCAGGGGTAGATGTTTGGGCTGCAGCTTGTATTTTTGCTGAGCTTCTTCTTCGTCGACCCTTCCTGCAGGTAAACCAATATTGTCATGGTGATTATATACGAACTAGTATTCACAGGATAAATGTTCTTTTTTTATACGTTAAAAATTAATCAGTAGATCCCTAAACTATTTGGGAATTTTTAATTAGGTCTAAACTAAAAAAAATTGTAATTGGGTCCTTGGAGTTAGTTTATGGCAGCTTGAAATAGCTTGAAAATGACAATTTGTTCCTGTTTTAAGCCGTAGAGACTCAATTACAAAAAAAATTTACAAGATTAAAGACTCAATTACATTTCTTTTTTTAAATTTTGACACCTAGTTAAAATTTTGAATAAGATAAAGATTTTTAGTATACAGATTATATGATAATTAAATCTCATAATATATAACTATGTCTTAGTATATAAATTTTTTTAGTGTATCAACTATGTTATAATTAAACTTCATGATAACTAATTTTTTATTATATAAATTATATTTTGGATTTATAATTGAAAATTTAAATTGTGATATATGGTTATTTTTAACTATTGATAGTTTTTATATAACCAACAAAATTTAATTTAGAAATGGAAATAAAAGAGAGTAGATTAAAAGGATGAGTGGTTTAAAAGATCAAGTTTATTGATAAAGATAAAAGAGAGTAGTTTGAGAAGGTTCGAGAGAGAAATTTTGGTTAATTGAATAGACCATTTGTGAAATGCACGCTCCGAATGTGAGATGAGTATAGAGAATGTATTTGAGAGATGGAAAAGTGAACCTCTCACTCTCTAGTTGTGTATTTTATTTTATTAAATTAGAGTAGATTATTTTATGGTAAATGACGAAAGGTTGATGTTCTGGAATATATGAATTTTTTCTTAACATTTGACCATTTACCCAAGAAACTATTTTAACCTTTTTTTGTGGATGAGATTAACTATTTGACTTAGTCTTCAGTTCAAATAGCAGTCTGAATAAAAAACTCTTCAAAACTGTTTTAATGAACTGGGATTTAGTTCAGAAGCTGTTGGATATGGAGTTTATCGACATTATTGACCTCTAATTTTTGCTTCCATGTTATTCCTGCTCTGACTTTTTTTTCACTGTTTTACTTTTTTAATTTCAAAGTGTGTATTGTTGCTGTGTGCTGGTATCCTCCTTCTGGTGATTTCATGAGTTTGTTATTGCCATTTGGTAGGGTTCAAGTGATATTGATCAGTTAGGAAAGATTTTTGCAGCATTTGGAACTCCATCTCCTTCTCAGTGGCCTGATATGATCTACCTACCTGATTATGTTGAATATCAACATGTTTCTTCTCCACCTTTGCGTTCTTTGTTTCCAATGGCAAGTGACGATGCTTTGGATTTGTTGTCAAAAATGTTTACCTATGATCCAAAAGCTCGAATTTCAGTGCAGCAGGCTTTAGAGCACAGGTATGTACCATAATCATTATCTTAAGAAAAATAGTTTGTTTCCTTTCTCTTTCCCGGATTTTTATCTCTCCTCTTCCATTTTAGGTACTTTTCTTCTGCACCTCTGCCCACGGATCCTGTTAAACTACCAAGACCTGCCCCTAAGAAGGAATCTAAGGTTTCAGATGTAATTTCAAATGAAGGTCCTACTGTCTTGTCACCTCCAAGAAAGTCTAGAAGAGTAATGCCAGGGCGTGATGGTTCTGAAGGCAATTCTTTGCAAGGAGATAAGTTTGATGACAGTGTTAGTGTCAGACAGACAGATGATAATCACGGCAAAAATGAGCCAATTCCAATGTCACTAGATTTTTCTCTTTTTGCATTGAAGCCTCCAAATAGACCTACAATTACCAGGTTAAATATGTTGATCCTCCTATCATTTCAAAGTGGCCTAATAATAGTTTGTACTTTTGATTCTGTTAAGCATAAAAAAGTAGATAGTGTTATACTTTGGCTTGCATATTGTCAGATGGCGGATTTTGAAAATTGATCTTGGAGGGGCCAAATAATATATTATTAATAAATAATAAATAAATATAAAAGAAAGAAAGAAGATGAAAGTGTAAAAAAGATAAAATTATAGATATATACTTAAATATATTAAATGATCATTAAGTTTGAGGGGAACAAGATCATAAATTATATGAGTTACAAAACTGAGGAGGGGCTGAGAGGATAAAATTGTAAATATACAAGTAAATATATTAAATGTTCATTATGTTTGGGGGGGCCAAAATCATAAATTACATGGGAGTTACAAAACTTTGGGGGGAGCCATTACCCCCTCAGCTCCCAAGAAGATCCGCCACTGCATATTGTAGTATTAACCTTTGAATAATGTTATTGAGGTTGAAAGAGATTAAGACTCTACACTGTGGACGTTTTTGTCCATGTTAAATTCATGAATCGTGGCTAATTTTATGAAGGCAATACTGGGTATAAAATTGAATCTAGAGGTAGAGTATAAAATTAGTAAATTACGTAAGTTTAAATGATTGAGCTATGTGAGAGAAACAATGCAATTTGTTACTACGCCTTATTTCTGTGCTAAACTGCTTATGTGGCAATTTACACTAACTTTTGAAACCATGTTGGAGACTCAAATTGCTTTTAGTGTGAGGTGTTTAATATGCTTATTTTGTGTAGAATTCATCTAGAGTTCATTAGAAGCCTTACAGGGGAAGGGCAGTGTATATTACAATTTCATTTTTTCTGTTGAGTTAATGCGAGTGTGTGCCAATTTTTTTTTTGTCTTTCAATTTGTAAGTGTTGTTTAATTAATTAATTCTTGCTCTTTGTTCTGCAGTGCTGACAGAACACATTTAAAAAGAAAGTTAGACCTAGAATTCTAGCAACCATGATGGATATTCTATGATGGTTGCATCAGTACAAGGGGTCTGATACATTTGAGAAAAAAACACTGCGAATCAGCCTTACTTGTATGTCATTCATTCCTTATCTCTGTCTCTCTGCATGAAGCTACTATGATTATGTAGATTTTTAGAGGAAGACGTACGTAGCTGTGACAGTGGATCAGCATCTCACTTATATAGTAGGTCAGAGAGTTAAAAGTAACTATCATAGATTAAAAGTAACTGTACTCTTTGGATCCCTTGCTCTGAATTTTTGTTCCCCTCATTCAACAGAACTTGTATCTCTCCATGGAAGGTCGTGGGTGAGGGTTTTTTCTTGAGCCCTTACTGCATATCTGACGCTTGAAAAAGTAGTGGTGGGTAAAACTGAATTTTAACATTGATTTGTTATTCAACATAAAGAGAAATTATTGTTTACACTTGAAGTGTATAATATATATTTTCTTGGGTGGTTCAAATAGGTTGTGCACTGAGCAAATTTATTTTTGTACACAATGTGGTTGATTTTGGCTGATTGCATGCGATTCTGGCGTGCTGAGTTTGTTCCATTTTGGTTCCTTATGTGCAGAACCATGGTTTAACTTTTGCTTAACAAACTAATGATTTTCACATTCATTTAAGTGTGTGCTAGTTTACTGTCTTATTGCTGCTTACACTGAGTGACTTATTTGATTCCGAAGTTAATATTTATAGTTCATATTATTAAAGCATTGCTTATGTTTCTTCTAGTAGTCTTAGATGGAGATGCAGCCATGCATGTTTGTGTGCCAATTAATTTTGAAAATAAAGTATTTTTTTTTCTAAAGTTGTTTCAGAAAGTAAGGAAAGAACAAGTTTTTCCTTAAACACCTGTCATTTAACTTGTGCTGTGAAAGATAACATATGTTGAGTTGACATTCTTTAATACGAAAATAAATCAATAAACCTTTAATTTCATCACTGAAGTCTGCTCTTTCTCTTAAATTGCTCTAAATATAAAAAAATATATTAAAGAATTTTATTTTTAAGAGAAACTAAATAAAAATCAAAGACGACTTACATTGATATCGTTCTATTAAATTTTAAAAATAATTCTTTAAAATCAATTATTATAATTATTTTTAAAAATTAAAAGGAAAACTATATCAAATAAGTTGTAAGATATCAAAATTGTATCTTTCTTCTCATATTAAATATGAAAAGGTATTCGTCTTTTTTTTATAATTCTATTCAGTTGGACCAATTGAAATTTTTTCAATACCTTTTCTTTCTTTGTAAAATTTTTAAAGACAAATTGCCGACATAATACATGCATAAATTCAGAAACAATTTATAATTTAGAAGTAACTTGAAATTATGGTGCAAATCTTAAATTTTTTGAAAATTCTATGTTCTCTGTTTTTTTATTAAGTTGATTATTGGATTATAAAAATACTAAAGAAAATTCAAACTAATCTAAACTTATAAAAATTAAATATTATGGTTATAATCTAACAAGAATTCATACTTTTACTTCATCATACCCTCATGTTTTCTGTTATCGCGACCAACTTAAACTACAAAATGTTTATCCTTCACTTTAAAAGAAACTACATCATAATTTATCAGAAAACTAAATTGAAGCAGGGTTATTGTTTTGGTAGTGTATGGTGCTAAGGTATAATTATGGCCGTGCTAAGTACATTGATACAAAATTTGGGGTTCATACAATTAAGCAGAATTAATTTTCTAAGGTAAGTGACTATAGTTCTACATGTGAAACAGGAACAAAGATTGTTGAACTATGAAGCAGTATGAACATTTTGGTCACCCTGATGGTCCTCAACTTGTACAGCACTGCCTCCTACTCTTGCTGCTGCCTTTTTTGCCTGAACAATCAACACATTGCTATTATTAGTTAAGGAACTACTACCAAAGAATCAAACTTAAAACATTATGCTCTCTTATCTTTTTTTCTATAAGACCTAACTAATTCATCAAGATTAAGAAGATTAACAAGTTCAATCAGTAACATTAAATGTTAATGTTAATAAGACTTACTATTAGATCCAATTTATGGTTTGAAAACCTTAGTGCAAAGACCTTAGCCTCCAATCTAGTGTTTTATTCAATGTCTAAACATATAAAAGTGGATGTACACTATATCACAGATCAAGTGCTTACGATCCTACATTAGCCCAAACTTCAAACTGTTTTACTAAAGCACTGATCTACACTTGATTCAATCATCTGCAAGACAAGCTAGGAGTTGTAGCTTGAGGGGGAAAGTTCAGGAATAAATAACAAATGATAGGATTTAAGAGATAGCAATATTTATCAAAATCTGTAACAAACTTTCATCTTTTAGATATATGTATCAGATTGTACTCCTTTGTCTTGTCTTATTCCTTAATGCTATCTTCTCTAACCATAAGATGTTACCAAAATTTGTACTAAAATGAGAATGCATATAATTTTTTGTCGGCATATTTCTGTCTGGTAGTATCCAGAGTTGAAAACAAAACTGAGTTGAAGATGGAACAACTTACTTCTTTCTCCCAATTGGCGCGTAAGGTGACCAGAAGAAAACACACCACTTGCACAATAAGTGCTAATAGGATCCCTAAAAATAGCCCCTGTACTCATGGAGAATCAACTTATTACTATTTTCTAATTTCAGTTTGTAATAAATTACACAAAGTTATTAGTTTCAGCTAACAACCAAATTCTGAAGGATATTAATTTTTACTGTAAGATCTTTTTCTCTAAAGACATTAATTTTTACCTGTCCTTTCATGTGGAATACAAAAGCTGTGACAATGGAAAAAGGAAGGCCCAAAACATAGTAAGATCCTAGATTGATATATGCACCAAGTTTCTGCCAACCACATCCTCTGGCAACACCTGTTGACAATCAAGGAATAAGAAAAGTTCACATTATATAATTTGATTCAATTCAGTGTAAACTTAGATGCTTTAGATGAGATTGAGTTAGTAATAATATGATAGTTAAATAAGAGAAGTGATGGAAATGGATGGGATTACTTTGTTTTCCTTGAAACCAATTTAATCAAATTCTGAATATTCAATCTGGAGGGAAAAGGGGAAACTGGAAATTTTTGAACCTCATAATTGAATGAATTTATTCAATACCTTGAAATGCTGTTTGAATTGAATCTATAAAGACAGAGCTTGCAACAATTGGCATCATGGAAATCACATATGTGAGCACTTCATGTACATTGGTAAAAGCACGCCCCCAAACTTTCCATAAGGACATAAGGAGAGAAAATTCTAAAAGACCCACCAAGAAGGCCAGGAACATGGTGACTTTAACTGCTAAGTATGCAGCTTTTGAACTACCAGCCCCTAATTCGTTTGAGATCCTTGTACTGTTTAAGTGGAAACATATCATTAAACTTGTTATGTTCAATAATAAGCAAAAGTGACAAGTGATTGCATCATTACATGTGATTGCATACACAATTTTTTACCTGTTGTGAAAACTATTGAATAGAATATAAACTGTGCAGTTCCAAGAAAAACTTACCTTCCTGCAGCACTTACTCCAAATGGTACCATCCAAAATATACCAGAGGTGTTAAGGCTGGATGAAGAAAAATACATTTAGTCATTAAAAAGTGAAGAAAGTGGGGTTTCAAATGAGAAAGATAACAACATAATAGCATATTCTATATAGTATCCACAATCGATAGTAGCTTAGCAACTGAGATATCAACCGAAAAAACTAACCATATAGAAAGAACTGAGGTTTGTAATTTCGCATTAGCAAAAAGACCTGCCAAGATCACCATTATTTCGAACGTCCATGATTCTAAGCTGCAACATAATGATTTAGAAGCACTCAGCATCATCAGTCATTCACATTAAGAATAATACGTACATTTTAATCCTCCAAACATATACTCTATATTACACTAATCCTTTATTTACCAGTCACATAACGTAATCCTAAGATGATTAAAGATAATGGTTTTGTGCTTCAAGAACCAAATTGATGAAAAAAAGCAAGACATATATGGACTAATTGACTAGTGTGCATATTTAAGAGGATTAATTTAATATATTGACAAACAGTGATTAAAACAACTCATCCATCTTTAATATAACAGATGAAAAGAATATCATACCACACCATGAGTGCTGAAGGAAAAGCAAGCCTGAGGAATTTCGGGATGTTATGCAATGCTTCTTTAGAGAAACCAGTCCAAGTTGTTTTGCATGAAGGGGAGAACCGAACGTAAAGGGCAAGTATTATGGTACTAAACCAATTTGAAATGCAAATTGCAATGGCAGATCCTTTGATACCAAGCTCAAGTTTTTGAACCAAAACCCAACAGAGAAGCAAGTGTAGTAAGCTAGTAAGTCCAGTGGCTAGCACCATAGGAAAAACTATGTTTTGGGTTTGTAGGAACTTAGTAATGCACCGAAGAAGACCATTGGCTGAAAGGCTTGGGATCAAATATCTGGCATATAGTTGAGCATGTGCTGCAATTTCTTTGTTTTGATGAAGAAGAACTAGAATAGACTCTAAGTATACCCAAAGAATGGACAAAGGTATAGTAACAAGGGTGAGAACCAACATGGCTCCTTGGGTGTGCACACCAAGCATATGATACTGCTTTGCTCCATATGCTTGACCACAAAATGTGTCCAGTGCACTTGACATTCCCATCTAAATGAAGTGACCCATCAACATTAGTAACAAATATTAGCAATTTAAGAAGCAAAACAATGCATAAAAATTATAATATACAATGTACTTTATTTATATTTTTATATTATTAAATTTACATTTTTTAATAATTATGATATTATATATTTTTAACGTTAATCGTATATTTTAATTACTAAAATAATTTTATTAATATCAACCAATTTTGATATAAATTTGGTTAAACTATAAAAAAAATTATGAATCAGTATATTTAATAACTAGTCTAGTGTTAAAATCTTAGTATAAAACTTTAATCAATTTTTCTTCTTCTTCATAATAAAATACAATTTTTATATGACAAGTTTGAGTTGTCAATGGATACCAACCTAGAAAAGAGCATATTTTTAACACTATCAATAAGACATTAATAACATGTTTGAGTTGTCAACAAATACCAACCTCCACATTTACTGCATAGGACTCAATATTAATTACAGTTTTACTCGATTTTGTTACCCAATTGATTTCAATGTTGTTTTTTAACCATTTTGAAAAAACAATTATTATTGTAAAATTTAAATATTAATTATTATTTTCATATTTATACTTAGTCTTCGCTCAATCTTTAATTAATTTAATTATTATTTAAACATAAAAGTGAAAATAATAAAATAGTAAATAAAAGAAAATTTATTATATTTTTATATATTATCTAGAAGAAAACCTTAAACCATGCTTGAAAAAAAAGTACTCTGAGGTGATTTTCTGATCAAGATTATCCACCATATGAAGAAAAGTGACTTAAAAAAAAAAAAAAAAATTCAAACTCACACATATGAAGTTAGAAGGGAAGATCATATACCAGAATCTAAATTTGCAGAAAGAACTAGTCTAACATGTATACCAGCATATTAAGATGAAAAACTGATACGTGAAATGATATATTCAACACTTTCACACCTCAAACAAAAAACCAGATAATAAAAACTTCGTGCATTAATATTTTTCCTTTTAACTAAGAATGAAATTTGCACCTAGTTTTATACTTGTTTGCGGAAAATATATTTCAAGAGTTATGCAGAATCTGGGAATGTATTGAAGGTTTTAGCATAAACTAAAATGGTGGCTGAGAAAGAACACTTCCATATATGATATATAGAGAACAATTACCAGCATGCATTCATAGCTCTCATCTGATATGAAAATGGTGTGAACTTACCATGACATTGAAACCAGTAGCATTGACAATTGAAGTAGACAAAGATACAGCAGCCAGAAGCATTTCATTCAAATGGCCTACAAACATGAGAGATATCATCTGCAAACTGTACTGAAACACACACACAAATACCATAGGCCCTGCCAGCCATAGTTGTTTCTTCGCTTCTTCTGTTATCTCCTTTTTCCATAACCCCATTCTCTCTTCCTCAACTCTCACACAAAATAATAACACAACCTTCTCCAAACAACATTATATGGAGGATCCTCACAAATTAATAAATATTTATTTAAATATATTAATAACATTAAATATTATATGTATTTTTATAACTGTTCAACTTTAATGATAAAAAAATAATTAATAAATGCTAATAGAAGTTGATTCTCAATTTTTCTTATAATTTTTTTTAGATAAAATATATTTCAGTTTATTTTGTTCTAAAATAAAAAGATACATTTTCTCATAATCTAAATTTTTTGTAAAAGATAAAAAGTCAATAATTATTTTTACTAAATTTATTGAAATACGTCATAACATTAATTGTTTTACGTTTTTATTGGAAAGCTTTAAATTTTGTAATTGACATATTCAGAAACTTTTTGAAAAAAATAAATAAATAAAATATATATCAAACATGCCTTGGTTCTTTGCATGGAAACATGGTTTTATACACCAGATATTTGCCGGGGTTTCATGATTCTTCTTTGACCTTGTTGACTTAAAAAATATCAATAAATTTCGATATATTTTCTTCGAGTTTTTCACATTCCACATAAAGTTTTACATTAACAATATATTTATATTTTAACTTAATAATAATGAAAATAAATAAATATTTATTAACGCAATGAATTGGAGACTATATTCAGTCACACTACCATAATAGTTATTGATCTAATAAATTTTTTTCATATACAATAAGAATAAAATGAATTACAGTACATAACCACTGCATCATGTTATAAATTTTTATGAATATGGAAATTTATTTTATTTCCAAATGCATTTAAAAGAATATTTAATTTTGTTTACTTTTTCAACTATTTTAAACAAGTTAATTACGAAATATAATGTAATTATTAAATGTTTTAAAGAATTTTCAACAAGTTGTATAAGTTATAATGTTACTATTAAATGTTTTAAACCATTTCCAAGAAACTATAATGTTACTATTAAATGTTTTAAACTATTTTCATCATTTTATATAAGTTTAATGGTGTTATTATTTAAAAAAATATTTTAAACAAAGTACATTACAAGTTATAATGTTATCATTAAATTTTTAAAATATTTTAAATAAATTATTATTAAATAATTTAAATTATAATACAAATTAAAAAAATCTTACAGTAAATATTTTGTACTATTATTTAATAATAATAGGGTGTCATATATTAAGCTTAATATATAGTTTTTGTAATAATTAATTTAAAGGCTATATTTAAAATAATTTTTTTATTAAATAATAATATAGAAAAATTACATTAATAATGTATTAATTAGATTTATTAATAAAAAGTGAATGACAAACGGGTGTCTTAAGATTTGTGAAAGTGTTAACTAGAAAGTTGTTATTATATTTAGAAAATCTTATATTAATATAAAAATCACTTAATATTTCATTTATATCCGAATTTATGTAATATATTAAAGTAATAATTCTCTCGTTATATCATTATTTTTTTTAATAAACATTGATACAAACAATTAAAAAATGGATAATTACCAACATATCCTTTGTTCGTCGTCTTAAAGAAGGTCATGAGTTGTGTACGGAAAAATGCAGTTTGGATTATAAAAGATATATAATTATAATTAAATAATTAAGTAAGTAAAATAAAGTAAAATTTCGGAGTTAATTCTTAAAGATTATTATTATTATTATTATTATTATTATTATTATTATTTATATCTTCTCTCCTTTTTATTTTGTTTTTCTCAATTTGAAATAGATCACAAAAAGTACTGTATAACAGTTGAACAAGCTTCTTCTTTAAATCAAATCGATTAAGGATGTGTTTAATTTTTGAAAATATAGTCAAATTTTCATTTCGTATTCTTAATTTTTTTTTTATTAAGTTTGGTATTAAAGTGTACTTTTCAGAATAAAAAACGTAATAAAAGAAATTTAGAAGGTAAAAAAACCAAAATCATCAAAAAGACTAATTAATGGGACCACATAATAGTGTTTTTTGGAACAGTTGTTTTCCTTTCCCCTGCTAGTGTTGTCTTCATCACCAACATATGTAATGGTCCCAATGACAAGTATGCATAAGCAATTGAGGGATTTTGATGTGGGACCAAATTTGTTAAACCTAGATTATACAATTAGACACTATACCTTGAGAAGTGCAACTCTATCACATTATTCATTTATTGGAACCAAAACAAAAAATGAGGCCTTGAATTTGATGCAAGTCAATATAAGAGAAAAAAAAAACAACCAATCACTTGTCTAAGCTTGGTCCTTAGCATGAGGACCACATTATATGGCCAAAATAAATAGTAAAATAAAAAATATTTCAACGGACAAAGTTTTATATTTGAATTTGTTATATTATTTACAATACCATTTTAATAAGTTTACCAAAATTTCAATACCAATCAACAACAAAAAGACAATGTTATACAGCAAAAATATTGAGATTAATTTAAGATCGTTACAGATTAAATGAATAAAATAACATTATTTATTGCATATTTTTTCCCTTAAATATATTTAGCTTAACATATTAGTTTATAACCCAGTTAAAAGTAAAATTTTTAAGTAATTATATAAGAGAGTTTCTGTAGATTACTTAACACATAAACTAATTTCAATTTAGGAAAAAGTTAATTTCATATTTTTCTTTTTCAAAAATCTTTCTAGAAAAATTCTAGAATCTAAATTGTGAACCATTTATTCCCTTTGCTAATTTGGTGAGTGGTTTTGTTTTAACACTCTAAGTATGAATGAATATCTATGAAGGTGCTTTCTTTTTTATGTACAAAATAATTATCCAAAAGCAATGTACACTAAATCATGCATTTCTAAAAAATCATAACCACTAAACAAAATCACTGTTCAACTACTCCATTTTGGTCACTTGGCTGTGCATTTGCATCAGGTTGGACTCCATTAATTCTTACTCTTTTTGCTGCATTATTTGCCTGAGTAGAATATTCCATTATTGATGTTATGATCAAAAGTTGAAATCTGAAACAAGACTGAGTTGTTGAAGACAGGAAGACTTACTTCTTTCTCCCAATTGGTGCGCAAGGTGACCACAAGGAAACACACTACTTGCAGAACAAGTGAAAGAACAATCCCTAAAAGGAGCCCCTGAAAGCACCAACGCCAATTAAACAAAATTTACCATGATAATCTCAAAACTGTTTGCATGACTTTTTTGAGACTGTCACATATTGGCCTAATCTTACCTCAGCTTTCACATGGAGGACAAAGGCTAACACAATTGCAAAAGGGAGACCCACAAGATAATATGATCCAAGATTGGAAAATGCACCAAGCTTCTGCCAACCACATCCTCTTACAATACCTTTTCACACCCCAAAGGATTACTTCAGAAGTTAAGTTCAAATATGTATATAATAAATTCTTGGTCAAGGATGAACAATTTTTTATACTGATATTGATATTATTTTCTCATTTCAAATGGGAAAAATTTATCATCTTTGTCAAAGTGCCACTATTTTGATGGTATATGTTCATGGAATAGTGAAACTTTCTTTACAAGCATCAGATAAACGCTAATTCCATAGTGCTGGTTTCATTTTTAGACACTAGCTAGGTGAAGTGGAATGCAGTCATTTCTTTAAAAATTTATTACTATTTGATGTTACATTATACCTAATTATATATTTTTTTTCATCCTGTTATGATGCATAAGGTTCTTCATACTTGTTTTACTTAATAATTTTAGTGCAACTTTTGGTAGCACTTTACTTAATAATACCTGATAGAGCTGTTTGAATTGAATCTACAAAGACAAAGATGGCAAGAATTGGAGTCATGGATGCCACATAATGGACTACTTCAGGTACATTGGTAAAAATATGTCCCCAAATGTTCCTTGTCAGTATGAGGAGAGTAAATCCTAAAACCCCAACCATGAGGGAAATCAATAAGGTGACTTTGACAGCTAAATATGCAGCTCTTGGGCACCCAGCCCCGAGTTCATTTGAGATCCTTGTACTGTTGATAGCAAACATATAAAATGTAGTTGGACATGGCAAACCAACAATGGCATATAAAACATGATATTGCAATACTTGTTTTATTATGGTGATAAATTTAGCAGTTATTCATATTTTTTCTTCATGGTTGGAATAAATAACACTTCTTTTTATCATGAACATACTTTTCCTTTTTTAATAATGGATTATAATAAGTAGCATTAGATAGCACCAAGGACTAACCTTGCAGCAGCACTGAACCCAAAGGGTATCATCCAAAATAGACCAGTTGTATTAAAGCTGGGGATGAGAGAAGTACAATTGTTCACTGATAATAATAATGCAGAAAAATGGTGCATTCAAAAGTGAAAGATCTACGTAATCGCATGCCATATGAAATCTTGATCATACAATGGCATAGCCCTAAGATCTTCATTGAAAAAGCAAAGTAAACTAACCATATAGAAAGGGCAGAAGTTTGCAACTTTGGATTAGGAAGAGCCCCAGACAGGAGTATCATTATCTGAAAAGTCCATTGTTCAAAGCTGTAACAGGGTAGTGCAGAAATGGGGAGTTAGGTACTACAACAAATATTGGTTTATTCACATTGTTATTAAATTAAACCCACATAGAATAGGTGATACATAGAGATGGGCTATTGGCTCTGATATGATTGGTATGATATGATGTTAGATTTCTTCTTAAAACTAATCATCATTAAGTGAAATTGTTAAACAAGTGTATAAGTTGCACATTGGGAATTAAGGCAAACCATATGAGACTTTTTCTGAAACACATTATGAATCATAAGGAATAAAAATGACTTTTTTCTCAAGGCATATATGTTTGATGCTGGAGAAGAATATTAACTAACTTAGGAAAATAAATTCAATGTCAAGAAGTTCATACTCCTTTCTTTAAAACTATGACACGTGGCTTGTTAGATATTGTTTTTAGGATAGAAATGAAAGAAAAATGTCAAAATATGAGTAGGTACTTAAGGAGTACTGAAATTGTTCATGCATTGGGTGTCAGTTGTTATCTTTCCATAGAAGTTAATTTTGGTTCAGTAACAATGATAATACCAGACCATGAGTGTTGAAGAAAAAGCAAGCTTGAGAAATTGAGGGATGTTGTGCAAGGATTCCCTTGAGAAACCAGTCCAAGTGCTCTTGCAGGAAGAGGAGAGCTTGATGTTTAGTGCTAGTACCACTGTATTAAGCCAATTTGAAATGCAAAACGCAATAGCAGCTCCTTTGATGCCAAGCCTAAGTTTCAAAACCAAAACCCAGCAGAGAAGGACATGTGCCAAGGTAGTGAATCCAGAAGCTAACACCATAGGAAGAACAATGTTCTGTGTTTGTAGGAATTTAACAAAGCATCGAAGAAGAGCATCGGCTGAGAGGCTTGGAATCAAGTATCTGGCATATAGTTGAGCTTGTGCTGCAATTGTTTTGTCCTGATGCAGAACAACCAGAATAGGCCTCAAGTATGCCCAAATAATGGACATCGGTATAGTAGCAATCATGGTAACCACTATTGCTCTCTGCATGTGTATGCCAACCATATGATACTGCTTTGCTCCATATGATTGACCACAAAATGTGTCCAGTGCACTTGACATGCCTATCTAAATAACCAATCAACATAAGCAATAAATATTTTGTCTGCAGCATGCAGATTTTGAAGAACAAATATTTGAAAGAGATACATACAAAACTATAACAGACATTTGAAGTTAACATTGTTTGTTCTGTTCTGTTACCACTTTCCTATGTTAAATAAATCTCCTTAACATTTTACTAGAGTAATGTTAAATTATCTAGTAGTTGAACATTAAATCCCCTCATAAGTTAGTCGAGCTAAGAAACATTTTGGATTTCAATCCAAGCAACTGAAAACCTCTAAAGAACTTGGGTTAGGTATCTTTGAACTTCATCAATTCAAACATAGGTAGAGGGTTTGGAATATGAATATGAAATTATTATCTTTGTGCCTTCGTATATGAGGGGATAAAGATGATGGAATACTCATGAACACTTATGTTATATCTAACTTGGAAATATAACAGCATAGGATATATTCATGTGAACTTACCAACACATTGAAACCAGTGACATTTACGAATGAATTAGCCAAAGACACACCGGCCAGAAGCAACTCGTTCAAATGGCCTACAAATATGAGAGATATGACTAGCAAACTGTACTGAAACACACTCACAAATACCATTGGCCCTGCAAGCCATAGCTGCTTCTTGGCTTCTTCTGAGGATTCCTTTTTCCATATGCTCATTTTGGCTACTCTCTCTCTTTTTCTCTTGGAACACTCTCAGTTTACCTGAAGATGGTTCCTACTTTCATCTCCAAATTGTAAACTGTGGAAATGTATTCAACTATTTGACAATTGTTTTTTATTATTAGTTGAAATATGGCAAGATTTACATGTATAACAGAGTTGTTTTTATAATAATTTATATGTGAAAGAGATGCTGGTTTTGTAGTGACCTACAAAAAAAAATTTCCTTCTTTTTTTTCCATTTGGATAAAGAGTTCATACTTAAGTTGTACAACATGAAAGAATAAAAAAAAAAATTTGTGTGTGTGATGTTCAGGGAATAAATAAAAGAATCTTGGAAAAGAAAGATGAAATAAGTAAAAGACATTTAAGGACAATGAGTTGTTGCACATTGATTCTAATGTTATTCTGTCCTTTGGGTGACTGACGGACGTTAATCACAAATGGTGTATATAGATTAGAGTAGGGATTAAGAGAAGTCAGGGGAACGTTAATAGTAATTTATTTAGATTATAAATGTATTTGGACTTTGTTTTAATTAATAGATAAATAATAATATCAAATACAAGGAAAAAAAATCAAATATAAGAACAATGGGTTTTAAAATACATGATTATTTTATGACTCTATATAAAATAGAATAAGGTGATGATTATGTTCTCCATGATTCCTACATATTTTGCACACGGTGCCAATTTTTAGAATAAAATAAAGGTTTAATTTTTAAATAATAAACTAATTGTTTCTACATTTTATGCATGAATAAAAAATGATGCAATAGATGCCGTGCAATTAATTGGAATTAATGTCATTTATATATATTAATTATTGTCCTAAGATACCTTAATAATGTGGTAACTTCTATGAAAAAACATGGTTAATTAAGTAGTTGTTATTTTTTTTTGTGTGTTTTGAAATTAGAAATATATATATTCCAATTAAGTAGAAAGTTTAAAATTATCTATCATTTACAACATAATAAAAAATTTATGAGATGACATTTTTATAATAAATTATATATTGGCACGTAATTTAAGTTATCTTGGAGATGAGATGTGAAATTTTAAAATTTTAAAGGTGATTAGTGATGTTCTTGAAAGTGAAGTTTAATTTTTTAATTATAGATTATTAATTCAAAATAAAAAAATATTTTGAAGAACAATAATTGAGAACATGTTGTTACACACCCTAATTACTATGACTACAGTCATTGTCATTGGATATGAATTGATATTGTCCTAGTCTCTTATGAAGTTGCCCTCAAGAATATGGCAACTAATATATATATATATATATATATATATATATATATATAGTTTTGAAATTGAAACAAGGACATAAATATTCAATTTATTAGCAATAACACTCTTAGTGGATATTTATGTATAAATTAAGAAATAATATTAGAGTGAAAAATGAAAAATATATGAATGGTTTAAAATGATTGAATATATTTTATATTTTGAAAATCTAATTGAAGAAAAGTCGAAAAACCAGTAAAACTGGTCAAAATGGGTGAAAATAATTAAAAAGTATTTAATAATATATTATTTTAATTAAAGAATAAAAAAAATCTAAACTTTTATTTTTTTATTCTATATATGAACTTATTATTTTTAATAAATATTAATAGTATTATTAGAATTTTAATTTAAGTATACATGTTCGCATATTTTATTTTATAAAATTGTATATTTATTTTAGATATTTATGTTTCATTTAATTTTTGAATATTATATAATTGTTTTATTATTTTGTTTAGTGTTACTTTATATATATTGTTTAATTATTATAATATTTTTATTAATACCGATTTAATCAACTTTGATAACATGGTGTATACTCTCTTAGACATAAAAAGTGAGAGAACTCTAATGAAAGCTTTTGAAATGAATTAAAAAATTATAAATTCATTTGTACAAAATTAAATACATATATTTGAAAATTCTCCTATGTGGATTATGTAAGGAGTTAATTCATAATTGATATATTTAGTTTGGTCAACTTTTTTTTTTTTAAGGAAAACTAAACCAAACGTTTATTTATTTTTTCAAAAAATCTCTTAAAGATAAAATAAAGTAGTGTTATTTAAGAAAGATAAAAAAAAAATCTACATTATTAATTAAGAACCATTGTGACCTTTTAGAAACACCGTGTTTGATCTGCAAAGTTTTCAGTATCAATAAAATCTTGGTCAATAAAATCTCATGCAAATGGAGTTAATGGATCCACCACAACACAAAGCAAGAACAGTTTCCTAAGAAAATCACATCATCACTCTGTTTCTGGCATTACTCACATCACAACACAAATAATACACCGTGGAAACTACAATGTTATCTGTATATTCATCTTTCTCTATTTTCTTTTTCCAATTAACACAACATATCTATAACATCCTAGTTACTTTCATTCTGTGTACTAAGTATTGTACAAAAACAAAAAAAATAAAAAAATGTGCCGCAAATGATGGATCCGAATAATTACCTAACCATAATTTCTCTTCAACTCCTTTTTTGTCACTTAAAAGCTAATGTGTATCAGCTTGGACCTCTTTGTCTTTTGCTCTCATGGCTGCCTTATTTGCCTGAAAATAAAGATATTACTCTATCAGAAACCATATAAAATAATGTTACTATATTGTTATTAAGATTCAAAATTGAAGGAAAAACTGAGTAGAAGAAAGGAGGGTTTACTTCTTTCTCCCAATTGGTGTGTAAGGTGACTGCAAGGAAACACACCACTTGTATACTGAGTGCAAGTACAATCCCTAACAAGAGACCCTTTTGGTTTTTGAAGAAATATCAATTTGAAAGCATTAGCTCCAATTGAACAAGTTTACTACTCAGAAATATGGTAAAAGATGGGTTAAATCTTACTTACCTTTCCTTTCATGTGGAGGACAAAAGCTAACACAATTGAAAAGGGAACTCCCACTAGATAGTATGATCCAAGATTCACAAATGCACCAAGCTTCTGCCAACCACACCCTCTGGCTATACCTTTTAATTTCACAACTCAAAGAATTAGCCATGACCAAGTTCATTTAGGCATTTAACATTCAGAATTGCATCTACGTTTTGTCTTTTATCTATTCATATTGTAAGGGAGAAAATGTTTCTCAAAATTCATTGAATGTTTTTGTTCACCTGAGAATGCTGTTTGAATCGAATCTACAAAGACACAGCTTGCAAGAACTGGTGTCATGGACTCCACGTAACTCACTATATCAGATACATTGGTAAAAATTCGGCCCCAAATGTTCCTTGTAAGTATAAGAAGAGTAAACTCTAACGCCCCAATGATGAAGGACATTAGTAAGGTGACTTTAACAGCTAAAAGTGCAGCTTTTGGACAGCCAGCCCCTAGTTCATTTGAGATCCTTGTACTGTTGAGTGGAGATAAAATGTGATGAGTCTGGTATACATTTTCTATTCATGAATCATCTTCTTCATTATACATTTTTAATGAAGCATGAAAGACTAACCTTGCAGCTGCACCAACTCCAAAGGGTATCATCCAAAATATCCCAGCCGTATTAAAACTGGGATAATTAAGAAAAGTCCAATTAATCATTGGCAACAATGCTTGAAAAATGGCGCATTCAAACTACAAAACATACAATAGCATATCTATAAACTCTTAACTAAACAACTAACCATATAGAAAGTACTGAAGTTTGCAATGTTGGATTAGGAAGAGCACCAGATAAGAGCACCATTAGTTCAAAAGTCCAGGTCTCTAGGCTGCAATCAGGTAGTACCACAGAGGAAGAATAAGAAATTCTTATAAAAATTAGTTACAAATACATTGAGTCACAAGGAATAGAAGTGACATTTTTCAAGGCATTATATATTGATGATTGAGAAGAGTATTATTATCTACTTTGATTGCAAGTTGCTATACATCTATGGAAGTCAATTTTATTTTTAAAAAGAATATCATACCAGACCATGAGTGCTGAGGGAAAGGCAAGCCTGAGAAATTGAGGAATATTATGCAAGGATTCCCTTGAGAAACCAATCCAAGTGTTTTTGCAGGAAGAGGAGAGCCTGATGTAAAGTGCAAGTAGCACTGTGTTAAGCCAATTTGAAATGCAAAATGCAATGGCAGCTCCTTTAATGCCAAGCCTAAGTTTCAGAACCAAAAGCCAACAGAAAAGGACATGTGCTAAGGTAGTGAATCCAGAAGCTAGCACCATAGGAAGGACAATGTTCTGTGTTTGTAGGAATTTAACAAAGCACCGAAGAAGAGCATTGGCTGAGAGGCTTGGAATCAAGTATCTGGCATATAGTTGAGCTTGTGCTGCAATTGTTTTGTCCTGATGCAGAACAACCAGAAAAGGCCTCAAGTATGCCCAAATAATGGACATTGGTATAGTCGCAATCATGGTAACCACTATTGCTCTCTGCATGTGTATGCCGACCATATGATACTGCTTTGCTCCATATGATTGACCACAAAATGTGTCCAGTGCACTTGACATGCCTATCTAAATAACCAATCAACATAAACAGATAATAATTTTTTGTATGGAATAATGCAGATCTAGAAAACATTTGAAATTGGATACTTCATTTAGAGTTTGACCTGGTTAGCTTTTGATAGAAGTTTTAAAATATGATGGAACACAGCATAATTCTATTTTATGTTATTTATAAAATAAAACAGAATACAACATGGGATGGTACATTTTGGTATTGTTGAAAAAGGTCAAAACAAAGATGAATGGAAGAAAATAGAATGCTTCATTAGTCTATTTCCTAATGATATCAAAGAATATGTTTTTTGTATACTACTTACTTTCCTTTACGTTACTTTTAACACTACCATTGATTTAAAATATAGAAAAGTTGTCTGATACATAACTGACATTTAAGTGAGAAAAGAAAAGTAAAGAAAAAAAGTGTAAGAAATTTAGTAATACATCCTAGAAAGTGGTAGTTTAAGATGTAAATACATTTATAAGAACTAAAGAAGTATTTGGTAATGGTGAATAGGATATTGGTAATATTACTTTATTATCTTTTATTGAAATTAGATATTAAGATAATTTATTATCTTTTAAGAGAGAAGGTAAAAAGGTATTAGGTTATTATTTTGATTTAGATAGTTATGAGTGAAATATTATTAATATTTGATATTTTGTAATATTTTTACTCTATATATACATAGAGTACATGAATAGAAATATACTCATATGATATATCAGAAATACACATACACAAAACCCTAAAAAATCCCATCAGTGATATTAAGAGTTTTGGTTTGATACAATGGAAGGAAAAAGAAAATTTTCTCAAGTAGCTATTCCAATTTTTTATGGCGGAAGTTATAATTCATGAACTGTGAGAATGTAATCCTATCTTGAAGGATTGGATGTATGAGAAGTTGTGGAAGAAGATTATATTGTTGATCCGCTACCTGAAAATCCCACCATAATTCAAATGAAATTTCATAGAGAAAGAAAAACGAGGAAGACAAAAACTAAATCATGTATGTTTGCTGCTGTTTCCCAAATGATCCTCACCAGAATCATAACGTTAAAATCACCCAAAGAAATTTGGGATTATTTGAAAGATCGATATGAAGGGGACGAAAAAATTCGAGATATGAAAGTTCTAAACTTGATAAGAGAATTTGAGATATAAAAGATGCAAGAGTTTGAGACAATTAATGGATACTCCAACAAATTATTGGGTATTGCTAACAAAATAAAATTGTTAGGCAAGGAATTTTCTGATTCCAGAATAGCTGATAAAATTATGATAACTGTGCCAGAGAGATATGAAATATCTATTACTTCATTGAAAAATACAAAGAATTTGTCTAATATTACTTTGACATAAGTGCTACATGTTTTACAAGCGCAAAAACAACTAATATTGATAAGAGGAGATCATGCTGCTGGTGAAGGTTCTTTACTATATCATGATGGAGGTTTTCTCCAAGGTAAGAACAACAAACGTACTAAATCACAAGTTTTGTCTATCTGTCCTTATTGCAAGAAAAATAATCACATACCCAACAAGTGTTGGTGGAGACCTGATGTGAAATGTCTCAAATATGGTCAATTGAGACATATAGAAAAGATATGCAAATCACAATCAGAAGAAGTCGTCAAGGTTATGGAGGATGAAATAGAAGGGGAACTTCTTCGTGTTATAGAGGATGGAGTAGAAGAGGTACTTCTCCTTGTATCAACATGCTCTACAATTAACAAATCCACCGATTGACTTATAGACCGTGGTTGTACAAACCACATGACTCATGATCGAAAACTTTTCAAAGAGCTCAACGAATCACATATTTCTAAAGTGAGAATTGATAATGGAGAACAAATGAACCTGAAAGGTACAAGAACAATTACATTTAAAAGTCATTCAAGTATCAAATTAATTTTTGATGTTTTATATGTTCCTAATATTAATCATAATTTGTTAAATGTTGCTCAATTATTGGAGAAAAATTATAAGGTATTTTTTGAACACAAATTTTGTGTGACTAAAAATACAAATAACTTGAAAATATTCAAAGTTCACATGAAAAAACAAATTTCACTTTAGATTTGATGATAGAAGAGTTTATTGCAAATGAGGATATAAAAAAAAATCAAAGGAAAAACATGAAGAATATTTCTTGAAGAAACTTGATGTTAAGGAGGAACATAAAGATATAAAAGAAGAAATACTTTGACGAAGAAAATGAAGTTGAACGAAGATGTGATCCTATACAAAAAGAAATATGACAAGAAGTACAAACAAAAAAGAGAAAAAAATTATAAGTAAAATAAAAGAAAGAATATCAAATTCAAATAAATAGATATTAGAGTAAGGAGGAATGTTGAGAATATTATTTTATTATCTTTTATTTAAATTAGGTATTAAGAGATTTTATTATCTTTTAAGAGAGAAGGTACAAATGTATTAAGTTATTATTTTGATTTAAGCGATTACTGAGTGAAATATTATTAATATTTGATATTTTGTAATAATTTTACTATATATATAAAATATATGAATATGAATAAAAATATACCCACATAATATATATCAAAAATACACAAATACAAACTACTAAAAAATCACATCATACATCTACTAACTAGGAATCAGAATAGAAAACTCGTAGGAGGATTATTGAATTATTCAATTTCAAAAAAGAAAAATGTCCTTAATATATATAGATTCCCTGACGTGATTCACTTGAGTTATTTTCAATTTTTTTTATTCAAGTCCAACAGTAAATTATGTTCTAGTAAAAAAAAAAAGGCAAATTTGAGAAAAAATTGCACATCCCAAGAAATTAAAAAATTAACTGTTATGAAATTGCATACATAAAGGTGTGACAACCGTTGACTCATTGGAGTCCACAACCATGTTATCTTTTCTTAATCTGTGTTCTTGGTCTGGACGAATACACAGATCTGAAACCATGCTCATTGAGAAGTGTCAACAACATTTCCCCATTTTCTCCTTATTTAAAGAAACTAGTGGGAGAAAGAAAGAAAGAAGCATTGTGGATTTCATTGCATAATGCATTATGAACGACAAATCCTGACATGCTAAAGGGTTGGTATTTGATATCTTGTTCACTGACATGAAAATGGTGTGTAATAATACTCTATGACAAATACTAACATGCATTACTCCTTTAGAATACATTTTAGTTTACATGTGCACTTTTTATATTTTAACCCTTTAGAATGCATTACTAACATGCATTACTCCTTTAGAAAATTGTAACATTAAAGAAATAAAGAAATAGATATTAATTTGATTTAATTTTAATTTTGAGTTAAAAAAAGTTTTAATAATAAATTTTGGAAAGTTATCTAATAATAAGTTAAAAAAAAACTCTTTAATAAACTGTTTCAAATAGAGAACAGTAACACTGCCTAGTAACCAAAAATCATAATGGAAGTTAAAAGGTTTATTTTTTTTAATTCATGATAACGAAAAATAACTATATAATAAAGGGAATATAAAGTTAAAAATACCACATATTTTAATATTTTTTTAGTATTTAAAAAACTAAAAATAAAAATAATTTTTAAAACTGTTTTTAAAAATAATTGTAGAAAAATAGTTTTTAAACTAAAAAAATACAATCATTTTTAATCATTTTAAAATTTATTAAAAATAAATAATTTTAAAACAATTTTATTTAACAAAAGAAAAAATATATTTTAAACTATAAAATATACAACTCAAAAAATAATTTTACATCATTTAAATTATTGATTAAATTTTAAAAATATAATTTATATATTTGAAAATGTTATTATAATATTTTAAGTATTGAATTTTTTATTTTATTTTTTTCAGATAAATCCCTAAAAGGAAAAATAATAATAAAATGTCAATACGCATTTATATTTTAAATTACATTATCCATTTTGGAAACGTGGATGCCAAAGTGATTGAATTAATAAGTTTATAACAAAAAATGTAATACTGCATAAAGATAGAATAATATATATATTTCAAAGTATATTTATTTATTTAAAAAAATATTTTTATCTTTATAATTCATGTTTAATAATTTAAAATAGTAAATCATATTAATAATTAGATTAAAAAAATAAATTAAAGAGTGATGATTGAATAAGTAAATTCCTTAACACTTTCTCTATAAAAGAATAATATATTAATTATTCATTCTTACATCTTAATTTTATTAAAATATAAATGGTAATAAGTTTTAAACAAATTAATCTCCTCATAAATTAAAAAAAATTAAAATAATAATAAATAATAGATGTAAATAAAAATATTTTCAATAATTAATATTTCTCGTAAATAATTATTTATTTTTATGTTTATTATTCAATATATATGTATAAACTTTTAATTATATTATTTTGGTAGTATATGATAAGTATAATAATAATTATAAAAATTAAAGTAATCATTTAATATATTAAAATTGGTTTATTGTAATATTATTTTATTAATTTAAACTTAAATATTTTTAGAAAAAAAGGATATTTTATAATTATATATCAAAATATATATTATTAAAAAATTAAAAAATTCTTTCTTAAATTTCAGAGGTTAATTTATAATTATATATCAAAATATATATTATTAAAAAAATGAAAAATTCTTACTTAAATTTCAGAGGTTAATATCCTCCAGATATTAAATACATGAGATTTTAATTTAAAAAATTAATTTTAAAAACTATTTCATTTATAAAAAAATTAATTAATAATTATATGAGTAATTTTATAATTATATAAATATTTAATTTTAATTTATTTATATATTATTATTTTTTAAAATTAATTTTTTTCTTTATTTTCATCTATATTTTCATCTCTCTTTTTTCTTATTTTCAAACATTCTCTATTCTTTATCATTATCATTTTTTTATTAATATAATAGTTTAAAATAATAATTATATTAAAAAAATAATGATAAAAATAATAGAATTTTTTTTAATGGAGTAATTGAATCTATATATATATATATATATATATATATATATATATATATATATAAATAATATAAATAAATTAACCTTGATAAAGTACTTCCGTTGAATAATGAGAAGTATAACATGTTGCTTTCTTTTCACAAATTCTTATATCCTCTTTATTTCATTGGTTACAAATAATTTTAAAAGAAAATTCAAATTTTGTTCTTTTTGTTTTAAGTGTAGATACATTTCAATTCGTTCCCAGTATCTGACACTTTTTTTTGTTTTATCGATGAGATGAATCATTATATTTTCATATTTTCTTACCATTCTGTACTTATTTTAATTATTATTTTTAGCTTAATTTTTTATTATTAGTGAATTTTTATTAATTGGACTTTATTGGGCTAATAATTTATATTTTAATTAATTTAAATCTATTTGATCTAATTTTTACTCATTATTATTTCCAGAACCGTTTAAAACAATTTTTGACATGAAAGATTAGGTTAAATACCATATTTTATTCTATACTGGTTACTAATATTGGTTCACTGTTTTAATTATCATTTTTTCTACAAAGCTCCTAAAATCATGATTTTGGAAGAATTATAAACTAGACACATTCAACTTTCCAGAGAGGATCCAGAACCATTCAATTTGGAGCTAAATTGGATTTTACATAAATTATAAAAAAGAGTTAAGCGCACTAGACCGACCCAATGGACATGCTTCAGTAATTTAAGTCTCCTAAATTCATTAGACCTCCAAAAATAGTAGAAATGGTGGTGTTTTAAAGTTAACTCAAAAGGCTTTCAAAGGAGACTGGAATCGTTTAATTTGGATAAATATTGAAAATACTACACGTATTTGAAGTTCGCAGAACTACACTAAAGTTAACTTATGATGTGTTTTATGGGCCAGTTTGACTCAAACCTAGATTAATATTAGAGTTAAGGTTATTTATATAAAGGAGACACACCACGCAACCACCTTTCATCTTCTGCATTTTTTATTCAAAGTTTTAGGTTTTGAGAAGAGAGACGCGACAACTGCTCTAGTTTTCGTCCAATTTTCAATTCTTCTTCATTTGGATGATTGTAATGACTACAATGAGTGACTAACTTCATTCTCTTAGGATTGAGTGCACTTCCTTTGAACTTTTTTTGTATCTTGGTGATATTTTGAGATATTAATCTATGTTCTTGATGTTGTTATTCTTATCCTTTGTGTCTTTTAATGCTTTTATCCTTGATATTCATATATATTGGAAAATATATTTTGACATCCTTGATTAGGTTAAGAATATGATTGCTAGGAATGGTAATGGATGTATTAAGTGTTTAACACCCTAAACCTAATATTGGAAAATCTATTAAATGTATGAGGAATCTATGTTTACAAGGTTTTCTTATGAATTTCATGTTTGAGGAATCAATGTGAATGATTTATGTAAGTGACATCAACATTGATAGATTAATTGATGTTATTAATTTGACCTAACCATTATACAAATGAGGGAAAATGAATTAAGTCAATCTTAAGTTCTTATATTTTATTTTTTCTAAAAATACTTTATAATTCTTTGTCATTTATTTTCAATCCAAATATTTATGAAAAACCAATTTTATGTTAATATACTTAGTAAACATATAACTTGGAATTTCCAGTGAAATCATTCTTTGTGGGATCGACTTTTATTTAATTGAAATACTATAGTATGATTGATAGTATTGGTATGCTCTCCAAAAGATCAATATGATGCTCATTTGTTCATAAATAAAAACATAAAATAAGAAAGATATGATTAGGCAAAAATTTACTAATTAAATGTTAGGTTACTGTTATTATTTCAAAGTGAAAGTGAAGAAGTTGTTGTAATAAGCTTAGATTTCTCAGTTCAAATAAATGAAATCTAGGACTAATATATTCACTTATTTATCCATGCATCACTGTTATGCATAGTTAACTATGCAAAGAAGACATTAATTCACTTCTGAGATGGGAAATGGATCTCCCTGGGGCAACTCAGGAGGGATTCTGCTATTTTGGACTCTCATTGCTGCTTTATTTGCCTGAACAAGGAAAAGATACAAATAGTGTGAGTGGAATAAAATGTTGAGATTGTCACTTGTGCAGAAAAATGAGATGGAATGTGTCTTACTTCTTTCTCCCAGCTAGTTCTGATGGTAATGACACCAAAAAGCATCACTTGCACTGTGAATGCAGAAACTATTCCCAACCAAAGACCCTATTTCAAGACATGCATTAGCCAAATTTATCTGAAGTGCATGGCAAGTTGCAATAACTATATATAAAGACCACTAATAAATTATGTGTAATATACCTTCCCTTTCATGTGCAGAACAAAACCTAACACCACTGCAGAAGGAACTCCCACAAAATAAAATGATCCAAGATTCACAATTGCACCAATCTTCTGCCAGCCAGAACCTCTTGCAACGCCTTGTTTTCCACCAATAAATTGACTGATTATTTAATATTGTGTACAAAAATGGATGTTCTGAAACAGTGAATTTATGTGCCTCCTAGCCAATTAAGAAACCTTTAATTACATGGCAATGAAAGTTTTCACTCACATACTCTCTCTCACTGTCTCATTTTGGGTGACTAAAATATCCTTATTAACTACAAAACTACGTTGCCACAACTATATATCTACAAGTGCATTTATTTCTTCATTATATTATTGGAAAAAAAAATAGTAATTACTCCCTTGACTAATTTAAGACAAAAATTATTCCAAAAGTTACAGAAAATGAGCTGGAGGGAATATAAAGGAATTATGTAGGAAGTTGATATGAATACCTGAAAGAACACTTTGACTCCCATCAAGGAAGCTGCAGATAGCAAGAATAGGCATCATGGCTGCTACATAATTTATAACTTGTGTTTCACTACTGTAAAGATTGCCCCATATTTTTCTAAGCAGGATCATGAGTAATACCATAATAATACCCTCAGCAAGGACCAGGACGAGAGCAACTCTAACTGCAAGACTTGCAGCTTGTGGATTACTAGCCCCTAGTTCGTTTGAGACCCTTGTGCTGTAAAGGAAGAAGTTTGTAGATACATTTATGAATTGCTTCAACAAATTCTACAATTGAATGAAAAACTCATCTACATAATGGAATAGTGTTTGGATATGTAGAGAATGAAGGTACCATGCAGCAGAGCTTAATCCAAAGGGAATCATCCAGGCAATTGCAAATGTGTTAAGACTGAAAACAGAAAATGTCACACTACTCATTAATATGATCATCCTCAAAGAAGGTAAGTTATTTTGTGAAAGGGGGAAATAAGTAAACCATATAGTATGTTGCATTGTTACTAACCATATGGATGACACTGAAGTTTCTAACTGTGGATTTGGAAGAAGGCCAGATAACAGAACCATTAGTTCAAATGCCCAAGCCTTTAAGCTGTCCGTGTAAGGTTAAACTAAATCAGAAACATGGTAATAATAATTTAAGAAATTTTAGAAATTGATAGCTCTCAGTCATTATAATTCATCCAGGGGGATGGCTATATTTAGTGATGATGAGAATGAGTGTGTTGCTTCAAGGTCAAGAATTTACCAAAGCATACAAGCTGAAGGAATTGAAATTTTAAGGAATTCTGAGATATTTTGCAAGGCCTTCTTTGAGAAGCCAGTCCATGATTTTGCACATGAAGAAGAAAACTTCACATAAAGTCCTACCAGCAGTAGATTGATCCAGTATGATACTGTATTTGCTATGGCAGCTCCCTTGCTTCCAAGTCCTGATTTAATTACCAACACCCAACATAAAGGGATGTGAAGTAAAGCCACCACTGCAGAGCTCAGAACCATGGGGAAGACAATGTTTTGAGTTTGTAGAAACTTGAGAAGGCATTGAAAGATGCCATAAGCAAAGAGGCTTGGAATCATGTAAAGGGCATATACCCCTGCCTCCTCAGCTATGGCAACTTGCTGGTGCATGGCAACTAGAATTTGTTTGGTGAATGCCAACATGATTCCCAGAAAGACACTTACAAATGAGAGAACAAAGGTAGCTCTTTGCATGTGTATGCCTAGCATATGGTGCTGCCCTGCCCCAAATGATTGGCCACACAAGGTATCCAATGCACTGGCCATACCCATCTGTTTATAAGTTATAACAAGTAATCAGCAAGGATGAATTACCTACTCTTACACTCATACTCTTTGGATATATATATATATATATATATATATATATATATATATATATATATAGATAGATAGATAGATAGATAGATAGATAGATGGATATAGATACTCAAATTTAGTGGTACAATTTCCTTACCAACAAGTTGAAACCAGTGACAGATGCAAAGGAAGTGGCAAGTGAAGCACCAGAAAGAGGCAATTCTCCAAGATGACCAACAAACATAACAGATATCACCTGCATACTGTACTGCAGCATACCAACTGTGAAGAGAGGTCCAGCTAACCATAACTGTTTCTTCATTTCTTCCACCACTTTCTGCTTTGAAACTCCTCGCATTCTTGATTTTGTTTCCTCAAGTGTTGCTTCTCACTGTATTTCATTCAAGGCAACATTATTAGGTGACTAATCAGCTAGATAATAATTCACAATTAAGTTTCAATTTGTGGTGGAGAGAGAGTGATAAATTGAAGTGCAATAGCGTTACACAATATAAATGGACACCTTGCCAAGCCAAACTCTTTTTGAGGAAATTGGATTGCTCAGACAACATCAATTTCCCTCTTGTGTTTCACTGCTCTTATTCCATACACACTGAAAATCTTGTCAATTTTGTTCTTATTCCTTCTTTTGATTACTGATCCTGCCGTGTTTTGGCTTCTTTATTAAGTCTTTTTGGTGCCCTTATGCAACGTAGAATGTCCCATTTTTGGGTAGAATTGTGTTCTCCAACCTTTTTTGCTCTATCACTCTCTCTCTGCTTTCTAAGTACAAATTTCCCTTGGTTTTATCTCACCAGTTTTCTTGGAAATTTTCGTTTGTTCATGCATAAAGCTTTGTTTAAAAATTCTCTTGTGGAGATTGACCCAAGGTAATAACAAAACTCTAACTTAGGATTTACAAAAATAAATAAATAATTCTTTTGTCACAGGTTTTCTCCTTCCTATATATATTAACTCCGTTTATGTTATTCATCTTTTATTTCGTTTATTTATGAAAAACTATTTTTGTGTATTTTATCAAAATCATAATCAGAGAAAACTTATTTTCATTACAGATAATTTTTTATGAAAAAAAAAAGGATGCACACATCATTATATATATGAAACTTATGGTGAAAGACATTGTAATTTATGAAAAGGAAAAAAAAAATAGACGAAGAAAATATATAATATGAAAATGGTAATAGTTAAATTAAATCGAAGTTTTTTTAGATTAAAATAAAAAATAGATAAAAATTTAAAGTTGATTTGATTAATTTGACAGGATAAAAACTACAAATTAATTTTAAATATAATAAACTACAAAAATGTTTTTAGTTAAAATTTAATAGAAACGAATATAAATTAAAATTGAAAGATGATTAAATATGAAATAATATTTTTATAAAATTGAAGATAATATTAAACATTATTTTAATAAAATTTAATTATTTAAATAATTAACTACAAACCATATATAATGTTAAAAAAATATTTACATCAAATAAAAATGTTAAGAAATAAACATAAATCTTCACAAATTTGAAAAAAAGACATACAATATAAAAAAATTATCTTATTCCACATACATAACTAATTATAATTAAAAACATAATATCCACACGTATAATTTTATTATTTATTTCTTTTTATAATTTGTTCGTAAAGACGATTAGAGATGGGAATGTTTATTTTTTAAGAATTGTTTGAAATTATTTTAAAAAGTTATTATTAAAGAGAAATAATATTATAATAAAAATGACTTGCGTTTAAAATAAAAAATATTGTATTCTCTCATTGATTAGGGAAGAGAATATGAAGAAGGAAAGAGAATTTGAGAATAAAGAGATGTTCACGAAGGAATTTTAATATTCTTTAATATTGAAATAAAAATTGATAAATATTTTTAAATTTAATATGGTAATATGAAATCTACAAAATATAAATTTATATTAAGAAAATGATGAATTTTTTAAACTTTCTTAAGCATTAAAAATGTCTTTATTGTTATTTTTATATGCTGTGGAAAAGAAAGTTTATTTTTATTTGTATTAATTTTTTAAAAGATCATACTATTATATAATTATATATATATATATATATATATATATATATATATATATTAATAATAATTTTAATTTTACCAGTATTTTAATGTTTATGATATTTTTCATATTTGTTGTATAATTTTATTAGTAGGAGATTATTATTTTTGAACTAAATATAGTTTGAATTAATTTCTGCAAAAAAAATTTCATATATATAAATTAAGATGTAACAGAAGATGTTGAAGTATTTATACCTAGCATGCAAATAGATCCAATTCGACCTAACTGAGTAGGTGTAAAGCATAAATGAACATGAATATTTTTGGTATTAATCAATACATATTTCTTTTTTATATGTTATTGCATATTTCATTAGTGAACTAAAAAAGGTAAAAGAATTTATGTGAAAAAAAACCAATCATATGTTAAATTTAAAGGACAATATCAAAAATAAAATACTTTCAAACTTAACATTGATGTTATCCTAAAATATAATATACTCTTCCAAAATAAAATAAAATAAATTGTTGTCAAACAAAAAAGGAAAGGAAATAGTAAAAAAAAATTGTTGACTAACAAAACTTAGAAGAATTCCATCGAATTCAATTCAAATTCAAATAAGTTTTTTTTTTAATTTATTTTGAGACTTATTTTAGTCTAATTCAATCAAAATTATAAAATAATAATATAATTTTATTAAATTATTGTATTAATTAATTGTAAATATTATAATGTTTAAATATTAAATAATATAGTCAATTTTTTAATATTTTAAAATTAAAAATTTAATAAAAATATTAAAAAAAAACTGTGATCCAATTAAACTCAACCAAATATAGGATGGGTTGAATTGGGTAAAAAAAATTGTAAAAACTAAACTCAATTCAACTCAAAAAAGTTTTAATTAAATTTTGAACTATACCATAATCTTAAAACTCATATAACAACATTTTAATATTTGATATTTTACGTAAAAAAAATAGACTTTCAATTCTCCTACCCTTAAATTGAATTTTTAACATTACCATAGTTATAAGATGCATGTATTTTAATTGAAATTTAATTTTCAAATATTTATCGTAATGTTATAGAAATGTTAATATATATATATATATATATATCATTATCTTAAAAAGAAAACTTCTACTACCATTTTATATATATATATATATATATATATATAATATGGTAGTAGAAGTTTTCTTTTTAAGACAATGATAGAAAAAGAAAGGTTAGTTGAAGAGAACATCAGCAGATAGTTCTTTTAAAGGGAAAACATGAGGAGAAACCACAATTACAGATAATTTTTTTAAGGGAAACAATGAGGACACTTCTGAGTAGAGAGGACTTGATTGAGAAACAATAAGCAGTAGAGAAAATGACTAATAATTAGTTTAATTAACATCAAGACATCCCTAATACCAATACATAATAAAACAAGATAAAAACTGCATTGTTTTCATCCATTCGCCAACTGCATCATCTATTATCTTTCAACCATATGTAAAATAGTTGTCCCTAGATTTTTCTGCCAAAACAAGGATACAGAACTTGTAATGCTTTAATTTCACTCATGTAGAATTTAACTCAGAATGCTCAACTGCTAAGATATTGCACCTTTATGAGACTAAATTTTCTGGAGTTACCGAATTATAGACTCTATCTGTAGCTTTCTTGGCCTGAATGAGTTAAAAATTGAGGCATGTCAGCACTTGACATCACATAATTGAAAGGACCAAAGCAAATGAGAAATAAGAAATGCAAAGTTTCACCTGTTGCTGCCAATCAGTACGAATAGAAATGATCATTAAAGAACACACTTGAACAATGAGTGCACATATGATCCCCAACCAGAGTCCCTACAAGAAGTAATTAGCATGTAAAACAAAATCAGGTAATTGCAATGTAAAATTGATCATAACTAATCAATATCAAGGTTATGGTACAAAAGAATGAACTTTTGTTTACCTTCCCACCGATATGCATTACAAAAGCGAACACGATAGCTAATGGAATTCCAACTAAATAGTATGACCCCAGATTGACAAATGCACCAATTTTCTGCCAGCCACATCCTCTAGCAGTGCCTGAATTATTGTTGACAAAGTGAAGAAAGAAGGTTGTACATCATTTAATCTAGTTCATTCTTAATTGATGTGCAAAGTGCAAGAAGGAAAACGTGAGTTCTAAAGAAAATTGGCCACAAAATGAACTAATCCTATTTAAGTCTCAACTGCCAGTTTGTCTCATGTTCCATGCATTATGAAAGTTTAAAACTAAAGAAAATCAAATCTTATAATTGCTTAGCTGAAAGATTTAAATTAATATACTTATTTGTACTATGCACACAATTCCTTTTCGGGTATTTGCTCATAGTAACCATATGTCAATTGAGTGCTAGCTAAACTGCTAAAATTTCAGTTCAAAATTGTATTTTTTTTTTGTATGAGATGTATTGGAAGCTCTCATATGCCTCTCAGCCTATACCAGTGCTTTTGAGTCATATGTCTAGTTCAGACAACTAAGAGTAATGGGGGAAAGAAAAACCTGAAAGAACACATTGGAGTCCATCCAGAAAGTTAGATGCTGCCAGAATTGGTAACATAACTGCTACATATTTGACCACTTCTACTTCATTGCTATATAAATAGCCCCAGATGTTGCGTACAAGTATAATCACTGTTCCAGTTAAGGTGCTCACAATAATGGCTATTACTAAGACAACACGCACTGCTAAACGTGCATTCCATGGACGACCAGCTCCAAGTTCATTTGAGACACGAATGCTTCAAGAACCATCCATGCAAGAATTGATAAAGCAAGGGAAATTTTCAAGAACCAAATTGAGAAGTGAACAGAATGTCTGACAGATGCATGTTTGAGTGAATTTCATAAGTACCAACCTTACTGCTCCACTGAGTCCAAAGGGGATCATCCAGACAGTTGCAGCAGTATTCAAACTAGCAAAAGAAAACCATGTGTGTGCAATAATGTCAAGTATTGTATAATACTTACGAAAATAATAAAAATAAAAAAAATAATAATAATAAAATCAAGCGTTTGTAACAAATATGAAACGAACCAGATGGAAAGAACTGATGTTTCCAACTTTGGATTTGGAAGTAGACCAGAAAGGAGAACCATCAATTCAAATGACCACATTTCCAAGCTGCTCACCATAATAATGGTTCAAAAAATTTAGAAACAACATTAGTATCTCAAAAAGAGTTGAAAGTGCAATGTTAAAAAAGTAACAAACTAGAGATAGGTCTATTGTAAGAGGTGCTATTAAAGTATTAAGAGAAAGCAATTACCAAACCATAACAGCTGAAGGAACAGCAAGCCACGTAAATGTGAGAATGTCATGCAATGCCTCTTTGGAAAAGCCTGTCCAAGTTTTTGCACACGAAGGAGAAAACTTGACATAGAGTGAGAGCATGATAACATTAAACCAATAAGATATGGAACTTGCTACAGCAGCTCCTTTGTTCCCTAGTCCAGATTTGAACACCAGAATCCAACATATAAATACATGTAGTAGTGTGGTAATTCCGGTGCTACACATCATTGGAAATACATTATTTTGGGTTTGCAAGAATCTGTTGAGGCATTGTAGAAGGCCAAAAGCAAAAAGGCCTGGAATCATAAACGTAGCATAGCTCCCAGCTTCTGCAGCTATTTCAGGATCCTGGCCAAAGAAAATCAGGATGGGCCTTGTGTTTGCCCAAATAACTGCAAGTGGGATGTTGACAGTCATGAGAACAAACATGGCTCTCTGCAGGTGTATGCCTAACATGTGGTACTGCTTTGCTCCATATGACTGGCCACAGAAGGTGTCCAAGGCACTTGCCATTCCTATCTATTTCAACCAAAAACCAAACAAAGAAAAGAAAACTGTTGATATATTTGTGATGCAAACCATCATATGTTATTCTTGACAAGATATGTTTGTAATGAGACCATAGACCATTTACACTCAATAACTAATATTTTTTTACGCTTAAATGACCAGCACAACTGTTTAGAACCAATAATGTTGACTTTCTCAGCCATATCTAACCTTACTTCAAGCAGTAGAATATAATATATAAAACCATGGAATGAAAGATTTGCCTTCACCCAATGGCTTAAACACCTGGAATTGTTAATTCATTGCAGAGTATCAAAGCCTCCATCATCAGGTGGTCTATAATTTGATCCTTGATTTTAACTTGTGAGTTTAGAAAAATGGAAGAGCAAAGTATGTGTTGGGCTTATACTTTTAGACAGTTAGTGTTGACAAACAAGTATCTAAATAAAGCACTCTGTATATTATCACTTGATGTGTTTGTAATGAGTGATACATGATCAATTTATAGGCCTTTGGATATGACCTCTCAACTACATGCATTTAATACAACTACTACCTTTCAACTACATACATTCAATACAACCACTATCTCTCAACTACATACATTCAATACAACTACTATCTCTCAACTACTACCTCTATAACCACTACCTCTCAACTACATGCATTTAATGTTTACCTAACAAAATCCCCCCATAAACTTAAATGTGTTTCTTGTCCTTCATTCCAAACATCTTCTTGCTGTTCTCGAACAGAATGGTTGGCAGTGGCTTCGTGAACATATCTGCAGCTTGTGCTCGGGTTCCGACGTGCTCTAACTCCACATTTCCTTCTTTCACTTGTTCTCGGATGAAGTGAAACCGAACATCAATATGCTTGCTTCTCTCATGATTGACCGGGTTCTTTGCCAATTCAATGGCCGACTTGTTATCAACTCGAATCACAGTCCCTTTTTCTTGCTTCAACTCCAACTTGCTTAGAAGGTTTCTAAGCCAAACTGCATGACAAACACTCCAGGATGCTGCAACGTACTCGGCTTCACAAGTTGACAACATTACAATGGGCTGCTTTTTTGAAAGTCAGGTGAATGCTGTGTTTCCCATGAAGAATACATATCCAGACGTGCTTTTCCGGTCATCAACATCTCCACCCGTCACTATCCGAGTAGTCTACTAGTCGATAATCATCCATCCTAGTATACATTAGGCCAAGTGACACTGTTCCTCTCACATACCTTAGAATTCTCTTTAGTGCCTTCCAATGCGTATACCTTGGCTCCTCCATATATCGACTTGTTATTCCAACACTTAGCATTAAATCTGGTCTGATATTTGTAAGATACCTAAGACTTCCAATCAGACTTCGGTATTTGCTCGCATCAATTCGGTGTCCATCTGCATACTTAGAAAGTTTTGTACCAGGTTCCATAGGGGTGGAAACCGGGTTGCAACTTGTCATCTTAAACTTCTTCAAGATCTCCTCAGCATACATTTCCTGCGATACAAAGATGTCATTCTTTCCTTGAACAACTTCTAAACCAAGGAAATACTTCATAAGACCCAAGTTAGTCATCTCAAACTCCTTCTTCATCACTTCTTTAAACTCTTCAATCAGCTCGGCATTATTCCCCATGAAGATAAGGTCATCAACATATAGGGCAACAAACATCACATCTTCTCCTTTCTTCTTTATATATAGAGCATGTTCATAAGGACACTGCTCATATCCATTCCTTTTGAAGTAAGTGTCAATTCTTTCATTCCATGCTCGTGGAGCTTGTTTCAAGCCATAAAGTGCCTTCTTCAATCTCAGCACTTTCTTCTCTTCGCCTCTTCGCATGTATCCGAGTGGCTATTCAACATATACTTCCTCCTCCAAGATTCCATTCAGAAATGCCGACTTTACGTCCATCTGCAAGATTATCTATCTGTGTTGAGCTGCTAAGGAAATCAGCAGCCTAATTGTTTCCATTCTCGTCACTGGGGCGAATAATTCGTCATAGTCTATTCCTTCCTTCTGCTTGTACCCCTTCACTACGAGTCGAGCTTTATATCGCTCAACTTCTCCTTCAGCATTTGTCTTCTTCTTGTACACTCACTTTACGCCAATAGGTCGCGCTCTTTTGGGCAAATCAGTCAGCTCCGATGTGTTGTTGCGTTCTATTGCCCCGATCTCCTCGTCCATTGCCTTTTTCCACCTTTTTCCTTGCACGGCCTCTTTAAAACTTAAGTCTTCTGAATCTGCCAAGAGACATACAACATGCACTTCGTCAGTGGAGTTGTATATATCTTGTAAACTTCGCGCTCTGGGTTGTAGAGGTTCATCTTCTTCATCAGAAGTCTCATGATCTCTCACAGTATATGGTGTATCAACTTCCGAGCTTCTACTTCCTATGGACTCATTCTCCGGGTTGTTCCAACTCCACTCACTTTCTTCATCAATTTGAACATCTCGGCTCATGATGACCTTCTTAGTTATTGGGTTAAACAACCTGTACGCCTTGGTTTTTTCATCATACCCAATAAACACGTACTTTTTACTTCTATCTTCGAGCTTGGTCCTCTGTTGAGCTGGAACATGACCATAAGCTATGCTACCGAACACTTTAAGGTGAGACACAGTCGGTTTTCTTCCACTCCAGACTTCTTGCGGTGTCTTCTCGTTCAGCTTAGCATGTGGACATCTGTTTTGCACATAGATGGCACATTGCACTGCTTCTGCCCAGAACTCCTTTGGCACGTTTTTGCTTCTCAACATTGTTCGAACCATGTCAAGAATGATTCGATTCTTCCTCTCGGCAACTCCGTTTTGTTGGGGTGAGTATGATGATGTCAGAAATCTCCTTATCCCTTGCTCCTCGCAATACTTCATGAGTTCGAATGAAATGAACTCGCCTCCTCGATCAGACCTAACAGATTTGATAGGCATGTCAGTCTCTTCCTCAACCATTACTTTAAATCTCTTGAACACCTCAAACACCTCAGATTTCTCCTTCAAAAAATATACCCAAGTTTTTCTTGAAAAATCATCTATAAAAGAAATGAAATACCTTTTCCCACTGAAGGACTCAGGGGTAACCGGTCCACAAAGATCTGTGTGAATCAATCTGAGTTGTTCCTTTGCACGGTATTCGGTCGTCCTCGGAAATGAGGTCCTCGGATGCTTCCCGAGCACACACTCTTCACAAAATTTCTTTTCAAATTCCATAGACGGGAGTCCTCGCACCATCTCTTTCTTTACCAACTTGGTCAGTCCGCCAAAATGCAAGTGGCCAAACCGAAAGTGCCACATCATTGCTTCATCCTTCACGTCAAGTTTCAAGCACCTCTCTTGGACTATCTTCAAGTCCAACTTGTACATTCTGTTCTTCTTCATTTCTACTCGGGCAATCAAACGATCCGACTTGTCCTTCAGGTATAGTACTCGGTCTTTCATCAGAACCGAGTAGCCTTTCTCCATCAGCTGGCCCATGCTCAATATGTTGCTTTTGAGATCGGGTACATAGTACACGTCTCTGATTTCTCCAACTCGGCTATTCTTCTGTAGGTACCAGATTGTACCTCTGCCTTTTACTGCCACCTTTGATGCATCTCCAAATGATACGTGTCCGGCCTCAACTTTAGTGAGCTCCTTAAAAAGGTTCTCGTCCCCGCACATGTGGTTACTTGCTCCTGTATCAAGATACCAAACCGAGTTGTCAGAACAGCTCAGACTTAGCTCGACATCCGAACTTTTCGACATCATCAATACTCCTTCTTCCTCAGCATCCTCAGAAAGGAGATTTGTTTCCTTCTTGCTCTCAAATCGACATTCCTTCGCGAAATGCCCAACCTTCCCACAATTATAACATTTGATACCTGAATAGCAGTCCTTAGCAAAATGACCGTACTTCCCACATTTGAAGCACTCAACTCCGGAATTGCTTGACTGACCACCTCGGCCTCTACCGTCACGACCTCTACCTTGTCCTCGGCCACGCCAGTTTTGTTGACTGACTTGCTTCTTACCTCTTTCATATCCTCCTCTGCCTCTACCACCTCGGCCTTGAGTGTTCTGAGCATAAGGAACCTTCTTCTCCTTTATGGTTGTCTTTGCTTGGAGTGCTTGATCAAGGGACTCCTCTTTCTTCTTCCTTCTCCGCTGCTCATGCGCTTCAAGCGACCCGACAAGCTCTTCCACCGAGAGCACCGACAAGTCCTTGGACTCTTCTATTGCACAAACGATATTCTCAAAGTCGTCAGTTAACGACCTTAAGATTTTCTCCACCACTCGGCAAGTGGGCAGCGTCTCTCCATTTCTTCCGAGTTGATTCACCACGGTCTCAACACGGGAGATGTACTCGGCAACCCCTTCGACCTCTTTCATCCTCATGCTTTCAAGCTCGCCTCTAAGAGTTTGAAGCCTGACTTGCTTCACGCGATTATCCCCTTTATTTGTCTTCTCCAGAATATCCCACGCTTCTTTTGAAGATTTAGCATTTGCTATCTTCTCAAAGCCGGACTCATCAACAGCTCGGTACAGTACGTAGAAAGTCGTTTTGTCCTTTACTCGTGTTGCTCTCAATGTAGCAAGTTGAGCAATCGTCTGCTCTTCAATATTCTCTGGTTCTTGGAGCCCATTTTCGACCACATCCCATACTTCTTGGGAACCAAGGAGAGCCTTCATTTGCAGGCTCCAGTTATCATAGCTTACACCTTTCGATAACTTTGGCAAGGGCATACTGTTAGCTAAGTTGGTCATCTCAAACAAACTCTCTAACTCTCAAACACTCTCTCTAACGCACTCAGACACTCAGGCTCTCAAGCTCTGATGCCAATTTGTTGATAAACAAGTATCTAAATAAAGCACTCTGTATATTATCACTTGATGTGTTTGTAATGAGTGATACATGATCAATTTATAGGCCTTTGGATATGGCCTCTCAACTACATGCATTTAATACAACTACTACCTTTCAACCACATACATTCAATACAACCACTATCTCTCAACTACATACATTCAATACAACTACTACCTCTCAACTACTAACTCTATAACCACTACCTCTCAACTACATTAACCACTACCTCTCAACTACATGCATTTAATGTTTACCTAATAGATAGTTAATAGATAGTTAGTTGAGTTGTGAGACCAACTTGCAATAGTACATGATTTGCAGAAAGTAAGCGAAGAACTAGTTCTCAGAACTTTACTTCCAACTCTTAATTATCAAGATTCATTCTGCATCCCAGAAGTCAACAAGTAATGAATAATGACCAATTATTGTAAACTAATAATGATAACTTTCCGTGCCATTTCCAACCCCAGTAACACTTCCCAATTTCAGAGATTACTATAAAACCATTTCAATTTGTTCCGATCCATCAGTTTAAACTTTTGAAATCATTGACACATGACATGGTATGAAAGAAATAGAAGTAACATACCGACAAACTTAAACCTGTGACAGAGGCAAAAGAAGTAGCCATGGAAGCACTGGAGAGAGCCAACTCGCCGAGATGCCCCACAAACATAACTGATATAACAGTGAGGGAAAATTCCAAAAGGGTCACTGCTATCAAAGGCCCTGCAAGCCATAACTGCTTTTTCACTTCTTCAACAATGTCACTTCTCTCAATTCCCCTCCAACTGCTTTGCTTTTCGTTTACTGCCAATCCATCATCTTGCCCCGACGAGTGTGAGTGCAGAATCAATGGAGACTGAAGATATTCACTTTGGTTTTGGTCTTCTCTCTCCATTTCTCTTCTCTTTTGCTATTCAACGCATGGAAAAAAGAAACAAAAATGTTGGACATTTGCATAATGCACGTTGTCGAGAGATTATAAAGACAGGACTGGATCCCTTGCAGGCTTTTTCTTTCACGCATCTCACGTTCTAAACCACACGATTTCTAAAATAAAATTTAAATTCATAATATACTAATTAAGGATCTGTGCTTATATTTTTTTTCCTATAAATATTATTATTTTGTAAACTTTATAATCTAAGTTTTTGATATCACGTATTTCATCATTTTAAATTTTTAACATTTTATTGTAACAAATTGATTAAGTGTTTCTATAAAGCAAAGTTTTATCGTCAAAATAACATCGTTTTGTACCCCCAATGATTTAATGATAAGATATATTCGAATTGGAAATTCAATAATATAAGTACATAAAAGAACTAGTAAATTGGAAAATAAGTGATAAAATTAATTTCATTAAATATAAAACATCATAATTATTACATTCATCTCAATATACTTAGAACAGTTTCAATAAAAGCAACTAGTATAAACTCAAAAAAATATAAAATGTAAATTTATTATGACACATTATATCTAAATAATTTAGAATTGATTTTATTGTAACAAAAAAAAAACTTTAAAATGATCCATTTATTCTCTTTGTTTATTTTTTCTAAATTATTTATCTTCAAGAAAATTAATTTTAAATAATTATTTAAACATTTTAATAAGAAATTTTCTTTGAGACAGTGTAACAATAAAGGAGATTATGGTACAAATGTAATTTCCGACCTAATAATTAAACCAGACAACACTCATTAAACGGGGCAGTTACGTGGTACTGATCACTACGACACATTATATTATTATTAATTCATATTAAATTGTGATGAGTCATGGTTATAAAATTTGGAATGAAAGAAGAAGAAATAATGGGGTAAAAAGAAATAAAAATAACAGTGTAAAAAGTAAAAAAAAAAACATTTTTGTTAATTTAAAAATATATTCTAAATTTCATATTTAACCAAAATTTATATATTTTTATATTAATAAATAGATATAGTACTCAAACTTTAAAAAAAAAAACTTAACTTTAAAACTTTTTAAGAGCAAGTCAAATGATAAAAACTTTTTTTTAGTTAATTTTTTGAATTAAATTTAACATCTTTCGTTATCAACCGTAGTGAAAAATAAATAATTGTCATGAATCAACATAATTTTAATGAGTTGGACACTTGGACCAGCTTATTCAAATTAACAGCAATGGAGGGTGCTACTATATTTATATTATTATTATTATTATTTAATTATCAATAAAAAAATTAAAAATTTTTATTTAAGAAAAATATGACAATAAAATTGGATTGAAATAACTTGAAACATCATGCATGATACACGAAAATGATGTGGTTCATATTCACTTTGTTGACAGTTCATAACTGGGACCGACATTATTTACTTTGGCAACAACTTCTTTTCTTTCTCATTTTATTTTAATTTATTAAATGGTCATTCAAACGTTATAATAATATATTTAAATAAAATAGTTTAAAATGTATTTATTTAATTACATTGATTTATTATTTATAATAAATTCATCTAGTTTTTTTTTATTTTTCATTTATTTCTGAAAATTTTATCTAAAAAAATAAATAATTTAATATAAATTGATAAAAAAATATTCATCAACAATATAAATTTTTGGAAATTTTATGATAATAAAAATAAATAATTTAATTTAAATTGATGAAAAATATTCATTAACAAAAAAAATAAAAATATATTTTATATCAGTTTTAATTTTTTGTTTTTAAAAAATGGAATATAAAATATGTTTTTAAGGATATGAAATATAATCCTTCCTATCAAACAAAATTTTAGCTTTAAAAAAAAACTAAAAAATATTTTTAAAATTGGAATTAAGATTATGATGAGAAAACATTTTCGAATGCAATTAATTACTTAGATTTTTCTTATTCTAGTATATTTATTAATAATATGAATCATTATGTAATAATTATAAAAATAATAACATTATGATGAAAAAACATGTAGAATTGAAAGAGTATAGTACTAATTAATGAAAGTGTAATAAATTAGTTAGTTAGGTGATATGAATGTGTAATAAATTAGTTAGTTAGGTGATTGTGGTGCAGTCACACATTGAATTTCTGAATAGTAAGATTGATCAATATATTCATTGTGCATCTTCATGTGATGATGATAATAATATAAATAATCCTAAATTTGATTCATTAATTTTTATTTATCAACTCATCTTTACAGAGGTTAAAAGATTTAATGTAATAAATTTAGTTATGTTAACAAACATAATCAATTATCTAAGTTTTTATCTATTAAAAATATTAAATTTTAATATATTATTTTTTTTATTGAAAACACTTAATTTATTTATACATTTTTAATAAATATTAAATTATATTATTTATGTTAATTTATAGTATTTAAAATATTTTTTTTAATAAAATATTAGATGAATATATATATATATATATATATATATATATATATATATATATATGAAAACTACTTATAAAAGATTATAATATAAGAGTAACGAACTTATTTAGTAGTATTTATATTAATAAAAAAATTATTGTCACAAATATTTGTAGTAAATTATTTACATTTTTATATAAAATCTTGAGAAATATGTATAAATATTATATTTTTATATTGACAAATTTATATAAAATAATAAAAAATTTGAAAAAAAAATTTAAAGTTAAAAAAAATATTTTTACAGTAAAAAAAATCTAAAAATAAATTTAAAAAGATTAATTCTATTTTTTAAAATTTAAAATAAATGATTTTAAAATGAATATATCAATCATCAAATTAAACTTGGTGTTATCCCATTTAAAAAATAAAAATATAATAAAGACAAAATGGGAAGATATTTATACTATGTTGAATGATTTTTAGTTAGGTTTCATTATTGAAAAAAAAATAGTACACAAACACTCAATCCTAAATTATATTATTAATTTAAATAATTTATTTTTTTAATAATTTTTAATATAAATTTAAAATTTAAAAATAATTATCTAATTTAATCATATATTTTCAATTTACATATAAAAATATGTAAAAATAAATTACACTATTTTTTTAAATCATTTATATAATTTAATATTATTTATAAATTATTATAAAAATAAATTATAAAATATAAATATGTATAGAAAGTATCGTAGGTTTCTTTTCAATATATGTTTAATTTTAATTTATTTTTATCTATTTTATTAAATAATTTTTTATATTAAATTATATCTTAATTTTAATTTATATTTATCCTTAAAGTATTTTTGTCAATTCTTAATTTATCTTACTATTTTTTTAATTAATTTTATCAATTCTAATCTTTTGATTTTTTATTTTTTTACTTATTCAAAAAGTTCTATTTTTTTTATTCTCAATTTAAATTTGAGTAATTTTGTTTCAACAAAATAAAATCAACTCAATGGTAAGAAGTGAAGTGATATTGATTATGCACTGATGGAGAACTTTTTGAAAGTTTCAATATACTCACATATATTAGAAGTAATAATAATTTATTTCCAGTGTCTTCTTTCAATCCAATAAAATATTTTTCAAGGACAAAATTATTATAGATTAGACTTTTAAATGGATAATGCCTCAAATTTGTTAATGGATGGTAAGGATGTTCTTAGACATAAAAATAGTATCTTGAAACAATAATGATACTAAATTAGTATGATTGTTGTGATTTTTTTTTCCTTTTTCCTTAATCAATTGTAAGTCATTCTTAACTAACTTTTAATATTTCTATCCCTAATAATACTTACATAATTCTCGGAGTAAGTTGAATTAATTATTGCTGTAAAATTCAATTATAAGTTTAAGTCTTACCCTAAAAAAAAAAAAATATATATATATATATATATATATATATATATATATATATATATATATATATATATATATATATATATATAAAAGAAAGATAGATCTATAATCTAAAATTTTAAGATTTTTTTTTTTAATTTGTCTCAATTCTTCGTGTGTTTTACCTTGTGTCTGATTAGTGATCTCTCCTGATAAATCCCCATCAAGTACTCGTATAATTTACAGTAGTTGTGTCGATGTTTGATGAATCTTTTTATCTTATTTCAGTGTATTTAAATAATATCGCATTAATTATGAACTAAGACTAACGGTGATTTATAAACTATTCAAACATGGGGAAATCATATTCAACCAAAATGAATAAAAATATTGAAGGAATATGGTTTCATGAGTACCAACCAACCATTAGAAAAGTTACTGCATCATCATCAGTTCATTCTTGAACTGAAATGGGTCCTGGCTCAAACTAATTTGTCCAATCTTCAGCAGTATATAGTGGCATTACCAGCAAGTTGAAGAATCTCTTTGTGGGATATAGATGTTGCATTAAACCTTGAAGGAAAAAATTGGAATTTTGTGTTAACTTCTTATCCTGAAGTTTGTGATTTAATATGGAGAACTGATTTTCAATAGCTACCCGAGAGAAATAGACACAATTTCTCAAGGTTCTTTTTAATATCTAAAGACTGAAAAGTGAAAGCTAGTCAATGTCCATAGTATTCATGTATAGTCAGTGTAACATACAGCTCAAAGAGTCTTGCTTGTATCATTGACAGGATTTGTAATCAAATGTCAATGAATTAGATTCTCTGATAAAAAAAAAAATGCACCAGCAGGCTTATTCCTTAACCAAACTTAGCCTTGAGCACCATGACTCTAATAACTATATCCAAACTCGCACATCTTGAAATGATACTAACTAGGACCATATATCAGTGGTTATCCAAATACTTTAAAACAAGGGCTAGATAGTCTTGTCATGGTATGTCTTTGGGAGCTGCATCAATTTCTTTATTCTCTTGCTCTGCCTTAAGTAAGGGGTTTGTTAGTGAGGATGACTCAGTCACTTTTTTTTCATTGTTTTTGCCCCATAGGACTAAGTATAGACCAAGCACAATGAGAATTGCACCAATAAGCCTGCAATAAAATTTGAATAAATCCTTTAGGAATTCTGTACTTCAGCCATTTCATTTATGTATGTAAAATTGATAGGGAAAATATTCCATAATGATCAACAAATTTGGGGCATACCCTCCAGAGAATAACTGATCACCAAGAATTAGGGCTGCCATGACTACAACTAGAATAGTCTGCACAGGCTGGAAGACAGCAACAAACACGGGACCACCCTTTTGAATACACCATGTCTGGAGAGATATGACAACGCCAGATGCTATAATTCCCTGCAATTACCATCATGCAATAGTGAATTGAATTAACTTGGGACTATATGTGTCATGTAAATCATATTTAGTGATATTTGAGAGTTGAAGTGATGAATATTACAGCATATAGGATGATGAAAAGCTCCTCCAGTGACTGTATCTTCCAATTTTCCAAGTCATCTTCGGCAAAGGCTGCTATGATCAAGAATTGGATCAATCCAAAGAAGCATGTAAACGAAGTGAGGGTTAGTTTTGCCGGATACTTCTTCACCACAGGAGCCTGCACCAAGTTTTTGCATTTACCATTCAGGTCATAAAATTGGTGATATTGAGGAAGTTAAGTATATTTCACGAACGTATGTTTGATCACAAACCCTGCCAATTAAACTACATTATATTTGCATGGATACGTTTATCTTTAGTATGAAGAAACTTAATGGTTATCTGAATTATGAAATTTCAGTTTATATTATCTGCTTATGCCATGATGACAAGACCTGAAAAACTATCCAGCCAGCCCATGATAGACAATGTCCAAGCAAGTATATGCCACCCCAAGTCCAATTTTGCGCTTTTGTTGACTGATCTACTTCTATAGTGTCATGTGTTTGGTCCATCTGCAGGTGAAGAAGAGGTGGACCTTTGTAAAGAGTAATTACTGTGGCACCCCCCACACTGGCAATGGTTCCAAGAACTTTTGCCAATCCATCTCTCCTTGTGATGTTGACTTTTTCAAGCCTGGTTCAAATAAAATGAAATCATCAAGTTGTGGCAAGATTACAACGTAAGATAATAAAGAATGTTACAAGGAGACGTGATTACCTTAAAGCCAAGGCCAAGACAAAAGTGATAGCGGGAACTAAGTTTTGCAATGCAGAAGCAAAACTTGGAGAAGCATAGTATAATCCCAACAAGTAAAACCCTTGGTTTGCAGTGATCCTAAATTGCCAATGAAAGTAGGAGAGAAGAAAATATAAGAACTCTTAGGAAGGAATATGAGTATGGAAATCTGCAACTTGTATACATCCTTACCCCAGTAATGCAAGTAGGAAGAACTGAACCAGTAAAGATAAAGTGAGGGGTGGTCTTTGATTCCTGATTATCAAGATATTTACATTGATCCATGTTAAAATTATGAGTAAATAGTATATGCAATGACAGTGTAAAAGGTTTTTATATTGTCAATAAATTAGAATAAGTTTATTACTTTTATAACAACTAACATGAAAGTTATACTTAACATGATTTACACTGATACTGCATAGAAATTAAACTCTAATAAAAACATATCTCTAAGGAAAATGAAGGAAATAACAGAAAGATTTTGATAGGAAAGGTGAAAAGTGAAAAGAAACTTCATCTGGAAACTCACTTCTCTAACAGATAAGCAAATGGGCTCAACAAAAGCAAAGCAATCAAATTTCGATAAACAGGGTAAACGACTTGGCTGACACCAATATTTAGTGCAAGTCTAGACACAATGTGATATCCTGCAAAGCAGAGCTGCAGGGTAAGTAATGCCACAAGAAGCTTCACTTTCTCTGTCACAACACTAGCCATTCTTGTATAACTTGTTTATGAGGGCTGCAAGAGTGAAGGGTGCTTATATAGAGAGAAAAAGTTAAAAGGACTATAGAATTATAGTTCTTGTTATTGTTAACATAAGTAGTTATTTATGTTGTTTAATGTATCGAATAGCAACTACTAAGATATGTAAACGTTTAACATATACTCTCAACTTATTCATGCAATACAAAATCTTGGATATAATACAATACATTTTGCTCGTTGACTTTGAATTGAATAATTTAGGGAGACAGAGTCAAGGTGCATCACGTTACTCCGATAGCTTGAGAGTAACCAACCTCTATCATTTGTATGAACATGTTCCCACCATCCCTTTTCATACTATGTTTATTAGACCGTTGTCCCAACTCTCTATCTTTGTGGAGATTAATAATTGCATATCTTTTTAGTTTAAACTATTTCTTTGGTTCCTTTAGTTATTCTCATTTTAAGTTTTAGTTCCTTTCTACACAGTTTTTTGTCACAATTTATTACTCTAAAAGAGTTTTTGAAGCAGTTTTATACTGTTAGAAATTGTTTTATGTTGGTAGTGTCAGAGATTAAACTTAATTTTGCATGTGTAGGAACCAAAACTCACAATCTGTTCAAAATAAAGATACTATAAGACCAAATGAATAGTTTAACCTTCCTTTTACTATTTGCCATAATCTAATCCAACAGGGGTTTGATTATTATTTACATATAAAATTTGAAGCCAGATATCAGCCATAATAATGATGATGATTGGCTGCTCCTGACTCAATGATTCTTTTGAATGCATTTAAATGAGGGGAAGAATGAGAATATGAATCCAAGATGCATGTGCTACTGTTTATAACTAGGCATATTTTATGATTAGGCTTTCCATATTGCCCTGCAAATTGGCATAAATTGCAACTGAATTTTTCTTTTGGTCTTCTTCATTTCAGAATCTTTTTTTTTTTCATGAATTGCTATATTCCTTAAGTTGTTAAACGTAATACGGTTTTTTAAAGAACAAAACTACATATAATGTTCATTCTAAGACCAATATCATAGCTAACCTTGAGATAATTCAGTGATGTGAAACTTGATAGAAAATGTGTGGGTTCAATCCTTACGAGGTACTCTACCCCTTCTTTTTCTTTATGAGAACTTTCAGTGAGCTTTCTCAGAATTATTTAGTGGTATGTACTCCCTTGAATAAAAAATAATATCTTAATCATTGCAGCAACTAGATCATGGGAAGAACATTATTGACTGCATGTACTTATTCATGAACCTAAGGTTAGATTGGTTCATACAAATGTCAAGCAAAAGGGAAAAAAATTACAAGAAACATGTAATTGAAGAAATGTGAGAATATTCGGGATCGAGATGCTACTTGTGGATGATACATCGTGTATCGGCCACACCACATTGGAGAGGCAACAAGATTTGTTCACTAAAATTATAAAACTACTAGTTAATATGTTGTTCATTGGTAGCTAAGTTCATCATTTGTTGTGACTGCATACATTAATATATTATTGCATTATGTCTCTGCCAAATGCCAAATTGTCAATCCTTCAAAACCAATTCACCTTCCATGGGTCTTGTCCTACTCAAATGTAGCCCCGTTGTTTTTCATTCTGTTGTATTAATCAACTCCTTCGTAGAAGGCAAGACCATCTTCTCAACATTCAATTCGAGTGTTATTTTGCACCGTTAGTAGAGGTGATAAGGGTTGGCGGAGTCAAGTTCCATTAAATTTAAAGTTTTCATTTCAAATTGGAAACTGCTCAGCAATTACTCGAATGTTAACGAATGTATCATTTTAATTAGACAGTGTAACTAACTCGAACTAAAAACTAACAAGTGAGGACATAACTTCTTATCACTATCAAATTAGCTAAAGCATATGGCACATGTTATGTCCAAATTACAACTTATTTGAATTGTGATCAAATTAATGTTTTATGTCTTACTCATTTTAAAAATAAACAATAATTTCACGGGGATTGGCATACATTACTTTTCTGTCTCCATCAAGAAAAGATGACACTGAGTTCTTAACTTGTATGATTCATTATTCAAATAAGAACTTGTATCTAAGGACTTTGTTTTACATTGCTTAACCCCAATATATATAAGTCGAATGAACAAGGGGGGACTTGGTTTACGTTTTACAGCAAATTGTCCTTTCACTACCCTTCAAAATGTATTACAAGAACGACAATCAGTTTCATAAGAGTAATAAACTAGTTGGTATGCATTTAGTCACCATTTGTTTGCAGTGAGAAGTAATTCACTATTTTACATTGCTTTTGAAAGCAGCATCTGAAAACAAAATTCAATTCTATTGGTACCCCAGCTGGGATTCCACACATGGAGATGGTGCCATGGATTAATTGTGCTTAAATACAATGATAATGGCAGTGCAGTTATCTTTACAGCGCCGCTCACGAACAGCCTCTCTTACAAGACGGCGGCACACAGTGCCAACAGGTAGCCCCTCCTACAAAGGTTCAGTTCAATTTTTTCTAATGTAAGACAGCAGCCTCAGTAAATGAAAGAGCATAATAAACACAATAAAAGAAAATTTAGTGAGCCTATGTGTGAATTATGCAGGTAACTTGATTGTAAAAACTAAAAAGGGCTCGCACTTAGTAAAAGGGGAGACCCTTGAAAGGAGATTTTTCTCCTTTTCTGTTCAGATTTCATCCGGCAATAATAGATTCATTGTGTTCCTTTGTACCTAAGTCTTCCTTTTTGGTGTCGTATACACTCTTTTTCAAGTTGGAAGATAGGAAAAGATATGACAAGCTCTTACATTTAATAACTTCTGAACAAAATCGACAGCATCACTGGGACCAAATACCTGATACATAACCAAAATGTCATATTCATCTCAGAATTGCAAATTCAAACCAGCAAAATGAGTGAAGGAATGACTATGGTAAACAAAGAGACATACCCCCCACAAGCCATCACAACCAAGAATTATGAAATGCTCTGTATCAGTAACTTCAAAAGTATAGAGATCCGGAGTTGCAACAAGACCTACCTGCAAACAGAACTTGCCTCAATAATAAAATCATTTTAAGGCCAATAAATGCACTTTTTTTCTGGTCTAGTTGATGCTATAAAGAAGTTATATTTGGATAAACTAAAAAAATAATGACTAGCTATGAATGAGAGGAACACCTTTTTAAACTGGCGATCTCCAAAAGCTCTAGAAACTTCTAGACGCCCTAACAAACGTCCATCTGGACTCACGAAACCCCCTGACTGTAGGTAGAAAATATAATGTTAGAAAATGAATCAAATATCTAAAGAGACAAGTTCAATCTCCACTCACTGATTCTAAACTAAAATGAAATGCAAAGAATGAATGCTTCAATCAATACTGACACTTCAAACCACAATTCCAAAAGGGCACCTTACCAGTTCAAACTGGTCCTTGTATGTCCTGAGTAATTTAGGTTCTATATGGATTAGTGTATTTTGAAGAAATAAATGCACCTTTTGTTCATCTTGAAAGAGATTCAGGGAAAAGAAAAAAAGAAGATTGTGTTCCCATAAATAATCCCAACCGAACATGCACTCAATTTTGTCTGAAAAATAAATTGTCCATGCAACTAATCATAATCCAAGTGCTTTCAAGTTAATCTCAAAATGTTCCCTTTTTGCTCTATACGAGTGAAAAGAGTATGTTAGGAACGGAGTGAGGTTGAAGCTCTATAAAAAGAAGCGGTAATGATGATAACTATGATGTATGACAGAGGGAATCAGGGTCTGATTTGCCAACTTCATGCAGTCAGTATCAAATAACTTTGGTGATGTAATCAATCATCATTGAGGAATTTCATGCCTTCTGAATGCGTGTACGCTCCAGTGGGAAGATAGGTTTGTGTTCTCTAGTCAAAACAATGGCCTTCAGCGCCTGGACACCATCTGGATTTCGAGATCCATCAGTTGACCGAGCTAATACTGCCTTGGCATCTCCTATATGTGCAACCGCAACCTAACAAATATCAATAGGGAAAATCACATTAATTTTCCCAATTTTGTTGCAGGATTGCTCAAAAAAAATATCCATTATTGTACTACCTGTAATGCTTATCTACAGTAAGTATCAGAAAGAGGCAGTAATTAGTATGGTAAATGGAAAATAAAATCCAGGAAACTTACTCTTTGTCCCAATACCCAAACACATACAGCTGTAGCCCCATCCTGCCATCCCCCTGAAAACAGTGAGTGAACCTCAGTAAGATATGAATCACATCAAAACATCTCATCATTATTAATACAGGAATTGATAACTGCAAGGCTAAAATCAGAATAAAGAGTACAAATGACTATTAGCATATTGTGGTAAATTGTTGCCAAAGCACAAAAAGGGAACTTAGATGGATTTTGGAAACCAGTAAACTTTGAAATTGAATAAAAGCATGATTCATCCACTTATATGAACTAAGACTACACTAGATTTAGCATTTGTATAACAGAATATCAACAAAAAATATAGCATTGAATCAGAAACTGTACCTTCAGCGCTTTCTTTGAGAAGAGACTTGTCAGTTTTGAGGAAGCCTAAGAATAAAAATATCAAAAGACAACTTATTATGGCAAAAAATCAAGCAAAGAAAATTTTCATGAAGATTTCACATGACAACTTACTAAAGGAAGGAAGCAATAAGCAAGAGGGACATCATAAACCAAGAGCTTACCATTCAGAATAGATTGTTTAGTTGCCTTCGCATCATACTGAAATATACACAGAAAGAAAAGAAAACAAGAAAAATATTTAAAATAATGAGATAGATAAAAGTATATCATAAAAAAATTGTTTACACTTTTCTGAAAGAAAAGATTAGTTCTCAAAGTTATGAATAGTGCACTATAGTAGTAAGGAGCAGCCATGGGCCACCTAAGTTTCAAAGTGCAGAGCATTTTTCAGTTACAGCTGCAATCTTGCCCCCAGGCACTAGAATGAGGCTTTTTTTAAAAACCCATTTTTCCCTCAAAACAGTATCCATGGGGGGGAAGATGAGATTTCTTTCTTTTTTGTAATTGCATAAATCCCTAATTGGAAGTTTTCCACCGTTTAATATACAGTGACACTCCCACCCACTATTCGACTAAACCCCACTCATCTCTGGCATTATTTCTGGAAATACTCACATTCCATTATCTTCTCTGCTTTGAACCCATTTTAAACTCCGGACTATCTGCCTCCTCTGTTCTTTTCTCTGTGCAACACCAACCCCCTACTTTTTTCATTGAATATTTAAGATGTCTTGTATAACAATTTTGAAATATGAATATGCGTTTGAATTCAGTTTGTTTCCCAGACTTATATACTTGTATTTTTTCTTGAAACCTATGATCTTTTATCATTAATTATGAATATGTCATCAATGTTGAGTATTTTTTTTTAGTTTTTTATGCATTTATATCTATATGGTATAAATTGTTTAATCTATATGTAAAAATTCAAGATAACAATCATCACACTACATGTTATATCATTGTAGCATTTTCAGGGTCATCCACCTCACACCACTATCTGAGATTGACAACATGTTCTGAATCATATAACATTTGTGTCTTATTTCTTGGTGCCTCAACTAACCAAGAGATAATAAATATATAGTGTTTTGAAACAATACTACTATGTTAGAATAGCTGCACAGATGACAACCAAAAAAACAAGTAATAAATTTCAATAGATTTTTCAGTTTGCCATAACCTTAAGAGCCTAATTGATGAAGAATACACAAAATTAGACCAAGTAAACACACCAACTCACGTGGTAATCCTGCAGAAAGAACATTCCTATGCAAATGCTTTTGAGCATATTCTGCAGCCAAACGCCCTCCATGCCCATCATAAATTGCAAAATGTGCACATCTGAAAACCAAACAGCCAGAGTTACCAACAAATCAAGTACATAATCAGCAACGCTTCCATGAGCACAGTCCCAACCGATGAGCACAACCAATGAAAAACTCAATCACATTAAAAATAACTTCAACAAGGGCTTGGTTGTCTTCTTCAATTCTTATTTTAAATGTATCTAGAGCCTCTGATTGAGTGTTCTGTCATGCGCCATTCTCATTCACATATCCTTTCACTCATAAACTACCTAAGAAAGAACCTACACAAATATCAACGAAGTAAAACAAATAATTTGATATATCTAGATAAAGAAAACTGCAGAGTGACAATGCACTGTCGACAGTGTAGTAAAATATGAGCACATATATTGTATATCCTCACATTGTTAAAATTTAATGGGAAAGGCCATAACTTTTAAATAAAATAAAATTCAATCTAAAAGAAATCTCTAAATTTGAAGCACGAAACATGACACCTTATTTTTCTCAAAAAAGCAAAAAGGTGTAACTTAATGGAATTGTAACGTTTAAGGAAAAAGAACCTCAATTTTCCAGGATAATCTAAACTTGCATCGAGAAGCACGACCCACGCATCCTCCATGGTGAGCCTCGAGCCCTTGTCTTCAGCAGCATCTGCTTCAATGAGGAAAGATGGTTCCTTTACGCCATTATCATCGGACCCCTTAGCACTAGATTCGATCTTTGGCTTTTTGGATGCAACACCATCCTTTTCGCCCTCTGAATCAGCTGATTCACGCTTCTGGGTCTCTGTGCTTTCGCTCATTTCCTCTTCCCTTGTTTTGCAACAATGAATGGGGTAGGGCTTCAAACCCTAGTAATGAAGTACTCGCATTTCTACCCGCTACCACTGCTTGCTATTAATCGATTACTACTTTTACAAAGAAAACGAGTTAATTGCATTTTTAGCTTTTATTCGGAAGTTTTGATACATTAAGTTATAGATGTAATAATTCATTTAGATTTATAATGGCACAAAATTTATAATTATTCATATTCATTTTAATCTATTTCTTATAAATTTAGAGTGATATAAACATTAAGCGATCATAAATAACATATAAGAAATAAAAGAATTTTTTTAAAGTATATAAATTATTGTTAAGTATAAAGAATTCAACTTTTTGTAGCACAATTATCACATAATATATCAACATGAATTAATTAGATATACATTTAACCTATATTAAACAAAATTTGCAATACATTATTAACATCAATTTAAACACAAATGTAATTATCTATTTGAGAGATGAACCTTAAACTAATTAATGTTTAATATTAAGACATATTTTAAACTAAATAATTAAATAAATAGCAACAAAATATCCATACCAATCATAATTTTAAAAAACAAAAACTCACATCCTAATATAATCATATATATATCTTTCAATTGATTAAAGTTGTTAACTTCTATAAATGTAATTAAAAAAAACTATTTTGCATATTTGTGTTAAGATTGATCTTTAACATGTGTTTATCATGGATAAATAAATAATATTTGTTTTAATAAAACTTACTTATAATTTTGTTTATACAATAACTGAACATATTTTATATATATTTTGTTCAAAAATTTATTTATAAGTTTTTCATTCAATCATACAAATTAAACTATCGTTTTAAATTAAAAAAATAATTTGTGTTAAGATTGATCTTTAACATGTGTTATCAAGGATGAATAAATAATTTTTTTTTAATAAAACTTACTTATAATTTTGTTTATACAATAACTGAACATATTTTTATATATTTTTTTCCAAAAATTTATTTATAAGTTTTTCATTCAATCATGCACGTTAAACTATAGTTTAAATTTTAAAAAATATACTCCTACTATGAGCACAATTTTAATAGTTTTGAATATATTATTTGTAATTTTTATAAAACTAACATTAATTTATGATTATTTTATCTACATTTTTTAAATTTCGTATCTTTACTTTATATATTAATTAAATTTAACTGATAAAAAATTAATTTTATATATAGATTTATATTTATTTACGAAGAGATTGGTATAAATAATTTCATAAAAAATACCTTTAGTATCAAAACTTATAAACATGAAGTAAACTGTATAAAAGATTTATTTGAGGCAACATATTTTGAATATATTCATTAAAAAATTAACAATAATATTAATAAATTAAAAATGACTGAATAATATTTTTAAATTCTAAAAAATACTTTATTTTAAATAATTTTTGAAGATTAGTAAATAAATATTTTTTAGAATAAACTATATTTTTAATATATATATTATTTAAATAAAAAAATTAAAATTTATACAATATTAGCTTTAATTAACTAATGATACGTTATTTATTTCTTTTATCACTATTTTAACCTCATTGCATCAATGTTGTGTTTATAAGGACAGAAATTACTTCTTTTACCACTATTTTAATCCCGTTTATTCAGAAAGTGAACTCGGTGCAACATTTATGTTTACAGATTCATCCATTTGTTAATTCTTTTATAAAAATCTCTTGTCTTAACTTTCGTTTTCTTGTCGGACACAAACCCTAATCTGAAACTTCGATCTCGCTTATTGTACGAGAAAACCCTAATCTCCCTCTGTTTTCTCACATGACCACAGCTTAGTTCACCTCATCCGTTCCGAGAATGTCGCTCCACGGCAGCGACCGCCGCGACACGTCGAGCTCGGGCGGAAATGGCACCGTGGCAGCGGCAAATCTGAGGCTGCGGCTGAACCCTAATAAGGAGCACAGACCCGATGGCTACGAGGACATGCAATTGGATTTCAGTCCTAACATCTTCAGTTCCTTGGAGAGGTACCTTCCTCCGAGCATGCTCAACGTGTCCCGTGACGATAAGGCCAAGTTCATGCGTGAGATTTTGCTCAAATATCTACCCGTCGGAGAACGCAGTAGAGTGTGTTCCTGTGTCCTGATATTTTTTTCACTGCTAGTATTTGTATTTTTAAAATTAAGTCATTATTTATTCGTTTGGAGAATGAAAGAAAATTAAGTTAAAAAGGTGATGGATTGCATGTTTAATTTTGGATTGCATGTTTAATTTTAGTTGGAAATTGTGTTACTTGTATGTTAAGTTAGGGGAAGTTAAGGAGAATGCTGTTTGTGTTATGTTAACTTAGTTTCTTAGCAACAGGGACTATATGGGATAATATGGGATACCTAAAGAGTACAATCATCAATTATTTTTCAGATAAGTGGTTTAATTTGTCTCTTAAATGACACATTTGCCCCTCTTAGTAAAGTGTTAGAAAATCAGAATTATTACTGGTTTGATTATTGCCCCTCTTAGGGAAGCGTTAGAAAACCAGCCTTATCACCAGTTTGATTAGTTTATTACATCAGTTAGACTCAACCGGATTTAGAGGAAACTGGTAACTTGGCAGCTCACTCTAAATTGGGTGGTCATTGAGAAATTTCATGGCAAAATTTTGAAAAATATCCGTGTCAGAAGTTTGCTGCCATATGCAGGACAAAACAGAGAACTGCAACTGGATGTTATTTATTGTCATAAGTAATTTATCCATTAGTCGATTAGGGTGGTTTCATAAGTAACCAAGCCCACAACAACCAATTTATTCTATTCATTTGGGCTCCCTATTGGGCTACTTATTGAATTATTATAAATCCGCCTAATCAGATAATCTATCTTGTTTTAATCACATGACTAAGAAATTTCTCTATATGCTTTGGTAAAAATTTCTCCATTTTTATATTGTACTAGTGTGTTCTTATTTATATTATAACTTTGATTCCAGAATTTTTAGTGTGGCAAGTCAATTTTTGCTATCCTCATGTCCGCATTGTATTATATGTTTCATTTGTGATTTCTTGTTAAATTCTGAAATTGAGGTCATGATGGTGGGGCGGAAGAGCAACTCATGATGGGAATGAAAAGTCTAGATAACATTTTCATGCTTTGCTGTAATGGTTTAGTTTATTAACTTTCCTTGTGTTATATTTATGGACAGGATGTTGAAGTGCCTTTCAAAGTTTTTCCATTTATATAATTAAGTCTAAAGTCGGTTCAACTTATTTTGAAAAACACAATTGCATATTTCTGCCTGCTGTCTAAAAGAACTTTTGAAAAATAAGTGATCATTTATGAAAAAATAATCTTTGCCTTCATAATTATTACCACGCTCTTTGTGTCTTTTTCTTATTTTACTTCATATTTATATGATAGTTCCTATGTTACTTTGGCAGTCTCAAAAGCATAGAGAATACAGACAAAAGATAATAGATAATTATCAGGTACGTACAACCAAATATTAATTTGTTGACTGTTCATCTTCTGTTGTTTTGGTCTGAAATTTATGTTGAAGCTAAAAGATTAATTTCATCAGGACTTTGAGGGGATGAGAGAACAAGTGTCTCATAAAATAAATTCTTAAATAAAAAAGTATATATAGTAAACCATAATGGTTAAATCTAGCTATGAATCCTACTTCCTGATTTAGACTACCGTTATTGTGAGCAGGTCTTGAATACACAAAATATAGAACCCTGAACCTAGTTAAATCATGAACAAATAGTTGTGAGTCATGGCTAGAGGCTGCTATAGATCTCAGTTCGCAGAATGTTTTTAAGTTGTGCCCATTGTTCTGTGATTTGGAGCTAAAATAATGTCCATTTAGTGGTGTTTACACTACTATTATTCCATGTAGGGTAAAGCCCTATTTTACCCCCCATTTTTTCACTTCATTCAACCCTAATTATATAATGATTTTGTCATTTCAATCAGGAAGTTGTAATCTCACGTTTACTTCCAATCATTATTCATTTTTGAAGCAAGCCTCTGGTTGCCTTGTCAACGAGCTTCATTTCGCTGATCACCACTGATTATTTCCAGCAATTTCTGGCATTTTCAGTCCCACTTGTTGCCATTGATCCCCTGCTACTCAACCTCTACCATGCACTGGCCACCCTTACTGCATCTGCATCTGCATCCCTCTGTTACAGCTTGCAATTATTTTCCCTTGTTTTACCCACTGCTCTTTTTTTTTATTATTATTATTATTATTATTATTATGATAATGTGTTTAAGTTTTGATATTTTTATGTACATGTCTATGGTATAAATTCTGTATATTGAATTTCTAATCCTTGGAATAGCAGCCTTCCCGTTACCCACTATGATTTGTTTGGGCCAACCACTTCATGCTGCCATTTGGATTTTGATAACATGGCCCTGAACCAAATTAGAATTTTCAATCCTCTAATTCTATAAAGAAGTAAAAGGAAAGTGTCAGCACGGGAATGATCTAATGAACACTTATCACTTTCCATGGGTCAAGAGTATCTGTTGACCCTTCCTCCCAGCCTCTGGTGTCATGCCACTCCTCTAATGGAACAAAGGTGGGAGCCTGCTGTTTAATGAATATCTGGTTATAAGCGGATTAGAACTTTTTGAGGTTCATTCAAATTTTTGTAAAAAAGAAATATAATAGTAATTAAATATCTCCTCCACTTGTGATGTTGCTGTTGAAAAGGTGCTTAACAGCCATGCATAGGAAATAAGGAATAATAATCTTTATAATTTGTGTGATATTTCTGACGAGAAGTATGATATTCATACCAATCTTTCCATTGTTTTGTCTACCTCCTCCTTTCCAGTTTTTTTTATTCTAAACACAGTATGTGAAATATGATATTTCATAATAAGCTCTCCCATGTTTCTTCTACCTCCTCCTTTTTTGTATATTTTAGCAAATCTTAACAGTTTTTTCAACACAATTTGCAGCCTCTGCATCGGGAATTGTACTATGTGAATCCTGCTACTTTCTTTGTCCCCTCATTTCGGAGAGCAATTAATGATAACACCGAGCAAAGCTTTAGAAGTATAATGTCTGAGCCCTCTCCAGGCATTTTTGTATTTGACATATTTCAAACTGATTTTTGTGAGTTATTGCTATCTGAGGTACCTAATCATTTTAACTGTCATTAATTATAATCTTTGAAATTGGAAGATGTATACAGATGCCTGTGTATATACTTAATGTTTTGTGTATGTTTAAAAATTATTTGTGGTCTCCCCTCCCTAGATTGAAAATTTTGAGAAGTGGGTGACTGAAACAAAGTTTCGGATAATGCGTCCCAATACAATGAATAAATATGGTGCTGTACTTGATGACTTTGGACTTGAAAAAATGCTTGACAAGCTTATGGAAGGTTTTATTCGTCCTTTATCCAGAGGTAAATGAAGACTTCATTATAATCTAATGGTAGTTTGACATCTTTTCATTCTCACAAGACATGTTTAGTCACTCAATTATTTGTTATACAGTCTTATTTGCAGAAGTTGGTGGGGCAACCCTGGATTCTCATCATGGTTTTGTTGTAGAATATGGTAAAGATAGAGATGTTGACTTGGGTAAGAGTTCTGCTTGATGAGTGTTTGTTTTATCATTCCATTGGTCAAGTGCATAATATTGAGTTAGTGAACCTACATGGTATTATCTATGGAGTTGTGGTTGATGGAAAATTAGGCAGTTTAATACTTCTCTTGAACATTCAAATTAAAACTAAGTTTGGATATATGTTTTGATGATGAGGCATTCATAAGATATGCTGGTTAATACAGCTGCATTGCTGATGTCAATATGTTTGATATATTTTACAATTATGAGTCTCTTGCATCTCTAGGTTTCCATGTGGATGACTCGGAAGTAACCTTAAATGTTTGCTTGGGTAAGCAATTTTCTGGAGGGGAATTGTTTTTCCGGGGCATACGATGTGAGAAACATGTAAATACTGGAACTCATTCAGAGGTAGGCTACGATGATTGAATGGCATAAAATTATATTGGTGTTAGGAAGATTTAATGCCTGATATTGTTTTTTTTTTGTAAATGTATTTTATGTTGCCCTACTTTCTCTAAATTAGTAATGCCTCAATCAGCAAGAAGCAGTAGCACCTGTGTGTCAACTGGCAAGTTGTCCTCACCACTGTGCTTTAGCTGTTAACTTTTTTCACCATATACATACTATACTTGCTATATGTTTATTCTCAAATATGTATGCTACCAATATGTTTGTTGGCCTAGATACAGTCATGTGCATGAGAATAATAATCTCATTTAAAATTTTGGGAGATTATATACTAATTCCAATGAAGTATGGGCTTGGTTTAACTAACAACGTGAGGCTTTACAGCAATAATTTGTCAATTAAAATTAATGCTCTGCATGTATGTTATACAAGTGTGGGATTGAGATTTGGTGATCTATCTATATATATTTGTGTTTAAGTTTAGTTTTAGCAGTATGTAGTGAAAGCAAATCCAAATGATTGTTTTTGGGTTAATATTCTGTTTCAATGAAGTTAGTTAGTGTTATCTGTTTGCTACTGTGAGGAGATTTATAGACCATTGCTTCTTGCTACTTCTCAATGGTGGTTGTATACTTCTCTTATAGAGTTCATTTTTTAAAGCAGGAGATCTTTGATTATTCTCATGTTCCTGGACGAGCTGTGCTTCATCGGGGTCGTCATCGCCATGGTGCTAGAGCCACTACATCCGGTAATCGGGTCAACTTACTTTTGTGGTGCAGAAGGTGATTTCACTTATTGCTTCAGTTTGTCTAGTGATTTTGAGTTGATGCTTGTTTCATATTAAATTTCTCTGGTTATCCACTAGTTTATGTTGTCTTATTTCTGTTCTTTTTACCCCAGTAAATTTAATATGAAGTTTTTATGTCATTGTAGTTCTGTCTTTAGGGAGATGAAACGGTATCAGAAAGATTTCTCCAGCTGGTGTGGTGAGTGCAGCCGTGAGAAAAAGGAAAGGCAACGCTCAACAATAGCTGCTACCAAATTGGTTAGTCTTTATTTAATCTGAATGTTTGAGGCATGTGCATTACATTCTGGGAAGATGTTGGAAGTTTTATGTAAGGACAGACATAGGCTATGCTGAGAGAGTCAATTGTGTCTCCCAACATGAGTAAATTATATCGGCAGATATATTTCATGTTTAATCAATGACTAGGAGTTTTTTGTTTTTCTTTTCTTTTTCCCTTGCTACCTGTTCTTGCCCCATTTTCTTTGTAACCCATTTCCATCCAATTTCTAGATGGTGCCCACTTCTTTCTCAGCATCAATGACAGATGCTCTTTCTTGCTGCTGTGCCTGAAAGCTTCATTGTTGTACCTTATTACCTTCTTACCCTTTCACTTCCCTCATGCAGAGAACACAAATCAATTCAGATATGTTCCAACAGAGTAAACAATTCAATATCACCCCTCCTCCCACAAAATAAATTACTAGATGTGTTGTTTGGTTTCCTTTTTGTCACTCAGATTTTTAGTGATTTCAACTTGCACACAGACCAATTGATCATCCCCCATTGTTTTAATTCAGGAAGTGAACACCTTTTTCAGCCATAGTAACTTTTGTGTTTGGTTGGGTCGCAGTTCTGAGGAGGGTGATGTTGTATCATTGATGTCTTTTATGTTCCTGCTTTGTTTGGCATCATTGTTAATTTTTTTATTTTTTTTGTGTAGAGAAGTTGTGTGCATACTTGAAAATTACAGAGAAGTAGAAAATAGTGAGAACAATATGGAGGAAGGATAGGGAAGGGGGAGTGTTGCTGCCTATGGCTGCTGTGAAAGTGAGGCCGAAAGAAAAAAAGAACAGAAACAGGGAAAGGGAAAGGGTATATAAATTTGCTCTCCTTCTTTGGGAGACATGATTGACTCTCTCACTATAGCCACTGTCATAAGCACAGGATTATTCACCTGACTTTCTACCAAAAGAAATTGGTTGAAATACAAACTAACTGTCAACTATGTAAAACTTGTTTGAATATAGACTTACAGAAGAAGAGGTGAATAATAATTCATATTCTTAAAATTAAAATTGTGTTCTTTTTGCACCTAGGATTGTAGTCAAATATTGAAGTTTAAGGATTTAAGCTAATTTGACTTTGCAAGTTTACAACCTTAGACGGAAAAGGTTTTGTGACTTAACTTTGTTCTTGTACGTTATACTTAGAAATACATAGTTAAGGCTGCCCAATTTAACTTTGATCTCATGGTATTACAGGAGTTGTTCAGGAGGGAGGGTGAATCCACTGCATAATCTGTTTTATTTAGTGGATTATTGTAAAAATGATGTACCTGCAATCATTTGTTAATACTAGTAAGCAATGATTCCTAAGATGCTGTATTTAGATTGTTTTCCAAGTAACCTTGAATTTTTTCTTAAAAACAGTGCGGTTTATCAGAGGCTTATTTATTGCCTTTGAAGAAAGGGAGGAGCTGGTTGTGTTATGTAGGCTGATTCAATGCTCATAGGCTATTTTTTTAAAATGCATGAAACTGCAGAATCATGTCTAGAAATGTAGATTGTAATTAGTGTATACTGAAATCTTTAGAGGTTCATTGGCTGCTGTAATTACTGCATTTTATGTTCCTTTATTTTATTTATGAATTTTGTGTAGAGTTGAGGGTGTAACATAGATGGAGGCCAAGATTTATCTTATCATTTAACCTGTTTCTTTAGAGACAAATTATATTTTCATTTTATATTTTTTTCCATAATGAATATACTCTTGTTTTGTAAAAGTGTAAATAAATTAATTAAATTTTTAAAAAATATTTCTTCCATATTAAAAAAGTTGGAACAGTTCGGTTTTTTCGAGATGATCGATGAGGAGTATATATATGATAAAAGATCATGTGCATAGTATTCTTTTATCAATATAAAAATGATAATTTTTAGGTTAAGAAAAAAAGTTAAGAGATTAATATATCTTTGTGAAATTTCAGAAAAGAGCAACTGAGGTTTGAAATGGGAAGATATCGTTATTCTGTTCCCTTTTCAAGTTTATTGTAAAAGTGAATTTTAAAAAAATTATTATTATTTTTTATTTCTAATTGTCACCCTCTTCTCTATAAAATCAAATATAGTCCTACAATTTATTTGATGAAATTACTTAAGGTTTGTGGATCTAAATTTTTTTTTGTTTTTAAAATAATTTAATAAATCAATTTTTTAAAATATATTTTGAAAACAAGCTTTTGTATATATATATATATATATATATATATATATATATATATATATATATATATATAATTGTAGTATGAACTAATATCAAGTTAAAAATAGATGTTTATAGTCTTATGGTGACAAAGATTAATAATGTAATATTTGTGAAAGTTTGAATTTTATTAATAAAAATAAAAAGTAAAAATAAAATATTTTAGTAGGTGATCTAATTTTTTATTTTTTTTTTGGTTTTTAGAAACACTCAATACATCAATTTTGAATTTTTTTTATAATAAGTTAAAAAAATATTTAAAAATTTTTATGTAAAAAAGTTAATTTAAAGAAAAAGATAAACGTAAATAATTATAAAGCTGTAATAAAAATTAAAAAAATAATTTTTATGATAATAAAAAGGAATAATATAATATAATTTCGTATAGTTTAATAATCAAAATTAAATATTATATATATATATATATATATTAATACTTCAATACACTTTTTAAATCAAATGCATTACAAATTAAAGTTAAAAATACATAATATTTTAAATATGACAATTATTAAATTTGAAGATATAAATCTTAAAGACGAGGAAAGAACTATCTACAACAAATTTTCCATACTTAAATTAGTATATAAAATGTTGAATAAAAATATATACGACAAATAAAGGAATAAGGAAGTAACATGAGATATATTTTTATTTCTAGAACATAACATAGACTCAGACTTCTCTTATTGCCTCTTTCTTTCATCACTATTTCAAGTACGATTATTTTAAATTCAAGTATTGGACACATTTCAAATTTTATATTCAACAACGACTATTTTAAATTCTTGAACAAATTATTTTCATATAAAACATAATATTCACATGATAAAAAACAGGAAAAAAATGATTTTTTTCGAATACATGAAAAGTACAAGAAAGAAAGTATTATGTAATGTCGGTTCATCACTTCCTGTCTTCTTCCTCTTCACTCTTCTCATTTTTTTTATTCTTTTTCCAATGTGCTCTGTCACTTCATTTTTATTTATTATTAACTTCTCTTTTAACAACGCATAAATGTTCTTTAACACCAACATTCACTTGGTAAAAGAAAATTAATTAAATTATAAATCATCCTCATTCTAGTTTGTAAGTTTGGCTCACTTCTATTATCATCTTTCATATAAAATATCTACTTTTTATGAATTATTATTATTATTATTATATATATTATTTTATATGAATAATATAAATAAAATTTAATTATTATTTCATTTAAAATGTCTCGAATTATGTGTATTGTAATAATATTGTTATAATTAAATAGATAACTTGTAATAAAACAAATAGAAACAGTATACTCTGAACCAAAGAAGGAAGAAGAAACAGTTTACTTTCAACCATTAAAAAAAAGAGGTTTACTTTTCCACCATTTTCCTAAAGTCAACTACAATTCACTTCTTATATGGATGAGTAATGATGTGTTTGTATCATATTTGATAATTCTTTAAATTTTTTATATTAACGGTAATTTCTATTCAAGAACTTTTCTATTGATAGTTTTTATTTTTTAATAATTTGAATCAATAAGAATAAAGTAATAATGTATGCACTAAAAAAATCTTATATATTTATTTCGCATAATTTTGCTATTTCAGAAAATATAAAAGAATATGATAATGTAATTCCTAAAAATAGAAAAATATATCGTTGAAGAAATAAAGATGAAATGAATAATAAAACAAAAAATGAGAGAAGAAAGAGTGGTTGGGTGCATGCTGCTGTTCTTTATAATATACAAAATGTGTCACATCAACACCTTCAAATCTCCAGTTGTTAAGATTCTTCCATCCACACTCAAAATCATTGTTTAGAAAATGGCAAATACTAACTAGTTTTAAATTAAAACAAAAAAAGATAACTTTTTTTCAATACAGAGACATTAATAAAACAGTTTTTTTTGTTAGGTTAAAAGACTATGATTTAAAAAAAAAAAAAAAAACTAAAAAGAAACTGTTGTTTTAAGGTGAAAGTTATTTAGTATATGCTAATTAAGAAAGTAATAAAAAAAGAAAAAGTTTTGATGGAATGAGGAAAATTTTATTCTCTTTTAATTTTTTTAATATACTCACATTACTTTTATTTTTTGAATTTATTAATCTGATTATTATTAGCAAAAGAAAATTAGTAATAAAAAGAAAAAACCTTCCAAAGAGAACAACTTCAAAATCATATAAACTTCGTTCACACATGTGCAGTAAGTCAACAACCAAACACTTAAAAGACACACAACAGACACTTCCATTTTCTAATTCCCTAAACAGATTGTGATAAACAACAACACAGACACAGAGAAGAAGATGCACGCCAAAACAGATTCTGAGGTAACAAGCCTCGCCGCGTCCTCCCCCACGCGCTCCCCTCCTCGCCGCCCTCTCTACTACGTCCAGAGTCCCTCCAGGGATTCTCACGATGGCGAGAAGACCGCCACGACGTCGTTTCACTCCACCCCTGTTCTCAGCCCTGTCGCCTCCCCTCCCCACTCGCGCCACTCCTCCTCCACGCGATTCTCCAAGAAGGACCACAGCCACAGTCTCAAACCCTGGAAGCAAATCGATGTCATTGAGGAGGAAGGCCTTCTCCAAGGTGATGATCGCCGCAATGGGCTCCCTCGCCGCTGCTATTTTCTAGCCTTTATTGTTGGGTTCCTGCTTCTCTTCTCCCTCTTCTCGCTCATCCTCTGGGGGGCTAGTAGACCCATGAAACCCAAGATCTCAATCAAGGTCTTTTTCCTTTTTGTCTTCGCTGCTGTGTTTTTGGTTTTGATCCTTGGTTTGAGCTCTTCGGGGTGGATAGTGACGTGGGGCTTGATCGAGTTTGAGTTTTCAGGATGGGGTCTATGATGGGTCTTGGTCAAGTTTTCATTTTTAAAGTGCAACATGAAATGAGTCCTGGTCAATTTTGCGTTTTTAGGATGAAATCTGAAGTGAGTCTTCGTAGTTTGTGAAATTTAGAATGAAATCTCAACTGGGTCTGGATAATTTCTAAATTTTCGAATGAAACATGAAGTGAGTCTCAATCAATTTCGTGTTTTTAGGATGAAATCTGAAGCGGGTGAATCTTATAGTTTTACAATGAATCATGAACTGGATCTTGGTAGTAATTTTCATTTTTAGAAATGGTACATAAGAACTGAGTCATGATCAATTTTTCAATTTTAGAATGAAATATGAACCCTGTTCTGATCGATTGTTTTAAAAACCAAATCGAAAGTGGGCCTAGTTCTTGATTAATTCCATGTTATTGTTATGAAATCTGAAGTGGGTCTACTTGATAATGATTTTGATTTTTTTGGGCATTTTGCAGAGCATAAAGTTCGATCAAGTTAGGATCCAAGCTGGTTCAGATTCAACTGGTGTGGCCACCGACATGATAACAATGAATTCCACTTTGAAATTCACATACCGCAACACAGGCACGTTTTTCGGTGTCCATGTCACAGCCACACCCGTGGAACTTTCCTATTCAGACATCATAATTGCTTCAGGCGATGTAAGATTCATGAAAACCAAACACAACACAATACAAACATGTTTGAAGTTTCACTTTTTCTAACGTTGGAATTGGTTGTTGTTGTTGTAGATGAAGGGGTTTTATCAATCTAGGAGGAGCCAAAGGTTGGTGAGTGTAGCAGTGATGGGTAACAAGATCCCTCTGTATGGAAGTGGTGCTAGCCTAAGTAGCACAACGGGTGTACCCACAGTGCCTGTGCCATTGAACCTAAACTTTGTGCTACGATCTAGGGCTTATGTGCTTGGAAAACTGGTGAAGCCAAAATACTACACAACCATTCGTTGTTCCATCACTTTGGATCCCAACAAGCTCAGTTCTCCGGTTACCCTAAAAAAAAATTCTTGCACATATGATTGATACATACATGTGATAGAGAAGATGAGGAATGCACATGCCCAAAAGATTTTTTTTTTTAAATAAAATAAAAATAAGAAACATTATTCTATGATTAATGGATGATTCTTTTGATGTTTGGGAAGAAATGGGGGTATACAGCTCAGATAAAGACGCGTTTTTGGGAGTATTTGGCTTCCCAAATTGCCTCAAATTGCGGGAAGACAAAGACACGAGGTTGGGTGGGTAGAGAAATGTAACATTGTGGATTCGTGATTGGTCATTTCATGAAGACTTTTTTTTTTTTGTTGATTATTTGTCTGATTTTAATTTATTAGTAATTGTAAAAGTGACAGGTTATTTGAATTTATTTAATCTCATTATTGGGTCTTTGTCCTTGTAATTATGGTGTAATAATAGCCATATAAATTTCAGTTTTTGATCGAGTTGTTTCTATCTGTTTGGTAGGGGTTTTAGGATGTTGGAGTCATTATGATTCTCTTGAATTTATTTCCCTCACCATCATAATTATTCCACACCCTTTTCACATACTTATTAAATATATATTTTATGTTTTTGAAACACCAAATCTATTTAAATGTGATATTAACAAAATTGATATAATTTATTAAGGTGGATGAACACAGTATGAAAAATGTTAACCTAGGTGCTTTCTTTATTTAAAATTCTAATAAAGCCATCTTTTACGTTTAAAAAAAATTCTGAAAGTGAAGTGAAAGGTTGCATGGAAACATGGTTGTTCATGCACGTGTCTTTTTCAACACAAAGAGAGATGGTGTGTTTGTTCCCCGATCTATGAAACCAAAACAAAAAAAAAAGGTTACAATACAATGTTTTAGATTCAATTTCTTACAAAAATTAAGATTTAAATAATTAAGTGGATTTGAATATAAATTAAGGTTACAATACAATGTTTCAGATTCAATTTCCCTGTTGACTTTAATGGCCCTATTCTTATACATATTTACAACGAAAAGTAATATTGACTAACAAACTTTTATCAATTAATGTCATATTTAACATTTTTTGTGTATATTGATATACATATCTTAACCAAATAACAAAAAAGTATTTTGTAAACTTCAAAATAGAAGGTAATTTGCTACTTCATTAAAATTGTATTATAATAATTATTTTGAAGTATTTATAATTAAAAATAATAAAAGTGAAAATTGAAATAAACACATTAATATTAAATATCTATTCATAAATAAATATGTTAAGAAAAATAGAATATTCATTAAACTTGTTATTAATATTAAGTTGATAATTGTTTATCTTTCATTCTTTAATTAAAAGCATTATAACCAACAAAATTTAAGAACAATATAATGAATAAGATTTTTTTATGAAGTGAGACAAACATTATAAATATACGTATTTAAAAACTTTATTTAGTTTAATAACGAATAATGAATATTTTTTATTTGTTCATATATTTATTTATTTTGAAAAAATTAGTTTAAAAATGAAAGAAAGTACATAAGGAACTTAAATTATGTTTTATTATACAAAAAAGTCAATAGACACTATTTGATTAATAATAAAATGAATAATAACGGGTTCAAACTAAATTTCAAGAGACAAACTGCAATTTCAAGAGCCTTGTTTGTAGCAATTTTGTTGAAGCTGATTTAGAAGAGAGATTTGGGTAAATGTACTTTGATTAGATTTAGGTGTAGGTTCTACTTAATGAGAAACTCTCACATTTAAGGAAGAAAATATGATAAATTATCTAAAACAACTACATGCACAAATACATAATTAATTATGTCATTAGTATAATTTTAATTCTTTTTAATTAATTGTGTTTCATAACTTTAGATATTTTAATTATAATTAAAATTGTGTTAAATAATATTAGTTATATTTAATATTAAAAAATATATAAATTAAATATTATATATGTTTACATTTGATATTATATATTATAGAAAATAAAAATTAATTTATATATAAAAATTGATTATATATATTATGAAACAAATTAGTTATAAACTTAAATGTATTGAAATTAAAACACCGTAGATATATTTTTTTATCTTTTTATTTTAAAATTTAATAAATAATTTTTATAACGAGTTTAATTATTTTATTGATTTTAATAAAAAATATTAATATTACATTTAGATATAGAAAATATTAAAATTATACTTAACTTTTTTATTAATTTTATTAAAAATAAAAATTCATAAATAAATATTACATTTTTTAAAGTATAAAAAAAATTTAAAATTAGAATATGAATTTAAAATATTATATTTATCAAAATATATAAATTTAAAAAAACAAAAAATAATTTTAAAATCAATATAAAAATCACTTAAATTAAATTTTACTATATATAATTTTAAAAATAAATGTAATTTCTACTTATTTTATCCATTATATTTTACAAGGTAATTTGATCATTATATTAAAAATACTATTATTCAATTATCCTATATTAAATTAAATCAATGACATCATCTACAATAAATCCATCAAATCCCTTTAAATCCACTATCATTCCCTTAATTCAAGCAACTCATATATTCATTCAAATAATTTGAAATTCACTCTCTTAAATACTCACCCCAATCCAAATATAAACTTTTCATAATTATGCTAAATTTGGTCACCTATCATTATATTTAATTTATTATTAAAATATTTAGACATGAATTTAACTTTATATATATATATATATATATATATATATATATATATATATTTTTTTTTTTTCAAGGTTCATAATTCTATAATGATTTGGGGTTCAATAAATAAGACACATTTTGTTCTTCTATTCCTCTTACAATACCTTTATATATAATACCTTTATATATAAAATGTGAGCTTAAAATTAAAACAACAACGACAAACAAATAATAGGTTTGTTTTTAAATTTATGTAGTTGTATTTATTCGGTCTAAATCTATTATATTTTATTTATTTAATTATTTTGTTATATATTATATTATTAATAATATTTTATTTATTATTTTATATAATTTATTATTTTTTTAATTATTATTGTTTTTTTTCTTATATAAAGAGATTCGGTAAAAAAATAAATCTCATATTATTCTTCGTTATAAAATACAATATTCTTTTTATCTAAATTATTTTGATTAATTAAAATGTTGTAGCTTGTAATATAATTTAGTAATCTTTTCATTTCAACCTCATATCTCCTACCAACTTTTACAAGTTTGATAAAAACAATATTTATTTGAGATATTATAATTATATATATATATATATATATATTACACATATTTTAAAATATTAGAATTAAATTCTTTAATAAATTGTATATGTGTGTTTTTTTTTCTAATAATGAGTTTCTCTTTATTCATTATTTATTCTATTTATAGAATATTTCAATAAACTATCAAGGGGATTTAGTAAAAAATAAAATAAAATATTGGTGTGAAATAGAGGATATGTATGGTTTATGAAATAATCATCAATGAATTTTTCACCTACCGTGGAGTTTGATCGAGGTTTAAAAATAAACTATTAATTTAATCTTTTAAACTATATCAACTAATAAATTTTATTATTAAAATTTAGAAAGTTTTAAGGGACTTTTTTTTCATTACAATTTGAAGGATTAAATTAATTAATATCTTATAATTTAAAGAGTATTTGATTATTTTATTTATTTTAGAAATTATATAGATTCTCTGTTATAAATTTAAGGATTGAATTAATTAATGGTATACAATTTCGGAATTATTTTTTAATTTTAAGGATCAATTTAATATATTTTTTCAAATTTAAGAACTAAATATACAATAGAACAAACCTAAGTTTCTACATATTCCTCCAAATTTGGATGGTAAATGAAGGTGAACGTGAAACATTAAACTTAATAATTAATAAAACTAATAAGGGATAACTATCAAAATTTATTATTATTTTGTTACTATTAGATTAACATTTTTCTAATTCTCTACGAATTATGGATTTTACTTTATGTTTTCATTATTTTATATTTTTCCATTTTCTACTTCAAAAAGAAAAAAAAAACGCTAAAAATAAAAATTATTTTTTTTTATTTCATAATTTATACTATATAAGGTAAAATATATTCTTGGTATTTATGAACTTTTATTATGCTATCTTTATTATATAAAGATAAATAAAATTAGTTTTATTTTGGTTTAGTTTTTTTATGAAGTGTTTATTTGATAAATTTGAAGTTTTTTAAATTTTTATTTGATAGTTAAAATATTTTATATAAAACAATTTTTTTAAAATGATATAATAATAAGAGTGAGATATAAAAAATATATTTTTTATTGTCGACAGAAAATAATATAATTGAATGAAGCATGTATCAATTTAAACCCATCTTTTTATGGTAGAAAATATCTCTCAATTAGTTTGTTTTGTATTTTTAACTTGTTAGAGAATCTTTAAATGAAAAGAAATGGATTCTTTTGATTAAATAAATTTAAATAAATAAAGTTATTTAACATTATTATTTGAGGAGAAGTTAAAAAAATAAAATCGAAATCAATATATCATGTGTAATTAAAATATTATATAAAGTGTTATATAATACACGCGATATTAAAATCCGTTTATTTTTCTCTGTATCTTCGTCATTGTCCAGAGCGTTTCATCAACACCAACACCAAGCTGTTACCGAAACCACATCCGCGCTTTCTCTTTCTCTTCGTAAGCACTCCTCTCTCTCTGCAATTTGTATGCTCTATCTTTCTGAAATGTTCTTTTATATTTATATGGTTGAATATGTAATAATTAAATATATATTCTGCAATTGAAGTTTTGAGGTTCAATTCGACTACGGTGGAAGTGGTGCACATCAAGAATTCATCAAGTTGAAGACTTTTTCAGCTCTAATTCATCTGGGTGTCGCGATTGTTTGGTGCTGATTTAGTACTTTAGGGTTTCAAAGTTTGAAGCCCCATAGAAGCTTTGTACTCTGTCTAGGTTCTCGTTTGCAATGAAATGCATGTGGGGGGCTTTGTAATTTCTTACCCTTTTATTGATTCGTGTTTTTGTGGTCAAAGTTCATAGCTTTGAACGTTTCCCCAAATAGTGTACAATCAACAATTATCACAGGTTGCTATAGTGTTTTTTTTTTTTTTTAATTTTTTTCTTCTTCCAGTTTTATCATCTTGTTTTTATTTGATTTTGCTGGAAAAAAAATTTGAAAAAATTACCGTCAAATAACTTATAACTCTCACAGTTGCTCACCCTATCGTTGAAACAAAAGATATTATTATATTATAAAAAAGAGGAAAAAAAAAAAACTGTCCGCTGTTTGTTCATGGGGATCCCTGGATTGAGCAGTCAGAATAATGGGCAGCAAAGGTTAGGCATAACTGAGCCTATTTCATTGGCTGGACCAACTGAGGATGACGTGATCAAGACGCGTGAACTTGAGAAGGTTTTGTTTGCGCTTATTTTGAATTGATATATGTATGCTTTAGAGCTTTTCGAGTGTTACTTTATGCTGAATATGGATTCTGGATGTTCAGTACTTACAAGGTGTTGGGTTGTATGAGAGTCAGGAGGAGGCTGTGGGTAGGGAGGAAGTTCTTGGCAGACTGGACCAGGTTGAATTTGTTTGTGTTTAATGCAATTTTGTTTCATAAACTTTTGTCCGCCCAAAAAATGTACTTGGAGATGTAGTGGACATCCTTATGAATACTTTTGTTTTGATTGTGCTGTTTTGATATGAATTAGATTGTAAAGATTTGGGTTAAGAACATCAGCCGAGGAAAGGGGTTCAATGAACAACTGGTGCAAGAAGCAAATGCCAAGATTTTCACCTTCGGTTCTTATCGGTTAGGGGTATGGAGCTATGCTTATCTTCCTGTCTTTGTGAATTGAAGAAACCTGTTACAATAATTAACCCTTGATATATTCCATAATCACTATTCATATGTTACATAGAAACTTTTGAGAGAAACCTCTGACTTTGACCTATGATCAGGTGAAAGCATGAATCTGTCACACGTGAGATATAATTGTTGAAAGTCTCTATCTAGCATTGCATGCCAGCCAAAATGTCCACACGAGCAAACAGACACTTCTACACAGTTCCTTTGAGTTATTTTCATTTGTTTCCTGAAACCTTGATAATGGGTACTGAGATGAAGAGAGGAAATTTTGAGGCCGAGAAAAAACGAAACAATATGAAATTAGGACCAAAACTGAGATTAAAGGCCATGCCATCCATTATATTGCAATATTTCTTTCATTGTGTTTATAATTTTACTGAATTTTTCACTCCAAATCCTGTAGGTGCATGGCCCTGGAGCTGATATAGATACCCTTTGTGTGGGACCTAGACATGCAACCAGAGATGTATGATAATTCTTGCCTTTGTATTGTGTGCATATAGTTTTTCAGGGTCATATCTTGTATCAGCTAATGTTATTAAATTTGCTTCAGGAAGATTTCTTTGGTGAGCTATGGAAGATGCTATCTGAGATGCAAGAAGTAACAGAATTGCACCCTGTGCCCGATGCTCATGTCCCTGTGATGAAATTCAAGTTTAATGGTGTTTCTGTTGATCTCCTGTATGCAAGATTAGCTTTGTGGGTTATTCCTGAAGTAAGTGATTCATATTTTATCGAAAAACAAAATAACATTATTTTAGGTACAATTGTTGTTCCTGTGTATGTTTTGTCTCAATGTGAAAGCATTCCAAATTGAAGAAGATTACATAATGTGAGAGATGCTCAATGTTTTTTTATGACATTTTGATAGTATCCTATTTTTCTCCCTGAACCGAAACTAGATTAACGATTTGTATATTTTTTTATCAGTGCTTGCTATTAGAGAAGCAACTATTTTTTGGCTGAATAATAGAACATCTAGGGTGTATGTTGATTGTGTCTTTAAGGTTTAGTTTTTAAACACTATTTTAAAAAAGAGATATTAGTTTTGAAAAACAAATCCTGTTATTGTCTTTTATTTACTTTTGTTTTTAAAAATGAGACAGATTTCAAAATCAGGAAACACAGAGACCCGTGGGCTGTTTTTTAAAAAAAAAACAAAAAAACAAAAGCAAACAGAAGAAAGATAAGTAGTTTTTGAAAACTATTCTGAAAACTAATATCCCTTTTTTCAGTTTTTAAGATAAAAAAAACCATAACGTCTATAAGTTGTTTTGGCAATTTACTTGTAGTTTTCTATGACTCATGTTCCTTGCACCCTCACATCTTCTTTGCCTACTTATACTCCCTAAAAAATAGATTTTAAAAAATTGTTTGCTGTTTTCAAAATTTCCTTTGCAAACTTTTGAACTCAGGGAATAGAGAATGAAAATAAAAAACATTTTCCGAAACCAAATGCCTCCTTATTTGAAAATTAAACTTCTACAAATGTGCATACATCTCCTTTTCCCCATATGCGTTTGTTTAGGATTTATGAATCTAATGTGTAAAATGTATCTTACCTCTAGTTTACCATTTAGTAATAATGGAATTTTTGTGCAGGACTTAGATATATCACAGGAATCAATATTACAAAATGTTGATGAACAAACTGTTCTTAGTCTTAATGGTTGTAGAGTTACTGATCAGGTCCTACGATTGGTTCCGAATATTCAGGTGGTGGATAGAATGTTTATACTTAAATAGAATTTTGTGTTCAGCCTTTTTATGGCATTATTAGCGTATTGATTGTATTCTGTTTCTGAAATGCAGACCTTTCGCACAACATTGAGATGCATGAGGTTTTGGGCAAAGCGTCGTGGTGTTTATTCAAATGTATGACTTACTGTGCAGGATGGCTTGTTTGCTTTTCTGAATTTGTTCACTACTTCTTGACATGCTCTTCTGATTCTCCTAATTCATCCTCTTGCTATTTCTTGGGCAGGTTGCTGGTTTTCTTGGTGGTATAAATTTGGCATTGCTTGTTGCTCGAATATGCCAGTTATATCCTAATGCATTACCTAATATGTTAGTGTCACGGTTCTTTAGGGTATATACTCAGTGGCGATGGCCAAATCCAGTCATGCTTTGTGCTATTGAAGAAGGATCTCTTGGACTACCAGTTTGGGATCCTAGAAGAAATCCCAAGGATAGATATCATCTAATGCCTATAATTACTCCTGCTTATCCTTGCATGAATTCTACTTACAATGTGACATCAAGTACATTGCGTGTTATGTCTGATGAGTTTCGGAGAGGAAGTGAAATATGTGAGGTATGCTTTCATGATTTTAATAATGTTTTCTTGGAAAATTCTGGAAAAAACAGTTAGTTCAGTGTATGCAAATATGAAGTTTGAAAATCAAAATAAATTTTGTTTAAAATTGTTTTCCTCTTGTTTCATCCCATTAACTGAGGGGGGACTGCACCATTGTCCCAAGATGGTTCTTGACACATGTGGTCTTCAAGTTAGATTTCCCATGATGAGATGATTTGGCGGTGGGACAGTTATATTGAGGTTATGCTAGATATCTAAGCTTAAATTAACTTGTTTGGTAAGTTTGCCTATAGTTTTGGATTATAGGTAATACATGGCTTTATATTTTTACCAATACTCAAGTTTTAATAAAAAGAATGGTTGTTGATCCATGTTAGATGAGGTAAGGCTTGGATGTTGGTTGGCTGGTTGAAGTTTTCATAAACGGAAAGAATGTCATTATTTGGGGAAGCAACAATATCCTGTGGGAATCGATATGTTTTGGCTTTGAATTTTGTTAAATTTGTTAAATATAAATTTTTGATTGATCTTTTTTTTTTTTTTTTGTGATGATATTTGGATCGGATAAGTTTTATGTTTCTGGTGTTTGTAGGCTATGGACGCTAGCAAGGCCGATTGGGATACTCTTTTTGAGCCTTATCCCTTTTTTGAATCTTACAAGAATTATCTACAGATAGACATAACAGCAGAGAATGCAGATGATCTTAGACAATGGAAAGGTTGGGTTGAGTCTCGTCTCCGCCAATTAACATTGAAGGTATGGCATCGTATAATTTTGTTGTTTGTTTGTTAAGTCACATTTTCTTCTACTCAAGGGGTTGTATACAATTGTGTATTGTCTGTTTCCAATTCATATATAACTAATTTAGCTGCTCTTTAAACTCCTAGATTGAGAGGCACACTTATGGTATGCTTCAATGTCATCCACACCCTGGTGAATTCTCAGACAAGTCTAGACCTTTTCATCACTGTTACTTCATGGGTCTGCAGCGTAAGCAAGGAGTTCCAGTGAATGAAGGTGAACAGTTTGATATAAGGCTAACTGTTGAAGAATTCAAGCATTCTGTCAATGCTTACACACTATGGAAACCTGGAATGGATATCCATGTGTCCCATGTGAAACGCCGTAGCATACCTACCTACATATTCCCTGGTGGTGTCCGACCTTCCTGCCTGGCAAAAATAACTACAGAGAATAAACAAAGTTCTAAGCTAAGGGCTTCTGGCCATGGTCAAGCTGAAAAGCCTCAAGGAGGTAAAGGAGTTGCGGTTGAAGCCGATGATGTGAAGAAGAGAAGGAGACCAGAGGATGACATGGATAATAATTCAAAGAATTCCAAGTCCCCTGTATCTTTACCCCCCTCCAGCAGGGAAGTCAATGAAGATATGACTCCTATTAAATTGGATGAATCAGAAGTCAATAGTATTGACGGACAAAAGAGCAAGAAACTTTGTGTGAGATCTCCAGGGGAGAATCCTTCTGGGGATAGTGGGACCGATGGATTTGTGGCAAACAACCAAATAGTGAACCCTATAGTTGCTGCTACTGATACATCTAGTTCTAAAGAAGAAGAAAAACTAGCCATTGAAAAGATTATGTCTGGTCCTTATGATGCACATCAAACATTTGCGGAAGAACCTGAAGAGCTTGAAGATGACACTCAGTGTAGAAATCAAGTCAAAGATGCTGGTGGGAACATGCAAAACAACATTACTGAATCTTTGATCTCGAAGCCTGAAGTGGCAGAAGAGCCAGTTGAGCCAGTTGTTTATATGGAAACTACTTGTTCAACTCGTTTATGCTCCAATGAGGTCTTGGAGGAGCTTGAGGTTGGCTTCTTTTTATGCCTTAAATTCGGAAAAAATTGTTTGATTCTTCAATAAAATATGCAGCAATTGTATATCAGACTTCCCTAACTTGCTATTTCCTGTATTAAATTTGCTCAAAACTCGGTCCAATCTGCATAGTAACTGACATTTGTTGGACTTGTTTTAATATTCCACCTTATGTAGTACATATGCATGCACAATGTCTGGTTCCTGCTATATTAATATATTCTAGAGAGAATTTGCTTGCGATTTTCTTAAATTTTTTGTAGAACGAACATCAGCATGGTATATATTAGTATACAAATGTTTGATAAGGTTATCTGGAGTCCATATAGATTATATGATATATCACATGAATCTGATAGGTTTATGAATTTAAATGAGTATCAAATTGTCATTTTGTCCATACATCCCAAAGTAAGCATTTGATACTTATTTTATTTCTTGACGAATCCTTTTCATTACAGTAGCATACTACGTTTATGAAAAAAGTTATTTTACCATTCAGTAGCATGTGGTTCTGACTTTTCTTTTTTGCTCTCCTCTTAACTTGTCTCTCTTCCTTTTGGCAAAAGCCTGCTGAGCTAGCAGCACCATTGTTAACTGTGCCTCCTGCACCTGCACCATTGAAGAGGCCTCTTATTAGGTATACAATATCCATTACTAATATTGTACTTGTCATGGTTTCCATATTCCTACTTTTACTTTAGACTTATTTTAATTAGGTGTTTAACTCTGTTCTTATTGACTCATTTTCAGGTTGAACTTCACCTCCTTAGGAAAAGCTGCTGACAAGAGTGCTTAGACTCTAAAAAAGTTTATCTGCAGCTATCTGATTTATGTGAATTTGAACTTTCTAGTTCCTCGTTTATTTATGTAATAATTATGATGCAGTAAATAAACTTGAGCTAGAAAAGCCATCAATTTTCATTGACATGTACATGAGGATATGTAGCACCGGAAAAAAAAAAGATTTTGATGAGCTATGTGTAGTATACTTGTATTGGAGGAAATTCTAGTTCAGTTTAAGCCTTGGTTTCTTTGAGATTTATCAAAGTTATAATTTGAAGCTCGCCATTAAATGTTACATTTATTAAAGACATGATTGAAGTTAAATATAAAATAAGTGGATAATTTGCTATAAATTTATAAATTCTCGTTCTTATCAAAAGTAATAATGTGACATCCAGTTGTGTCAGCAATTCAGTTGAGTTATGTCAATGGATTGAAATGTTTGGTTTAGATTAACCTTTTTTCTATTACAATTATTTTCTGAATTTTACCTCCTTTACTAATTTTAAATTTAAATTTTATCAAATCAAACTTATCTTATTTACAAATAAATACCATAAACTTTAATTTCAATTCAATTATTCTTAAATTTTATTGATTTTGAAAACAAACAAACACCAAAAATTTTATATTTATGAATTAATTCTTAAAACTTATCAATCTTGTATAAATGATATATATTTTTTTTAAAGTTTTGAGTTAAATAATTTAGGTTAAACATTTCATATTATATATGTATAATTGGTTTGTATAAATTTCCATATAAATGAAATTTTATACTTAAATAGTAAATGAAGAGAGTGACTTAATCTTTATATTTGTTGCTTCTTCTTTTCATAACTTTATTCACGTGTTATTTTTTATATTTATTTTAAAAGTTATATAAAAGATTATGTAATTAATTGATAGTGCAAAATTGATTGCATTCACAGTGCTTGTATATTGGATTAAATCCGTAAACTCTCTTTTATTTTATTAAATATTTGAAATAATTAGACATAAGGAAACATTATCACAACGACAATTACTATTTATTCAAACATATTTTTTTCTTCATATAATATTTACTTTATATACACCATTTAATTATTATTGTCATCTAAATATGTAGAGTTTACGGTGAATTTAGCATATAAAATATTTTTAAAATCTAAAAACTAGTAATTTAACAAAACTTGAAAATTGTATAGGATGTGAAATTAGAATTAAAAACGAATGTAACTTACGTTGTGTAAGGCCATGTAACTCAAGCATAATCATCTGTAAGTTTTCCACAAAAATAATGTAAAAATGGTAAACTATTGAAATAACATGAACTCTCCTCTAATAGTAAGAAAAAAAATCAAGTTACACAAGAAAAATAGTTTAAACTTTTTTGTAAAGGAAACATAATAATATTAAAAACTGAAAAATATTTATAGAATTGATAATATGATAGAATTAAAAGAGCATATATTGATTGGAGAATGGGAAAACGAAACCCTCTTGAGTTTTGTTTGATTGGAATGAATATTAATGAGCAATGATCATGTGAGTGGAATGGGTCCATAAGATGTTAAACCAGTAGAATCCTGTACCATTGCCAATTTCCATGGCTGTTAGTGAAAATAAAGTCCATATATGCCAATTGTATATTCCAAACATTAGATACCCATATTATCATCTTCTTCATCTTCATCTTCATCATCATCATTCCTTATACCTTCCCTTCCCACTGTCACTTCTGTGTCCTTGTTTTGAAACTTGATCCAAGACTCATTTTATTTGCCCTAGAAAATGGCTGCATCATGATGGCCTATCATGTCGGCATAGATCACTGAAGTGTTTCAAAACCAGAAAATTGCACCCTCTTTTAGAACCTTGTCTTGCGGCTATTTAATTCTACTGCAACCTGCAACCTGCAACCTTCGCATCTTTCTCAGTGTTCCATTTTATCACAATTTCATACAAACACCAAGTCTTAACTCATAAACATTTTTATGCTATTCTCTCAGTCTCTCACTAATTTTCTTTAAAATACACAGAAATCATTGCCATTGTAATATATTTGCTTTTTATACTATTTCATTTAATAATAGTTTAAACAGATAAGTTAATAGCATGCATTTCTTATATATATATATGAACACTACATTAAATTAATATATGGCACATTTAATGTGATTTTTTTTTATTTTATACAACATTTGTATGTTTATTTTTTAGCAAAAATATCGACTTAGATCTTTTATTTACTGATTATTATTTTATATATATGATTTAGTAATTGATTGTTTAAAATAACTTCGTTGATATATTTTTCTTTTTTTTATTGATCTCAATGCTAAATAGTACGTACTTAGGTGTATGTGTCAAGATTCCACCATAAATGGTGATCTTAATTTTAAGATGAGGTTAAGTCTCATCCCTTAATATTTTCCACACAAAATTCCTTGTCTGTTCTTTTGTTAGAATTGATGTATTGTTCTATCTATTTTCTTTATTATTATTATTAAATATTTTAAATTAAGAGTTTTATTTCTCAAAAAGTTGTAAGCAATAAAAAATGTGTTTCCCAAAAATGTATTAAAGAATGTATGCTACTAAAAGATCACTCCTTTTACATTAATTATTTAATTTTTTTACATCGGATATATAATTAATATAAAAAAAGGACGTTTTGAATAGGTTGTAATTGTAATTGACGTAAAAAAAATTATCCATTGTTTTAATTCTAACTAATATAATAAGCCGATTTTTATTTTCGGATATAATTTCATTTTTTTCCGTTTTTCTCGTTTAAACAAAAAATAATTCGAACTAAAATTTATAAAGTCATCCCAAAATTTAATTTAAGAATGTGAATTTTTTCCTTTTTCAATTAATAATAGTGTAAACAATTTAAATTTATCATAATTTTTTTGACAACATTTTCGTGTATGGATTTAAAAAGTTTCTAAGCATAAAAACTATGATTTCTTAAACTATTATGCAGAAAGGAATGCACCCAGTTAAAAGTTGTTATGGAGAAAGCATGTTGATGAAGGAGTGATTGACAATGAAGGAGCTATGATATTCAAGTTGGGGGGAATGGTTTGATTTGAAGGGAGAAAAAGGATTTTTTCACATTCTGGTCAATTTTTATTTATTTATTTTATAAACAGGTCAAAAATAAAAAATTTTCTCAAAATAAGTTAAATTGTGTCAAGATAAAATGATTGAGAGTGAAATCTTTCTTAAAATCACATTTTTACTAAAATCGTGTTTGAAATCATTCTTTAATTATCCTTTTAATTATGAATTTTTTTAAAACATTTTTTATTTTATTTTTTAAAATATATTATTTATTAAATAATTATTTTTAATTAAATTATTAATTTAATAAAAAAATAAAAATATTTAAGACAAATATATAAAATTTAATTCATTATATTTATATTAAAATATTATATTATTTTTAAAAAGATATAAATTTATTATCGAAATTTACCGTTTATATAATTACATCGTTTATTTCGAATACTCGTAAGTCTTTCTGACGTGATTTTTGTCAAAATAAAATTTATATAAAAAAATTAAAAAATATGTTTTTATAATTATATAATCAATCTATTTCGATAATAAATTTATATTTTTTAAAAGTAATATAATATTTTAATATAAATATAATGAATTAAATATAATTTTATTTATCTAAATATTTTTATTTTTTATTAAATTAATAATTCAATTAAAAATAATTATTTAATAAATAATATATTTTAAAAAAATCCTATTTTTCAAAAAAATAAATTATGAAGCACGAATTTAGTATAGTGAAATTGATATAACTGTGTTACCAAACATGTTTTAAAAAAAAAAACAAAAATTATGCTAAGAAGCAACATTTCAGTCAAAAATAAGTTTTTACACATTATTTTATTACCCAACTCATTTTCCCTGATACAATTTAATTCATTTCCTTTAATAAAATTAATTTTTTTTGACCCAATATGCTAAAAAAAAAGCCGAGAAAAAGAGAATGAGAAATAAAGATGAGGAAGATGAAGACGAAGAGAAAGAGATGAAGCTGTGCAGAAGACAGACACCTGCACATGATAATGGGCCACCTATGGCATGCTAGCCACTCCAATTCTCAGTCCAAAAGTACAAATTCTTTCCAATTATCAATTCATGTTCTGCCACATAATGAAGACAACAACCTTATAATTGGGAAAACAAAATAATGATAATTATTTGCACTGTAATATTTGACTATACCATCATGCATGTCCTCAGGATAATCCTAAAAAAACAAAAAAAAAAAAGGTTTGAATATGCATATTGACACTTGGCCACAACACAAAAACAAGAAAAAAATTATTAGAAATAAATAATCTACCTTAATCTTAAAAAAATAATTTGTAAGATAGATTTACATCCTACTTTTATTTTACAAATTTAATTATTTATCTGATTGTAATAAATTGTATATAAAATATAATTTCATATAAGTCTCTAAAGAATTGAAGGAAAACTTCGATCCTTTGAAGACATTTCAGTTCTCTACTATATATATTTTTTATTGTGAAATTACGTGTTTTAAATTTTTATAAATGGAATGTAAAATGTAGAAAGTGATAAAAATGAGCTTTAAATGATTGCAAATTTATATTTATGATAAAATACATTTTGTAGTATTTATGATTTGTTTTTAAACTATTGTAATTTCTATATACAATAAAATATTTTAATGATATGGTTTGATTTAAATTACTATTGTATGTTCTACATTTAATCTTATATAATATCTTAATATATTTTCAATTATGTTTAAAATAAAAATTAAGATACTCATGAGCAGAGGGGGAATTACGGGTTAGCAGGTTAACGGTCCCCACCCAAAACAATTTTTTTTATATATAATAATTATATTTTTTAAAAATTAAATAAAATTATTTTAAATATAAATATATTTTTTTATTTTTTATCTTAATTTTTATTTATAATAAATATATTTTACACAATTTTTCAGTTACACTTTTTTTATCGTTCTTCCTTCTATTCTCAGTTTTTTATATTTAGTTTTCCTACCTTTTCATTTTTCTACTACAACTTTTTCTATCATACACCCCTTTTTTTTCTCACATTTCTATATTTTAATTTTATTATTTATTCACTTCATATTTTTCTTTCCACGATTTCACTTTACAATATAAATATTGTAAAATTTCTCTTTAATTTTTAATTTTTTTTAATAATTCCATCTCTATAATATAAAGCTTGTAATATTTTATTATTTAATCATTTAATTTTTAATTTTTTCTATCTTTTGTTCAAGAAAGCACAAGACAAAAATTAAAAAAATCAAGAAGATATTTCACATTTTTTAAAAAATAAAAATAGTAAACAAATTTATTTTTTATTATTTTTGCTTATTATTATACCAAATTAACATGTTTAGTGTAATATAAAAATATAAAATATTGATATAAATATTTTTATTTATTATAAATTATTTAATTATTTTAATATTTTATGATATTTTATTTTGATATTAAAATGTATTTTTTTTAATATTTTAAAGATATTTACAAATAAAATTATAGACTCATTTTTTTAAAAGAAAAAAATGATAGTTGAAATAAAACTTATTCACTAAAATTTAAATTTAATTAATAAAATTGAATATGTAATATATTTATTATTTTATATAATAATTCATTTTTATATGTTTACCTCTCATTTAAAATTCCTAATTTTTATTCCACCCCTATTAATGATCCTCATAACATTATTACGTTAATTTATGTAGTTGTTAAAATCCTCTCCAAATATTACAAAGTCTATCTTAATTATTCAAGAAGAATAAAACATAAATTTAATGAATATAATATAGACAAAAAAAAAAAAACTTTGAAACTCAACATCTTAAAAAATGATACTTTCCAAGAATGAGAATATGCAAGAGAATAATGTGGTTAGTTTGTTTTTTCTTCCACTATGTAAAATGAATAGAAAAATTCTAGTTTAAATTCATGACATTTCTATTCTTCTCACTATTTTCTCTTCCACTATTTTTTCAGTGTTTGAATTTTGTCAAGAAACCACCTTTCATACAAATACTGACACATGCTGGGGCAAAAAACCCCAAAAACACTTTTTTAGAAAAAAGAGAAGAATGTTGAGAATCAAGTAATCTGTCTACAATGTGATTTTCACGTAAGAGATATTTTCTAAAGTAAATGATATGTGCAGATAGCATAGTACAAATATAATCAATTTTCAGTGTCTTATCTTTCCGTATATGGTTTCCATGTTACTCTATAGTATTAACAACATCCTGAATATGAAAGGCAATGACACTAGTCTTTCGTGCAAAGGGTCTTTCTCATTACAGATATTGCGACATTGAGGCCAATAAAGACAAATCAAAATTTAATATATCGGCCATTGGCTTAAGACAGGCTCTATAAATGATGTCCCAACTTGCGACCTCTTAAGGGTTCATCTCAATACAGTACATGAACTATATAGCTGTAGAGCTAGAAGCTAGGATTGGTCAAACACTGTTTTTGTTGTGACTAATTTTTTTCTTCTTGTCTTTGGCAATGCATATGTCAAATTGGCAAATGATATAAATTCTCTAGGTGTGGTATCTATATCTCAGATTGCTAAACAGAAAATGAAATGTTTATGTAATTACTGGAATATATTAATTGCCCTACCACAGTTGTAATAGGTTGCATAATGGGGTCAATTCACAATTTTAATTTATGATACAGTTAAGGCAAACTCCTGGCAGTTGATAACTTACTAGATAATACTAACTTTAGTCTGTTTACAGAGAAAAGTGAAGAATTTTAAAACTTTCCATAAGAAAGATAGAGAAAATAAAACAATGACAAATAAATATTATTAAGGATAGTTTGCTTTGTTGGTGAATAATAAAACACTGTTTATAAGCAAATGGTGCTTCTAATAATGAATGGGTAGAGAAATATTGACATGAAATCGCCAATGAGAAGCCTGATCCCATTGTAAACCGTACGTTCATTGACTGATACAGAGGCCACCTTCTCCAATCAGTGAACAATTCATTGTGGGGTACTGGCTTGGAAAATGCTGCAAAGTATATGCCCTACAATATGTCTTGCCCATTTTGGTTCCGTACATTATTGTTGCTTTGTTTAACTGGCTTCCTTTGCTTCCATAGTTTTCCAATGCAGAAAATTCCCATTTTCTCTTGGTCCTTCCACAAAGCATGTGCTGGTAGACTTGATAGTAGTGGTAGTTAGTCTTTCTTTCCCAGAGAATCATCTTGTGACAGTGGTTTTTTTCATGAAATGACCAAAAAGTAAATGAGAATATATTATGTTTAAGGTCGAGTAAGTAGTTCACCTCTAAAAAATGTTTAATGCTTTAGATAGGGAAAACAATGATGGATATCAAATGCTATTTAACATAAAGATAGAGGAAAAGAATAAAAAGTGTGACAAATATAAGTATAATATTGATGGTGTATATGATGAAAAAGATAAGTAATAAATGTTGATTGAGTTTATATTACCACTCTTTTTAGATATAGAGAAATCTTCATCTAAGCTTTGAATTGGAGACATTATATGTTATGCTTGATTATGAATTCAAAAGAAGAGGTATTTGGAAAGGAATTACAGCACTTGCTCAAGCGAACTTCTTCAGCTTGTCACTATAATAGCTTTTCGTACCATCAACAACGAACTGATTCATGATCTCCAATAGCCAAAACTGGTGCGTGTCTAGTAGCAAAATGCAAAAATACATGGCCATCAATGTCTAACTATTAATCTAAAAAACACCAATGGTGAAAAACATGGTTAATCAGCTCATGGTGAAAAAAAGAGAAGTTTCCCACTCGGTTTCATTGCGTGTGTAAACATTTATACGGTGATGATCATATACTAATTATGATTTCAACCTTAGAAAGGATTATTGCTTACACTGTTGTAGTAATGGAAGAGTGGTGAGAAATGGAGGGTAGTGAAGGTGGATGACAGAAGCCTAGAGAGCACAAAGGAGTGAGATGCAATTACTTTCCCGTTCCATATGTTTGTGCATATCATCATCTGTGCTCTCTATCTTCTGTCAAAAACCTTACCAACTAGTGCCTCCCTTCCTCTTTTCCCAAAGATCCCTTGTTCACATACTGTTCATCAAAAAGAAAAGGAAAATCATAACATAACAGAAGAAGAACAGTAAATTAGTCATATATATGTAAAGAGAAGAAGAGAGATGAGAGGGGACAAACAAGTAAAATATATAGAAGGTTGGGTTGGAACGTGGGAGTGTTGGGTTTCTCACTGGCCAATAACACCTATTTATAGGAACAATGAAAAGAAGAAGATAGGTTTTAACTCTCTTGAAAGAATGGGTGAAAGAGGCATCAAATATTCCACTAGCTAGTACCACCATCGACTCTTTTCCATGTATTCTATAAACACTTTTCATGAATAAATAAATAATATATATATCCTCAATAAAGGACACCCTAGATAACTTCCCAATCTATTCATTCACGTACTCACATTTAAAACCATGCATGCCAACTGGGTTCTGAAAGATTTTAATCTCACCACCATACCCTAGATAGCTTGCTAATTCTTACATGGTTATGGAATGGTTTTTGTGGCACACGAATGGAGCGACCTATTCAAAATATGCATGTATATATATTGAGTGCAGTACTATGTGTTGTACCACAGGGTCCATTCTTCACTTAGTACAGTTACTGATATGATATGCACCCATGTGCAATGGGATTTTTGTAAATCTTGTGAGATCATCGTTATGCATTTTCCAAGTTCTAATAACAGCAATCCAAATTCTATACAGAGTTGTTGTGATTTCTGACTATCTCCTTCACTTACTATGAGTGGCCTGTGGGGCCCACAATTCAAATAGTGTTCGTAGGGACCTTGACAAGTGAAGCTGTCTAGTGCTATTGGTTTACAAAATTATTCAATGTATAAGTTTATGAAAAATGTTTCATGTAGAATTACATCTATGGAGAAATTTAAAGGTGTATTGATTGTATTTTTATTTAGTTTTTGTATATTTATGTGTAAAAATATTATGTATTTTGGAGAGTTGGAACCTGTGATAATTGCTTTGGCTTGTGTCAATTAGTTTACTCTATTTGGATGAATATGATTCTTATAAGAAACCTAACCACAGAATGCTGAAAGTTGTGGATGATGCTTTGTATAGACATGGTTGGAAAGTCACCATCACCAAGCACTGAAGCAGGGCAAAGATTCATAAATTCAGGGTATTATAGCTTGTAGGAGTGTTTCACTCAGTATTGTGTCTTCAGTTTTCTGCGTGTTCTTGTCCACTTTTTTACTCGTCCTGTTTCTTGTAATATTATGTCTCAGACTAATAATTTTTAACAAAAATTGTCATATTCCATTGGACAAAAGTGTTAGGATCACTTTCACAGTGTATAGTTTTATACTAATGATATCATACACTATATCAATATAGGACTTTTTTCTTTATGCTAATAGAGGCCAATGTAATAATAAAAATAATAATATGAAATTTTCATGTGTACCTACTCTTATAAAGATACATACTGTAATATTTTTGAAATTATTAGGGGAGTTAAAATACTTGTAAAAAATTGTAATTTTATTAAAATAATTAGAGATTTTTTTTTCTTCTTTTTTAACAGAGGCAAACTCAAGCTTGGTCCATGAGCTTCAATATTAAGTTGTCTGTTAACAGTTCACTACGTTAGTCTGTGTTTCATAAGATTAGACACTGAGATTATAAATTTCCTGGCTACAGCTTGGAATCTTTGATATTTTCTTTGTTAATCAAAGTTGTTTTTGATTTGTATAAACCCTGTATGTCTCTCCTAAAAACAAAGATATAATGTATTAAATTTAAATTGTTTTTAATTAGATTTCGATTATTAAATTTAAATGAATCTAAATCAAATGTAAACTTTCCTTTAGAGATTGATTTTATAAGATTAAGATTTTGTAAGATTAAGATTCCGTTATTCAAAAATGACTAATATAGAAAAAATAATTAGAAAGTAATAATTTTTTTATAATAAAAAAAGTAATTGATAGAAAATATCATTTTTTTTATCATAATGGCCATGTTTACTTTTTCCTTCTTATATGAATGAAAAAGAGTATAAAGTAGAAGAAAAATATTATTTTACAAAATTTTCCTTACTTAAATAAATAACTAATTATTTTTATATTAAATATATATATATATACATTTAATTATTATTTTAATATAATATCATAAATATGAAGATGATTATAATGAATAATTATATATATATATATATATATATATATATTTATAATATGATATTATTTTATTAATTTAATCTCCAATAATTAAAAGAATTATAATAAATTTTTTTATAATTGTATATCAAAATATATATTATTGAAAATTTTATCAATAAAAATGAATTATATATGAGTAATTTTGTAATTAAAAATATTTAATTTTAGTTTAATTATTTATTATTTTTAAAGTGAAACACTCCTCTCTTTTTTTTTCTTACACCAATAAGAATATTTTTCACCCTATTTTATATTTCTTTCCTATTTTTTTCTTATACTTTCTTTCTTTACTATCGAACAAATCTTAAGTAAGAGACTTCTCTTAAAATAGTATTAGAATATTCTAATAATTTCTTGAATTACATTTAACTGAAAAATCAATTCTTGGCTGATTTTCTTCTTTTAACTTAGAAATATGATGATTTTTTTTAAAAATATATAAAAATGACTTGAAAGTTTTAGAGATATTTTTGACATTGATTGCAAAAGAAAATGTTGAGAACTATTGAAAAGGTAGAAAACGTAAATGGGAAATGGTAAATTCAGTTAAAAATAAACATTGATTATATATATAAATCCAACTTTAAAATGCTTGAACAAATCTAAGCCAAAAATAAAAAAAGAGAAGACATTTTTGCAAGCTAACTTTTTTGTTAGAGTTTAAATCCTCTTTCCTTTGACATATATTATGATTGATCTTGGTTTATGGTTCAGTTTTCAACTTCACGGGTCATTTTCCGACCTATGCAAGCCACTTTATTCGTATTTGTTGCCACTCTACAAGGGTGATGATCTTTTGACAATCGAAACAAAAAACAACTCAACAAACAACCCATTTTATTAATATAATAATCATGAAAGAGTTTAAATAAAAATAAAAAATAATTAAAATTATTATTATAATATAAAATGCAATTGTATAGAAGGTTGTTTGTGTGAATAGTGGTGTCAAAATATCTTTTTCCCTCTACCAAAGTTATTATAATCATATCTTTTTGATGTGTGGATGACCAGTGATCTTCTATTAGAGTTAATGGGTATAGTACAACTGTCAAGGCACTGCAAGTGAAAGGAAGAGTTGGTTCAAAAGGCATTGACTATTAAAATCTTTATTATTATTATTATTATTATTATTATTATGAATGGGGTAGAGTACACCATTTATTAATCATGCATGACAGAGAAGAGAGGTGTTTGGCAAATGGAGGAGGATATTCTCTCAACATATGCAACATGCCAGGAAGCATGGAGAAGAAGAGGAAAATCAAGAGCATCCCTCTACACATTTCTTATCTTTTTCTTGCGCACAATTGCATTAGCAAATGAGTGCTGCTAAATCTGAATAATGAAGGTGAGGATTGAAATAGTTAAAGTAAGATAGAATCGTCATATATGTTCAACAGCTGTCAGCACCCCATACCTTCTTTCCTCTTTAGGTCTCACTTGGCCCTCCTCAGTGGCTGGGAATCAGAGACTATATAAGCTGCCATAGAATGTGGACACTTCTGGTCTGCCATTGGAGAAGACCTATATCTCTTTGGAACCTTTTGGACTTTCCCTTTTTGGGTTTTAGGACGATTCTTCACGTGTGGTCATTTCTTAGGGTTTTATTGGATTTTCTTTTCTTCCATTTGGGTGCCACATTACCAACTTGATTGGCCAAATAAAGGTTCTCCATGGGAAAAAGTTGGGGTGAGTCAGAAACTAATCAAAATTTGCCAAACAGCATCACATTATTGTTGCAAATATCTTGGTGGCTTTTGGTGGAATTATGGTTGGTATCTTTGAAAACTACTAATCATACATAGCGTTTACACCACGAATTGGGATTTATATGAATCGTAAAAGCCAAAGGGCATTCAGAATATAAAAAGTACTTTTCGTGATGGCTTCTACTGAACTAGCAGATAACAGAACATTTGCATGTGCAATTGTAGGGAAGGACACAGAATGAGAATGACGGAAAGAACTGGTCATGAAGATTAATTCTGAGATGTATCCATAGGGTTTAATTAAGCCACTTTGCAAGTTTTAGACACATACTAATAAGGGAATTAAACTGTTCAAACTAAATACAAACTGAAGGGAAACTGATCAAGTGGGTCACCCCACTATCTAAATTCCATCACATGTATTGTGGTGGCTACGCAATACAATAATGGACAAGACTTAAGGTAAAAACTTATATATATAGTTCTTCTAAGTATTTTTCATACAGATGTATACTTTATTCTGATAATAATGTAACAATGGTTTGCATACAAGATTAACATAAATTATCAAAATGAGACTCTATTTCTGATTAGAGCATGATGTTAAAAATACTTAAGAACTATGAGATTATATTCAAGTTTTGTCTCATTATGCAGCTGCAGAACTTGTCTTCTGATATATTTGTTCTAGCAAGAGTCTAAATGAATGCAGTTATTGTATTTGAAACTTTGGTGACTCAAAACTTACGTTGAAAAGACAGTAGCTATAGGAATTTGTGATATGGATTTGTTTAAGAGATTCTCGATGCACTTGTTTATAAGGATTAAACTAAGAGAAAACTGTTACTTTGCATGTTCTTGAAGAAAGAATATATAGAAAAAACAATTACATGACAGTATGTAGCTGCAATTGAAACAGTAATGCAGTCCCCACAAAATCATAGCATTATGGAAGAAAGATACTATGGAGTTGCCATCATGTTTATCTAAAATCTATGAAAACAGTTCCATTTTCGAAATGTGTTGATTCAAGGGAAGGGAATTCAGATTCCATGAGATTAGCCCCTCATTTAGTGGGTGAGTGAGAGAATATTCTTATAAAAAAAGTCTCCAAAACTAATGATATATAGTTCACATCACCAAAACAAATCTTAACAAAAGTGGACCAAGCTTTTCTTGACAAAATATATCAAATTCATTCGGATAATGTTCCAACTATATATATATATATATATATATATATATATATATATTGAATTTCATAATAAAAGAGATAATATTAGGATGTTATTATTTTAAATAACAACGTTATGTGATACAAAGTAAGTAAAAATAATTTTGCTAAAATTACAAGTATTTTGAAACTATTAGTACTGCATATAGTAAGATAAATTTTGTGGGTCTAGAATCAACTGCAATATTATGTAGTGGGTGTGTGGTCCAGACATGACTCATTGCATTGAGATTTGGGTTTGACTCGTTCATCCAGGTACCTTTTTTTGGTAGCAACATGCAGTAGGAAAGATAATTTACGTTGAAATAATATTTATGAGAGGAAAGTTTCAATTAATTTTCTACAATATTTTATAATTTGTTTTTCTTTACCTATCATATTATTTATTTTATTTTGTATGTATTTCCCTTTTATAAAATCTTATTCTCGGTCTTTTATATAAGATTCAAATAATTAACTTATCAAAACTAATAAAAATAGTCAAGTTAGCTAATTTTTTAAATAATATTAAATAAATTATTCTCAAAATTAAATAATTGAAAGCTAAATTATATTTGTAATACTTTATTTATAAGTCTTAGATTTGTTATTTATCTTTTAAAAATTTATTTGGATCTTCCTTCTTTAACTTTGAGTCAATTTAGTCTTTTAAAAATAAATATCATTTATAGTAAATTTTTGTATTAATATTAATTAGGTTTCATAGCTTTTATATAAGCAAATCTAACTTGACAAGTTTTGTCTTAATAAATTAAAAGTGTCCAAAATTCCATCTTAGAATAAAAACGATAACTATGTAAAGAAAATCAAATTGACATAATTTATACCTAAGCTAGTTTTAACTTGTAATTTTTTTTAATGTTTCTCTCTCTTAGTGTTTTATTGTTGAGCTTGATCTGCAACGAAATGGATTTTAGAAAATAAGAGGGATGATGAGCCCAAAAGTCTTCTTATATGCTCACATACTAAAGAGGGCTTTACTATTGGCACCCTCCAAATTTGTTACAATTCACACCCTCACAACACAAAATGAAAATAAAAAACATCTTTTATTTAATTTTATTTTTTATTTTTTAAAATAGTTTTTAGTTTTATGTAAAGGAGAACATTTCAATTGAATATCTCGACAAAACATAGTTTATATATATATTTAACGGTTTTTAATAGTAGTTTACGGGTGCCAATAGCATTGCTTTTGTTAGCATATTTTGAGGGTTACGGCCCAATAATGCTTAGGCTTAAAATATGATGCGGACAAAAACAAAACCCTGATTTCTTTGTCTTGTTATTTTAACAAGATTACGCACGGCACGGGTCTATTTATTATCAAAATGATAATTTTATTATTATTAATTTATTTTTTAATTTTTTATGAAAATTAATATTATTCTGTACACTCACGAATCCTACTTCGTTTAAAAGTCAGAGATCAAACTCTTTTCTACAGTTGCTTCTGTCTCTTAAAAACAAAATCATAACATTTCTCTCTTATTGCTGCTTCAGTCTTTTCAGGAGAAAATCATAACGTACTAAAGGTTAAAAAAAGTAACTATGTTATTATACGAGATATATTAAAATTACACTTGAACAAAAGTTCTGGTTATTCATATATATTATACATGTTTATTCTCTATGGTGGTCCTAATTTCCCAGGCATTGGTGCTGGGTTTGGAAATGGTGAACGTGGTCGCGGTGGCATTTCACCCAGTTTCCTCATCATATTCAGATCTGCAAAGTAAAACTCCAAGATGATGATGTCACCAGTTCGCAATGTTTTTCATGATACACTCACTAATTTGTCTTAAAAGAACGAACATGCATCCAATTTCATATCATATTACGAAGACTAACCTGAACCAAGACTCAACTCCAAAACCAAAACGAAGGCAATGATCAACAGAAGAAAACGTGGAGAGATTGATGAGAGAGTGAAGATGTGAGCCATTACCTCAGAATGGTAATGATATTCCACTTGTTTAGATTCAGAAATCGATGAAAATTTATAGTGACGAGAGAAGGAAAAACGATTTTATTTTCTTCCATATCATACTAAAAGTCAATGACAGAATGTTACAGGGGTTAACTCCATGAATTTTCTCAAGTAACGACGAGGATTGATCAAGAATAAGTATTAGTTTGACCCGTGAATTATGAAATGAGAAAAACTGCGTAGTCGTAACGTTAAAAGATATAATTAATATAAAATGGAGAAAGAAGGAAGATTCTAATTAATTGTTATGCGTTTTCAAAACCCTCTCTGACAATGGTTAATTCAGATGTTCTTTAAGGATTATGTTTACATGGTCTGAGTCTCTTTGACTTATTCAAATTTAAAAAATTGCTATGAACAAAGACATATTTTTTTTTAGGTTTATTTGTAACATTTTTATTTTATTATAGTCGTCTAATAATTAGTATTTTTTTCTTTTCTTAATTTAACTTGAATTGATTTATTCAAAATTAAAAAGAAATGAAATCTAATATTGTTTTTGCCAACAAATAAGATAATTAAGTACATATTAAAGGGGTAAAAGAATACACAAACCCATCAATGAACAACAACGTACATTAATCACTAACCAATCCAAAACCAACAAAAACTGGCATTACAAAACACAGATATACACAAACTAAACACCAGAAGAAGAATATTATTACTTTTCAAGATACTGGTGAGTTGGTTTCAGAAGATCACTGCATAATAGCTACACAAATGATAACAAGATATAAATAATCCAAGCCCTATTGATTATAGTCCTAATTCCACGTACTGAACCAACACGTCAAGTACTTTAAACACGTTTTATTCAATATGCCAAGTACAAAACCTAATATTCTGAAGCTATATAGAAAAAAAATGAGAATCATAGCTATGTTGTGATGCAGTGTACATGAAAAATTTAGGGAATGGCTGGAGTTGTAGGAGGAATATGATGCTGAGGTGGGTTAAGCTTAGGTGGAGGAGGTGGACTTGGAATGTCACCCAATTTTCTCATTTTAATATCTGCAAATTAAGATCACAGGATGTTATTAACTTTTCAAGATACATATACGTATGCATGCTTCTAAATTCAAGAAAATGTGCATTTACATAGTAAACACGTTCATGAACAGATAAATTCATCTACAGAACACTAATGACAGTGATTGTGATCTTATGATTTTAAACACATTTTTGGATATTTGAAGGAGGTATGGACAAACCTGCAGTAACTGGAGTAAGGTGTGCAAAGAAAGAAAAGGAGATTGCTAGCAGAATAAGGAAAGGTACAAACATGGAAGAAACACTCATCCCATTCATCTTCCAATGTATGTTGAAGGCTGAAATCAGATTCTCATGCATGAGAATTTATAATGCATGGAGTCAATCTTAATAATTACATTTATTGGAGCTTAGTTTCAGTGAAATTTCCAGTAGATAAACGACAATTCTGATGATGAAATGGTAGGACTGTAGTGGTCTATTCTCCTCAATACACTTGTTTTTTTTTTTTTATAAGTATGATAAGAAAATATAACTCAAATAATTTAAACGACTAGTAGCATCTTCTCCCTAATCACAAAAGCTTAA